CCTTTTCGCTTCGCCGGCTTCTCTATTTTCCTTTCCTGCTTGCTTCACTGATGGTGATTTTTTTCGCTTACCGGCTTTCCTACCTTCTTCGCTTCGCCGGCTTCTCTATTTTCATTTCCTGCTTGCTTGCTCACTGCTGATGGACGGGGCTCTACCGCTTGGCTGCCGGATATTTATTTATTTCCTTCCTGGGATCTATTTTTTTTACTTTTTCGCGCTTCGCCGGCTTCTCTATTTCTTTCCTTTCCTGGCTTGCTTGCTTTTTCTTACTTTTTCGCTTCGCCGGCTTCTCTATTTTCCTTTCCTGCTTGCTTGCTCTTCTCCACTGATATTCTCTGCCGCTTGGCTGGCTTCTCTATTTTCCTTCCCTGCTCACTGATGATGGATGATGATGTTATTTATGTTATTTTTTGCTTGCCGACTTTTTCGCGCTTCGCCGGCTTCTCTATTTCTTTCCTGGCTTGCTTGCTTTTTCTTACTTTTTCGCTTCGCCGGCTTCCTTACTTAATTAAACCTTTTCGCTTCGCCGGCTTCTCTATTTTCCTTTCCTGCTTGCTTGCTCTTCTCACTGATATTCTCTGCCGCTTGGCTGGCTTCTCTATTTTCCTTTCCTGCTCACTGATGATGGATGATGATGTTATTTATGTTATTTTTTGCTTGCCGGCTTTTTTTCCTTTTCCTCACACTCTAATAATCTCTCTGCTGACTCCGCCGCCGGCTATTTATTTATTCTTTCTACCTGGATCTATTTTTTTCGCTTGCCGGCTTCCTTACCTTTTCGCTTCGCCGGCTTCTCTATTTTCCTTTCCTGCTTGCTTCACTATGGTGATTTTTTTCGCTTGCCGGCTTTCCTACCTTCTTCGCTTCGCCGGCTTCTCTATTTTCATTTCCTGCTTGCTTGCTCACTGCTGATGGACGGGGCTCTACCGCTTGGCTGCCGGATATTTATTTATTTCCTTCCTGGGATCTATTTTTTTTACTTTTTCGCGCTTCGCCGGCTTCTCTATTTCTTTCCTTTCCTGGCTTGCTTGCTTTTTCTTACTTTTTCGCTTCGCCGGCTTCTCTATTTTCCTTTCCTGCTTGCTTCACTATGGTGATTTTTTTCGCTTGCCGGCTTTCCTACCTTCTTCGCTTCGCCGGCTTCTCTATTTTCATTTCCTGCTTGCTTGCTCACTGCTGATGGACGGGGCTCTACCGCTTGGCTGCCGGATATTTATTTATTTCCTTCCTGGGATCTATTTTTTTTTATTTTTTCGCGCTTCGCCGGCTTCTCTATTTCTTTCCTTTCCTGGGCTTGCTTTTTCTTACTTTTTCGCTTCGCCGGCTTCTCTATTTTCCTTTCCTGCTTGCTTGCTCTTTTCACTGATATTCTCTGTCGGCTATCTATTTATTTCTTCCTGGATCTATTTTTTTTTCTTACTTTTTTTTCGCTTCTCTATTTTCCTTTTCCTGCTTGCTTTTTCGCTTCGCCGGCTCACTCTCACTGATGATGGGATGGATGGATGATGTTTATTTATTGCTTGCCGGCTTTTTTTTTCCTTTTCCTCAACACTCTGCTGACTCCGCCGCTCAGCTGCCGGCTATTTATTTATTCTTTCTACCTGGATCTATTTCTTTCGCTTGCCGGCTTCCTACACCTTTTTCGCTTCGCCGGCTTTCCTGCTTGTTTTTTCGCTTGCCGGCTTTCCCTACCTTCTTCGCTTCGCCGGCTTCTCTATTTTCATTTCCTGCTTGCTTGCTCACCGCTCACTGCTGATGGACGGGGCTCTACCGCTTGGCTGCCGGCTATTTATTTATTTCCTTCCTGGATCTATTTTTTTTTCTTAACTTTTTTTTTCGCGCTTCGCCGGCTTCTCTATTTTCCTTTCCTGCTCACTGATTCTATTTTCCTTTCCTGCTCACTGATGGATGGATGTCTATTTTCCTTTCCTGCTTGCTTGCTCACTGATGGATGGCTCTGCCGCATGGCTGTCGGCTATTTATTTATTTATTCTTTCCTGATCTATTTTTTTTGGCTGAGGCTCTCGTCTGCCCTTTTTCTCCCACTACTTCTTGTCGTGCTTACTGGTCCATACCTAGAACTTAGTCTACCACGTAGGGCTCGAACCCCAAACCCTCATACCTATCCCGATGTTTGACCATGTGCCTACGCTTCCCCTGAGCTACCGCTACTGGCAACGATCGGGTGGGTTAGAATCTTACTTAATTAACGACGTCACGCTTGGCAGCCCACGACGAGGCCAATTACCCACAAAAATAAATTTTCATTAAACATGCTTCGTTGATTCAAAGCAGGTTTATTCGTGCCTCAGTTGAAAGCGTTCATCTGGGACTATCGTGTGCGCTGCTTCAACTATTGAATGTGTGAGTATCCCGTTTTAAATTTGTGGATCATTATAATTTGGTTTTTACAATATAAATGCTTTAATTCAAAAGAAAAGAATCTGCAAACCAAATTTCTGACTCTCAGTGGAGGAATACTAAAACTGAAAGACGTGCCGTGATTTTGATCCTTTCCGTCTCTTGTGCTAACTGACCGTCGTACCTCTAGTTTAGTTTCATAAATTTATAAAACTTCCCAGATTAAAATTGGTGCGGCGCTATACCTTTTTACAGGTTGAAACGATATCATACACCCTAAAAAATGAAAGACACCGTAAATTTTGTCATAAGAGCCCCGCGATAAGTTAAACATGCTAGGCACTAAAGATGAAATGTGTAAATTTCTTTAGTTCAAAGATCTTTAGCCAAAATAAATGGATTAGAACTGGTAAATTGATGATGTCTCATGCATTCTATGATACCTGCATACAAAAACTTATCAATTGGTGCTGAAAGAAATATTTGGTGATAAAGTGCTAATTTTTTAAAGACTGAAGGGAGCGAAACGGTCATCCAAGCCAGCTCCACCTAATATCCAAACCTTCGGCTTATGTAGCAATATGCAGGGAAATGAGATACTTTGGAGTAATACCACGGTTAGCGGAACACAAGTTTGCTTCTGGGATTACAAAGGTGATAGTGTAGGATTGCTTGTCGAATTTTTGTGGCGATCTTCGCTACCATGGGCATTGTATTAGATGTTCCTGGGGACAGATATAACAGAATCAGAATACTCTTCATAATCACATGTGTACTAATTTTCTCCACAATGACTTTAATAACAGGCTAAATGAGCATTTGAACGATTTGATATGAACATATATATACCAAATCTCAATGTTTTTACATATTCATTTCATGGCGTATTATTGTTTTTGTTTTGTTTGTTCACTGTTTTTAAGAACATTGGCTTCATTGATTACATGAACCTACATATTTACGAGTGGTTAGTCAGTTAGTGTTTTCCTGATAATTGTTTTCATAATTGCCTGAGCGTAGAATTTACCAGCATTGTTTTGATTTGTTTGTATATGTGTCTTGATTCACTGTATCACATTTTTACCAATGCCAAATCAATGTAGTTTTCATGGTATTTTGACCCTTTTCGCCACCTTATCACATTACACCTACACACGTTGTCTTTGTATCAGATCGAATTTGTCCTTATTTGCTTGAGTATTTTGAAAGATTACGACAGCCCGAAAGTTTATTACATTCGCATATTTTTGTGTGTGTTTATTTTTGACCCAAGCCTTGTTTAACAAGTTTTTTTTTTGTGAATGTGTGTTGGTGAGCGGGCACATAATACTCATCATGTTTTTAACTTTTTTAAAGGTTTTGCTCGCTCTCCAGAATTCTCCATTTTCAATTTTTTTTGTATTATCATATTGTGGAGTTTTCGAAATAAACTATCTATCTAATATCTATCTAAATTGCGCGTGCGATGTACCTTTTTAGTGATTTTGATACTACGTCTCGGCTACGCGTCATATTTCCCCGGACTCTGATGAAATATTAGCTAACCAATGTAAGGGTATTCAATCAGTCTCCCATTCTTTTATAAATGCATTCATTGCGATTCTATTGCAGTTCGCGAATGGATATTTCTGTGGTGCCTCATTTTCCTTGGTGCCCTGGGCACGTACTTATTTTGCCTAATATACAATCCAGCGCAGTTTGATATACATAATTTATCTGTGAAATCTAGATTTATTTATGGCTTGTATTTATCCCATTAAAAAGGTTTAGTGTTTAAATTAGGTAAAGTAATTTCAACAACTTATGCACATTAATCGGTAAGTAACAATGTGTTGTTTTGTTTTTAAAATCTATTGTGAGCCTCGTCGGATAATAATTAACTATTTCAAGGTCTCCGTAACATCAGAAGTTTGAGAAACCCTGTAATACTGGATATCCGAGTCTCACAAGCTTGTCCGTTGACTGCATGCCTATGTGTAATACAAATAGCCTTTTTTACAAATTCCAAAAAGCTCCGCTTTTCAGCACACCTGAAAATCTCTTGCCGTGGCACACAGTTTGAGAAACGCTGAATTAGATGCTCGGGGAAACATCCATTGTTCGTAGCGTCACGACGATAAGTGTTCCACTGTTCCGCCATCACAGGACGCAGCAAAATATATATAGCCGTTACGACAGAATAGATAGAATTTACATATTTATCCCGGGGTAGAGAAATGTCGATAAAACGGCTTAACCATATGGCAAACTACGGCCTTTCGTCCGGTTACGGTACCATTCAATGCCGGGTATGGAATTAGTTACTTGTTTCCGAAAGCATGGACTTGATGGTTTGGGAAGCCTTACCGACCAGCGGTTACGTAAAACGGCGGCGAGGAGTCCAGCAATCCTCTCGCACATAAGGATCCCCGCATGGGATTCGAACCTGCGAACCCCCGCAGCGTAATCCAGAGTTAGTAGTAAGGAAAAGAGAAAAAGAGCGTTGATTACTTTTGAAAAACGCCATATTGGTTATGGCCCTTATGGGCAGTAGTGGGATTCAGCCGGTTCGCACCGGTTCTATAGAAATTCATGAGATCAGCGAACAGGTAAGCATTACATGATTTTTTGTAACAAAACCGCCTGACAATTGTGTGATGGAACCGGCTGACAAAAAACTTGAATATCACTACTGGTTATGGAAGTCGCTACTCGACAACCAGTCTTGGTGTCCCGCGCCTCCCTTCGCCCTAAAGTATTAGATTACTTATTTTCTGTATTGTGTATCCACAATGTGTGCTTTAGAATGGCGGAAAAAATAAATTACTGATTACCATAAAGCAAAATAAACAGATTCACGCCCTTTCCATTCATTACCCAGTGTCTGACTCCAGGCACCACCGCGAATCTTGAATCTAATCTGCCAATCTCCGCGCTGCGTCTCATTCCACAGTGCAGCCGAGTGGATTTCTTGGTTAGGTTCTGCATAAGAGTGTATCTTAGCTTAGGCGATGTCGTATCCAAAACAAGTTTATGTTCCTGTAGTTAATCCGATTCCTGTTCAACAAACTAAAGATGAAGAAATTCTCACCGCTATACGAATGTGTAATTTGGATCGATGCAGAGAGATGATATTGTCTGACAATGAAATTCTTCACAAAAAAGGATGGAACAATCTAACGCCTCTTCATCAGGCTTGTTTGTCTGGGGAACCTTCAATCGTGGGACTTTTTCTGCAACATGGTGCAAATCCAAATGCAAGAAATTCATTTGAAGAAACCCCGCTGCATTATGCATGTCGAAGAGGAATAGTGTCAGTTGCACATTTGATGATTAAGAATGGGGGAGATCCATCTCATGTTGACAAGCGTGGTCGAAACTGTATGCATTTTGCTGCGAATGGTGGTAGCGTTGTGATGCTTCATTATCTGCGAGCTCATACTGATTTAAACTATGACACACCTGATGATACTGGGAAAAATATTTTGCATATTAGCTGTGAGTTGAGACATTTCGCAACCATCGATTATCTCATGAGACACAATAGAGTCGACCCAGGATTGAAAGATCTCAGAGGAGTGACTGCGCTTCATATCGCAGCCGAAAAAGGTGATGGTGAATTAGCCTGGATCATCTTGCGCACTGGAGGATGTCAACTTTTAAATATTAAAAATCAAAAAGGCGAAACACCATGTGATATTGCTAAGCATGGTGGAACCGAAACACACAAGAGATTATTTAAAACACTCCTTTCATACTCAGGCTCAGAAAAGATACCACGAGGCCCTATATACACTTGGTATTTTTTATGTATTTTACCTTTTTCATACTTAGCTATAGTTTTCCTGCTTTCAATGTATATGAATAGTTATAGTGGACACTTTGCATTTCTTCTGTGTCTTATTCTGGTTTATAACGTTGTTAAACAAGGTCATCGAATGAATCATATCAGTCGATGGCCAAATCCTATATTTATGGGGGCATTTGTTGGTGGAATATTACACTGTGCTATAGCTGAGTTTGGCCACTTACATCGTGCTTTGTGGCCGTGTCCTACAATAATAATAATAGTAACTCCTTTGGCAGCTTTGTGCATTTATTTATTATGGTTCTTGATTTTTCTTGACCCTGGTAAAAACAAAACACCCAAACTTGATCCTTCTACTGGAAGGCCGATGTCGGTTTTAGATATTGCGGAAGGCCGAGCTTCTGACTCAGAATTTTGTGTTTTCTCTGAAATTATACATGGACAAAAAACAAAATATTGCAAATTATGTCAAGCACCGATGTTAGATATGGATCACCATTGCTTGTTTTTAAACAATTGTGTGGCTAGAAAAAATCATAAACATTTCATTGTATTATTGATTGTTGTCATGGTTACGCAAACCATGTTTGTAATATGTTCATGCTTATATGCTAGCATGTACTCTGAGGGCAATTTTAATTCAGGACTTGGCGACCCAATTACACCATACATATTCTACTTATATAAGCATGATGCCTGGATTTTTTGTTTGTCAATATTGTGCATGACATCTTGGTTGTGGGAGTTAACTCTTGTCTACGCCCAGCTTTCTGTTATAGCAAGAGGTAGTACAACTTACTTTTCTATGAAACGTCACAATCACACTGTTCTCACAAGAAAGCAAATGTTTTTTAATATTGTACAGTTTTTTCTACGAGACACTGAAGTTAAAAATGTAAGACATATTGATAAACAAAGTGTTTCTTTGTCTCATGTTTAGAAAAGAGAAAAAGAATGTTTGACCGGGAAATGAGATAATTCAGGCAATGCTATTGTGTGATGTGACGATCACCTATTTAAATGTTTAGTGTATGATTCGAATTTATTGATTTATGCATTCCACGGTTATTATTTTGAATTCGATAAAAAAAAATTTGTGGTTCACTGTATTTTAAATTGCTCTTGCCTTTAAATTGCCTTTTTATCATTCTGAAAACATGAAAATATCACCTTGAACACTAAGCGCTCCAAGTGAGAGGATGGGAGCGAAAGCATTGCTTTTTTGCCTTGTTTACAATATTTCTTTATTATCTGACATCAGCTTTTTTTGGGGGGGGTGTGTGTGACTCCAATCTATTTTAAATGAATTTTAGTAAAATAACTTTTCTCATTAGAATGGTAAATGTTGCATGCTAAAATTTATTGAATGCATATATTTATATAATGTATTTTGATGCCACTATGTAATTATCTTAAAAATATTTGTTCTGTTTAGCAAATAGTTTAGAATCTTGGAAATATTTCATATTATTCAGACATTATATTTTGTACTCCTGTATTTTTTAATTTGATTTTCATTGTTATGGGAAACTGTTATCCCAATATGATTCAAATTTCTCCAGCACAATTGTTAACGTTATTTGATTATTTTAGGGATCTTTATGGATTCAGCATATTAAGAGCAGTGCTTCACAGGAAAGCCCAGCTGTTTATTCTGAAACTATCTCACTCAATGATATTCACTTGAAGAGTTTTTGCAGGCATCAGTTTTTCTGTAGGTTGATTAAAACTCATGGGCTATGGCCAATAAAGTTAATTATTTACCGACCTATTACGTTTCTCACTTGCATATCCCAAGAACGCAATGAATCTTCCAATATATATTAAATTTCAGACAATTATTACCATCTAAAATATTCAAGATTTGATTTTTTGTACTCCGCCATTATGTTTCTATTTTCTCTCTAGAAAATATATGAGAATATGTCCCTAAAGCTTTACATGGACTTTCAGATTCACATCTACTGGTAGAAGGAATGCTTGCCTCGAAGGGAGAATGGCTTACGTAGAGGTTATGGCTCCCTTCACCACCTGAATTTGTGCGTACGGAATCAGCGTTGCCGGATTGACTTTTTTAATGCCATATTTGACAATTCTGGCGTCGGAATTTCCGTTTTGCGTTCTGGCTTTTTTATTTCTATTGTTGAAATCATATGAATAACAATATTTTGTGTGCGACAATAGCCTATCGCTCAGCTACTTAACATTTGGATTTCCCCCCGTGCATCGATTTCTTTGTTTATTTCTTAACTGTAATATGGGAACAAAGACGTGACAACAATTGCAATTTCTGCATCTGCTCAAGATGGATATTCAAGCAGGGTTGTAACTATTCCCTCGTTTTCATAGTTTTGCGTGTTATTTGTCAGTCGTGTTCCCAAAAAAAAGTTGTATATGAAATAACTTAATTGTCATTACGTCTTCCGAGGGGCTTTAGTTTAGTTGCAGCAATCAAAATGAAGTCTCGCAAACACTGCGATAGGGCTGAAATATTTTGTTAGTGCGGGAGTATCTTACCTATAAGTGGCACTTAGTTGGATAATTTTAATAAAAATGATGGTTTCAAACATGTAAACCAGTTTATTTATAATCGCCAACATTCCAAAACAATCTTAAAGTAACCATGAAATTTTTTTCAAAAGTAAAGTATAGTGAGAACTTTTTAAGCTATATCGTAGGTTTTAGTAAAGACATGTAGTGACCGTGTTTCCCCGAAAATAGGACCTAACCTGAATTTTAGGTGATTTTAGTATAAACCCTCCCTTTAAAATAAGACCTAGACAATAACGCGAATTTTTTTTGACCTAATCGATAGCAAGAAATCTCTCCTACACGTTTTAAATGATTAATATAGGCTACTACGCAGTGATTTCCCTACCCCCCTCCCCTAATTTTGAGGTGCGATTATACACTGTGATTCCTAACTCAAGTATTTGTATTTAAATATATAGAATATGGCATATTTATCAGTGTAGATAAGGAAATCACATACCAATTACGACCGCGTAACGATTTGAAATGGCCCGCCGAACTGTGAGATAGTTTAACCTTTAACGGTTAAGCTTAACTTAAATAATACTGATACGTTTAATATGCGTTTGCGTTTTAGATACCACCAATTGTTACATCATTATCATAGTTTAAGCAAGCACGTGTATTTCGTAACAATTCAATCATAGCGATATTATAGGCCTCAACGTCGCTAAAAAATCGCCCGTTTGTTTAAGGGGAAATTTTACGCGAAAACCGTATTTGCTCGTTTAATAGCCCGGGCGCTTATTTTTTTAAACATACTCACTAACCGGGCCGGGCCCTTATTCAAACCGGCCCTTATTCAAGCAGGGGCGCTTGTTACTTTTAAAGTAAAATTACACACAAAAATACCGGTAGATAAGATCGATCGTTACAATAATTAATACCGTATATTGTCATTTCCAGTTCTCAAGTATGATTTAAACGAGAATAATGAAAATTTTGACTTTTTCTACGCACCGCAGGTACAAATCCGCAAAAAAAAACTATTCGGCGGGTATTCAAGCACCGGCCCTTATTTATTTTTATGTCCTGTTCACACGCTATTCAAACAGGCCCTTAATCAAGACCGGGCGTTAAAACGAGCATTTACGGTATATGCTGCAAGTTTTAAAAGTCATTTCTCCAGATATAAAAAGTTGATTTTCCTGCATCAGTCTTTCTAACAACACAATTATGAACCTTAACATATCGAAACTTCGGTCCGGTCCAGACTGACAGACAATTACTTGAATTGGAGCCACGTTTTGGATATCTGATTTCAAACCAACCCGAATTACACGTACATTACATGTACACATACACTATGTTAACTAAACCAAATTATGTTGGCATTTTGTTATATATATAATATATATACATAAGGATGTTTTTTGTGTAACAAAACAAGCCATAAAGAGCCATTCATACGAGGCCATATGCTAGATGAGCAAGTTACTCATCAGTTGCAAATTTCTTGTTGTTGTCGTGCTTGTTATTCCTCGGGTATTCTATTACCTAACTATTATAATTATTAATTTTATTACATAACAAACTGCGATGCTAGGTGTATCTAAAATCAAGCTTGTAGCCTATTTTAGTGCCTATTTTTCAAAATTGTCACAGGCCGCTTGAGCACGCCCTGAACCGCAACCGTGCTGTCGCGCTTTTTTGCTGCTCCCCTTTTCTGATCCGCGAATATTCTTCTTCTTCGAATTCAACCTTTGCAAAACCCCTAACGTAGATCGTTTGTCAAATATACAACAAAATTTCACAAGTTACAAATAGTTTTATCGCTAACAGCAAAATATTTACCACCCCCTACATTTCGAAACACCCCCCTAAAATGAAAAGCTGGGGAACATACTGAATTACTACGTTTTGCAGTTATTTTGAATAAAAACGTGTTATTTATAAGTAAATGGATTTCGATTTTCATATTTTATCTATTTGAAAATCTCATAATTATCTACCTTGTAATTTTTTTTTTGATAAATGAAAATATAAAACATCCCCCGAAATTAAGCCTTAGTGTTAATTTTGAATAAAATTGAAATAAGACCCAGTCTTATTTTCGGGTAAACACGGTATATCGCATACCAATGCGCCCAAGCACTCTGGATTGTATATGTTGAATTATAAAATATTGTCAACTGCGCAAATCCACTATTGTGCCAAGGATTTCAAATCCTTGTACTTTGTGAAGTTGGCTGTTTTGTGTCTTGACCTGGCTTTTTTTATCACTGAGATCTGGCAACCATGTGCACGTACAGAATCATCGACACGATGCACTGGCTATTCAGGTGTCAAACTTAAACTAGAAGTCGTGGTTCGCAATAGGACCAAGTTGCTCAATCGATTTCATTTGTGTGCATTTTGTTTTGTCCGTTTACTTTTTGTATTGTTTATGTCAGAGAACCAAAATAAATGATTGATTGATTTGGTACGGAATATGTCGTCTTTTTTCTAGACGCCATGTCGTGAGTTGGTTAAAGAAAGTTACTGCATGAATCCCCGTTTGTCACCTGAATTTGACAAATCTGTATATCAAACTATACAAATGTATTAACCACAAATTATGAAACACTCACGATCATCTGCGTGATTTTTTGAAAATACTACTTCCAACAGACATACTTCACAGTGCTTGTTCAACAGCAAAAAGTGCAACAATCATAAAAATAAAGGAATTTAAACTAATACACTGCTTGAATGCCGCAAAAACAACACTGAAAACAAAGAAATACTAATGCCCATGAATTGCGTTCTATTGAAGTTGCTGATGACCCAACAACTTCGTCAATCCAATCTATGTATTCTGATACTTTGGTGTAAACTCCTGGACGTCTTACTTCGGCACACCCCGAGCCAAAGCTTGTTATTCCTTGTAAAATGTATGATGTACTGCCAGAAACCGTTTGTTGGCAAACTAAGGGGCCACCACTGTCGCCTTGGCAGGTATCTGTCCCTCCTAGTTCGTATCTAAATTAAGATAAGAAGGCATCATCATTAGTTATTATATGGATATCCAGTATATTCCAGATATATCCATTTTGAAAAAAGGGCAGTTGACGCGTGCGCAGGAAAGATTTAGATAAAGCTGGGTTATCCGCTAACACAATTGGAACATGACCAGGTAGAGAGAAGCATGAGTACCCAAGCCTCCAACCTTTAGAAATGGTGATAATTTATTATCTGTTGTGGAATATATATAAAAATAGCGAAATGAACATTCTCAAAATTACGATTAGAACTCAAGAACTACATTGTTATGATGAGAAAATTATAAACTTCTCGCCATTATTCATATTTATTCTCAAATTAAATTTTATATCAAAGAACGAACCCGGCGCAGATGTGATTTTCTGGTATCGATAAACCTACTGCCTGATACCAACCGCTGCATAGTGTGTGATCTATTATTGAAACTTCTGCATATTGAAGAATATTGTTATTTCCAGTATCTGAAAACGAATGAAAAGATAGAATGTAGAGGTCGAGAGGGCTTCTATAGGAATATAATATATATATATATATTCATAATCAAGAACAGCAGAGAAATATACAATTATAAACACGAAAGTGCCGACACCTTTAATATGGAAGCGCCAAAATGCTCTGCTGGTGTTGAACACGAGATAACCAAATCAATTCCGTAATAGAGCTATTTTTCAGCAAATATAGATACCTTCATTTTCATCTACTGCAAATTTAAAAATGCTTGTTCCAGTAGAAAAAGGCAACAACAACCATTGGGCAAAACGATACATAGATCTGGTTTGTGCCAAATAGGGCCACGTAACTGTTGCTCCTTCTTTCTCAAAACTCATATGATGACATGATTCAAAGTATCCAATACGCAAAACTATCAATCAAAATCATTCAAAATTCGTAAGCCATAACTTACTTTCCGTTTCGCCCCAGCCACTGACAATGCAACTTTGTCCAACGCTTTCAGAACTTCCCTGGTTTGGCAAACATATTGGTCGAATGTAAGTTGTGTAAGAGACGTCAGACGTCAAGCTCAACAAGCATATATCGTTCGCGAAATTTCCGTTTCCCGTGTAGTCTGAAATAATTAAATATGAGTATTTCCTTTAAATTTGTCCAAAGCACTGTGCGCGCGGCCTTCCAATTGACTAACCGCCGAAGAATAGCAGATGTGCTTAAATGAAATTAAACAGACACATCAAAGTCGCGCTGAAGCATATATACACAACACAACTATTCATAACAATGGGCTCTAAAAAAACGAGCTGAAATATTAATACAAAATATATCAAACTTGTTATCATATGTAAGTTTTTGACAAAAAGGTTGTAGGACTTGTAGAAAAATAAATAGTATTGGTTTTTCAATAATTGTTATCGTTGTTGAAATTTTAGAGTGTTCCTATTTGATAAAATTACATTCCCGGATACGAAAAACGGTGTTTCGCGTTTTGGCAATATCCAGTTAGTTAAAAACAAAAATCAGCGCCACATCAATATCATACATTCACCTTTGCACTGGGGTATAGGCAATCCAAATTTAGATTGCGATTACAATAGTGCCTTCAATTTTGACTTTTTTCGCAGTTTTTGGATAAGAGATGTATATTAAATTTTACGTACTGGGATGGCAAGTTTTACTCTCGAGTTGCAATATCTGTCTATTCGCCTCATTTCCATTCGACTTATCATTCATTCCGAGAAACACACTTATATCAGAGAGTGGTTCGCTGAAATACAATATCAGTAATTTAATTTGGGCATGTGATTAAATCAGTCACAGTTCGATATTTGATATATTTCACCAACGCTGCATGACTCTCACAAAGTTGAACAAAACCTTTAATGAAAATTTGATTTGGACTAAAAATTTTCATTTGTAACTATGACACGGGAGTAGCTTGTTATTCAGTTTCTTGTTAGCGCTACAGGTGTGACAATGCGTTGAACATATGTAGTAAAAAATTATTAACGTATAAAATTTTATCATTTGCGCAAATATAGCAAATATTTGTTCACTTTTATTAGAATAAGTCATTGATCAAACACGACTTTGTCGTAAAACAGAACAGAGATTACTATACGTGAAAATTATTTTTGCGAATAACTTACTTGTTAAAGCAATGTGCAGCTGTCACAACCCATTTGTTGTTAATGACGGATCCTCCACATATCACACTTAATGAACCACCTGAAGACAGAACAATAGCTGCTTGCCAAGGCCATTGACCTTGTGCCGACGCAGTTCCATTTACTACCCGACTTATAGCACCAGATCTCGAAATCACAGATACTCCACAGTCATCTGGAATAAGTATTTTTAGTTCTGTATATTATTAGACTTTTTTTGTTAAATCGACTTGAATATTTTGCTTATGAAAATGTAAACGATCCTTCATGGGCTACGATGTACAAATAAATTAATGACTGAAACAGTCACAGTTTAATTGAATAGGGCCATGAGAAACAGTATCTGGAAACAAAGAATTGTTTGACAAAAATAGAAATCAAGTTGGCTAGAGTAAGTTCTCATAAGTAATGAATATGCATCCATTTCAAAGCTACCGATTAAGTTAGAGCAATAATCTAATAAATAGATGAGAATTTACTAGAAAGGAGTCTAATAAAGACGGAACTGAATGTCGGAAAAACCGTGAAGATAAAATATACCCCTGTACCTTCGTTTGTAAATCTTGGTGTAGCTTGGACTTCGTCAGAAGCTACATGATACAGTGTACTGTATAACAGGAACGCTCTGATTATAACACTATTCATAAATACTGTCTTAATCAGTCCACCCCAGCTTTCCACTATTTCCTATTCACAAATCGAGAACTAAGTGCTATATTAACCACAGCCGTGTGTCCAATCAAACAGTATTAGCACGATACGTTGTTGAATCTGGTCAGGGTAGATCGCGACAAACAAAAGAAAGAGCGACCTATTGTCAATATTAAATCCTTTGAATCATATCGATGGCGACAATAAGAAAGAAAACAAAATATAAATAAGGAACAATACACCTCCAGATAGGCAATCATATTTGAACAATTTTTATCGCAACATGCCGGTACGATTTGAATAGGTTCGATTCTGATTTACTATCGCTTTACAGTTCTACAATTCCAACATGAAAGAATCAGTTCTGCTTTGGTTATGTATTATATACAATACGATCAAATTAAAAAAATTCCGTGATTCATATAAGTTCAAGCACGATTTGGCGAATTTAACTACAAATCATTCTTAAACATAGAAAATAAGAATACACGTGTCCACTCTACTGTGGTGATTTCACATCCACCGTCGACGTCACTTATTTGACGTAGAGATTCTAAGAAAACTCCCAAGCCTTATTATTCAGGTCTGAGAAGAAAATAATTTTTACATTATTCACTTTTGAGTATGTTTCTCGTCAAACTGTCAGTTGGGAAAGGCTATTTGATTTATTTTAACGCTTACTATTACATTGGCTATGAACTGACTGAGTTATATTACAATTTCAACAGTAACATCGTTATTTTATTTATATACATATACCGGTAGTTGTTTTCAATTTCAATAAAGCGTAAAATCATATATACACTAGTCGCAGTATACGTAGTTTTTTTTTTCTGGCAGTATGACTGGATTAATCTTCAAGTATAAATACTCAGATGAAGCATTTTTTAAAGCGATAAATTGATGTTAATAATTAAAATTTGTCTTTTTGTATATAAGATTTTCAGCCGTTTACAGTGAGTGTAAAATCACAGTCCATAATCATACTTCATAATCAAAATGGAATTTATTTCATATGTTATTAATTATATGTAATTCATATATTGCATCGGTCTTGTTCTGATTAAATGTTTAGTATATATTCTGCTAAAATGTAGGCTTAACTTAAACTGATTATATCTGCTAGGTATCTATCAACTTTGAAACTGTTTGTACGTCTCGTATAGCTTCGAACAACTTTGTAGAAACAAAATTTATCAATATTCGAATTATTATGACAATGTAGTTTGGGATTCTAGAATGATTTCTCTATACATTGTTTCTCTCCGGCCGGCTCCAAAATTGTTCGAAATCTAAGTGTCCATAGATTCATATAGAGGGTGATGAGAGAAATACGTCGATTAACCAAATTTTAGCGGAAAGGTCTTTTCTTTTATAAATGATGATCACCGAAAAATTGCGACTTTTTTTTTTAATTCACAAAATGATTTGTCCATATTGAGAGGACCGTTTTGAAGTAACGTTCTGTATATATATAAATATAAAACATTTGATGAAAATACTTTTCATATTAACGCTTTTTTACGGTTTGGTGTTCAAATGATCGTAAGTATCATAGGTCACATGTATGTTTGTCTATTTGAGTATTTAGCGATCTAGATGGCCAAGAAATGCTTTTTAATAAATTCTCTTTCGTTTATGTGATGTCTATTTCACACGTATTCATAACGTAAAGTAACAATAATATCTTAGCAGACAAAGTCACAATAATACCTTTCAGCTTTTATTTGAAATTGCTGGGTGTATAAATGTGTTATTGCATTTTAAGGATAAATATACAATGAAGTTTTTTTCTACTAACTAAATCAATGAAATGAACTAATTTGCTAAATATAATTAAGTTGAAACTAGACTTGCTATAAAAGTAAAAAACAATATGCATATAAATACGGCATTTGATTTCAATTTTACAGCATGAGACGTAGTTGATTCGGAAGTAGCAATACGAGTACTAGCATATTCAGTGTATGCTCCAGTTGTTTTTTCTTTTTCGTCAATTTTCTCAATAATCCAATTCATATACGTTACTACGTCAGTGTAAGCCCCTGGTCGTTGTGCCACTGCACATCCTTCCCCGAAACTTGTTATCCCTCGTGCAACATAAACTGAAGATTCCATGCAAACTAAAGGCCCGCCACTATCTCCTTGGCAAGTGTCAATACCACCTTCTTCAAACCTAGACATTAAGACATTAAGGAATGGTTAGGAGGAAAACTAATACTTGATTTTGCTATTATATTCACAAGTGCAGTACACAAACACATTTATAACATTCCCAATAATAATGGAAATACAAAAATTCCTTTATTGTACGTTTTCTCTAATCAAAGTCATAACACCTAAAAGTACTTAAAGTAGACAGATATGTTTATTCAATGTTTCTATGTAAATGACAGTAGATACCGATTTATACAGGACTTGAAGCACGTCAAGTAACCACTGTATATCAAATAGCCTGGCGGTTTGCTTCGATGTAGCCTACTTGCTACGGAGGTGGGCTGGATTTTTAATTTCCATATTAATGATCATATATCGAATTTCTGTGTAGGCCGCGTAGGCTTCTGCGGTTGAAGGCGGAAACTCACCCAGCACAGAAGTGGTCGCTGGGAATGGAGAGGTTCAATGTGCTGTACCATTCATTGCATGTTTCTCGTGATATAATATCAACTCCGGCATATTGAAGAATATTTTGATTCCCAGTATCTGTTGATGAGAAATTCAAAGTATTCATCAATAAAACCATAAACTCAAAGGTATTGAAATACTCAGGGCCCAGGTTCTGAAATAATTTATGACGTTTATTCAGTCAAATAACACCACACTTAGTTCCTAATGCCTTGGACTAAGTTGCCATCGAAAAATAAAAATTCGCATTAAAATCCAATCACCACCATCACTGTTGTACATAGAGGTACAAAACTCCGCGCAAAAACTTCAATATTGATTATGTTATGTTGGCGATTTAGATTTTATCCGTATATCCAGGGCACATGTTTAGAATCTTCAGATCAACGAAAGATTTGGCATCCCAAGAACTTCGCTTACCTTGGGTGTCCCCAAATCCGGATACGAAACAGGTCTGCCCTACTGTAGCTTCAGAACCAAATGTAGGTAAACATGCTGGGCGGACGTAATAATCATAAGTCACTTCAGTTGTTAGTTGTAACAGAGCTATATCAGCAATGAAGCTTCCAATTACATCGCCGTAATCTAAAAATACAGCACAAAATAGTAGTTGCTGATACTCCTGTAGATTAAATATGTACATAGTTTGGGTCACATCTGAAAATACAATAGGACCGTTTGTGACTATGGGGAATTATATATGAGAACAAGTGTCAGTCTATACAACTTGCGTAGTTTTCAGCGTAATCTAAAAATTCAGTAGAAAATAGTCGCTGATGATTCTTGGACTTGTCTTCAGTTTTGGTCATATATAAAACGGCAATGTGACCGTCTGGAAACCTGATAAATTTTCGTGTCCTTTTTCAGGACCCTATACCGTTTCCCTGAAAATAAGACAGTGTCTCATTTCAATTTTCTTCCGAAAAATACCACTAGGGCTCATTTTCGGGGGATGTCTTATAATTTTATTTATCAAAAACAAAACTAGAAAGTACATAATTAGAAGATTTTCAAATAAAAAAAATATTAAAACCGATATCAATTTACTTAAATGACACGTTTTCCTCTCACACGTTTTAGATTGATCATTTATAACGTATGGGAGAGATTTCTTGCTATCGACCAGGTAAGAAATTTTGCGTTATTGACTAGGTCTTATTTTAAGACGAGGGCTTAATTAAAATCATTCCCAAAATTTAGTCTAGGTCATTTTTTCAGGGTAGGTCTTATTTTCGGGAAAACACGGTGTCATTGGGTACCATAAAAGGTTGTCAATTTAATTAGACTGAGATTATATAGTACTCTGACTGGTAAAGTGTCTGTAATGGATGCAGGTCGCATATTTGTATTTCGTCTAGATTTCTAGTTTTGTAGCTTTTGCTCGCAATATTTTTATCTTGCACGCTTTTCCCGACCTTTCACCCCCGATAAATAAATTAAAACTCCAAAGAAGACAGAGTGATCATTGAATTATCTGATTTATATTTAAATCTCCGAAGCAAAACTGAAAACTAACGAATAGAGTTCAAAATCGCGATAACGAGGTAATGTTTACGACCACGCCTGGAAATCTGTCTGAGTGAAAAAAGTGTCTGAGTAGCGCAGTTTCGAGACTCCAATCCGTGCGTTACAGTGGCCTAATAGTGAAACATTAGTAGTAAACCTACACTAGTAGTCACGCAACTGCAAATCCCAACAGACAAGCTCCGTATTTTGAATGTTTATATTACTGCTCTTTTTCACGAGATAAACTATCGTATAAAAATTAATAATAAACAATACTTTGTAGTAGCTATTTTATACTAAGCCTTGTTAAACAGGACGCGTTGGGAAACAATTTGATAGTTTTGACTGGCAGTAATAACCAACATACCTTGATGCAAAAAATGTTCTTCAACGTTAAGATACTGTCTGCCTATTTCGTCCGAATTAGTTTGATTGTTAGCTCCAAGGATTATGATTATACTCTCAATTGTATCCTCGCTGAAACCAGAAAAAATATTATGCAGCGTAATCAGGGCGAGATTTAGACATTTGTGAGGTCTCATTTTACATTGTGTGTGTAGTTTACAAGTGTATGTACCAATATGTAGGTAGCTAATTTTGTTCGCCTACTTTACATTAAGTTATGTGAAGGAACTGAAGCCTATGGCAGAGAGTGTATTCACTTGGCTGATTTATATTTATGAATTTCCGTGAAATACGAAATGTTAGTTACGGTCAAGTACGCCAATTAATCAAATATATTGGACAGTAGGGTAAATTTTAAAACACTCAGGAAATCAAGGCTGTAACTCAGAATTGAAGTGGTTTGTTACGGTTAGACACTTAAAACAAAACTCAGTCAGCTGAACACTATTAAATTAATCCGATAGTCTCAAATTGTTTAGCCTGATTTCAATCTTGGGATAAATATCTTTTGTACAAAGCCTCCGCCAATAAAAAAAGCAGCCAACGTTTAAAAATTCGGTGTATTTTGAAATACCTAATATGATCAATATTAATATTATAGCACGAAACTTAACTGTCTCCAAATACATTGTCCAGTATAAATATGTAAATTTCTTTACGTCTGCAAACAATGAGCCGCAGTCAGTATCCAGGTTGGCCTTATGAGAATTCCTCCGCAGTAAAGTGGCTGATGTTTTGTTTTCACGTGTATCAATGCTTGCCATGGCCACTGGCCTGCTGCTGCGTCACTGCCGTTTACCACTCTCCCGTTATTTCTGGTGATCCCCGCAACACCGCATTCTCCTGTAAAAAACGATACCTACAAATTTTATGGGTTTTTTACACTTCTTTTGTCATTGGCTTTTGGCCAAACGAATTTGGAATACTTGGAAGATATGTAAGTTATGTGATTTTCCATTGTAAACTACTCAGGACTGTGAATCAATCACTCGGACATTTTCCTGGGATATGCAAGCTGTAGTCGCGATCTCCGAACCTTTTCGTCTTAAACAGGCTCTCAGTAGTCAGTATTAATTAAAAAGCAATCAATTACTCAACATTTATCAATTTAACGATAAGGCACTTTGTTGTAAAAAACAGTTATCAAGGAAAAATCACTAACCGTTTTCCTAGTGGGGAATTACCCAGTTCACCGTGAAAAGCCCGTGTTGGTATATGACTATCATATGATATAAATATAATTTTTTTGACAAAGTAATGATTGTAATGATTCAATTATATTTGATGAACGCCTCACTCGGTGATCAAATGTTAGATACGTGTAAGAACACATCATTTTGGATATTATCATATTTTAAATAATTTTATTTGTCATGTCCGATTGCCGTTTGGGTCCGGACGTGTTTTCGTGGCACTGTATTACGGATGTTCAATCGGTTCGCTGCAGTATCTTCACTTCGTGCACTTTGGGCAAAAATACTGATGTTAATTGGATCAAGTGACTATTCTCTCCAACGATAACGCAATTGTCACCGCGCAATAGAATAGTTGACTGTAGGGATTGACATCAAATTTTACGGATGCAGATTCGGAATTGACAACGAAATGAATGGGCATCAAAAGTATAGATTGGTCTTGATCTTGCTCGTCTTCCAGGTTCTCTGCATTTTGTTTGTACGTCTAATGTTGTTTTGTTTTATACAATAAGAACCAAAATAAAATTGACTGATTGATTGAATGATTAAATAATATTAATCTTACCGTTGTAATCTCCACCCTCACCTTGTCCATAAACATTTGGGTGTATACACATACATATCAATATTAAGAATAGTTTGCCAAGTTTCATAGTACATTTATTGACTTGTAAACTTAGAAATATGATTAGCCTAGTGCTTCCGCAAATGAAATTTTTTTTTTGTGAAATGCTCATTGCTCACAAGATGCTAAAATGCCGTTTACAATTCAATTCTTTTGTCATAGACACGAATTGTGACATATTAAGCAAGCATTGTGGTATTTTCCATCTCACATACAGTTAAAATATGTTTGAATTCTTCAGCTTTCTCTTTAAACTCATGTTTACAAAATGGCTGCAGATTGATTGATTACCATATGTGAGGTACAGAATGGTAATTACTAAATTTTCTCACATATAGGCAGCATTTTGTGTAATACTGTTTAGGCTGGTTGCAAAAACACCCGGCATGAATCACATTGTTAGGCCACAACTTTTAATTATCAGGCATAGCCAACCTAGGCTCATAGAATCAACATTCGATTTTTAGTTTTCTATGACGGCAAAATTGTTAGCATATATTCCCGACCAAAACGACAGAAAGCCATATAACAATTTAGACTGCCAAGCACATCATTCAATTTTGCTAGTTACCTCAGCGAGCCATAACACTAGTTACTTCAGTGAGATTAGTGATGTAACAATAAGTCAAGAAAATTTTCTGGTTAATTTTATGACAGAACAGCACGGAATGCGATTTTTTTATTACTCTTCGAATGCGAGGGGGTCATAGATAATGAAGCGGCGAGCCACATGTGGCCCGCGGGCCTGGGTTTGGACCACCTGGCCTAGTGTATTACTACAGAATAATGTACGAAAAAAATATGAATTTATACTTGAGAAAAAACGGCTAAGAAATGATTGACTATAACGTGACATATCGCGAATTGTTGTCCGGGTGCCATTCACTTCAGATTAGAACACACGTTTTTTGTATAATATTTCGGAAGTTATATGACAATAACAAGCTTTCGAGAACTGCAATTTAATCTCTAGGTTCATTTACATTGTGTCGGTAATCTATCAAGATCTGTATAGAAAATTTAAAGACATATCTATGCACTACTACTGTATACTGACGTATCTACAATTAGACATAAACCTGCCGTTGATCTACCATTCTACCAAATCTATGATACGAACTAAATAATTTTTGGAGTATTTTTGGAGTAGACACCACTTGTGACACTACGCCACTATTATTTGAAATGAAGCGGCCTTTTCCCCCGAGTTCTATTGGATTTATACCATACCATGATTACAAAATATCTTATAGCCCTAATAAACGAACTTGTATATCAGTTGGCACAATACTTCTGTAAAGTATGTTCATTCTCCATAAAAATCAGGAATAGTTTTACTGTGTCAATAATGATTTATTGGGGTATTCGTGGTGAAAGCATTATTGTAAATATTTGGAAACAAAAGAGCACATCCCGTGAAAGCATATTGTGCCACATGCTCCGCCTCAATAGTTGTGAACCCTATATATGTTCAAGGTGGATGAATTACTTCAAATAGACGTCAAATTTCTCCTTCATATGATTTTACATCTCGCATTCTTATTCTTGGGATATAAACATATTCAAATGTCGCCACTTTGAAATGGTGGTCGGGCAGATAAGGACAAACGTATAACACTGGCTTGAACCCGTTCATACTCGCCACAATAAAACTAGTTACTCAAACAGTTCTCGAAAATACTGATCATAAACTTTTAATGTTTCACTGAATATAAAAAAAGAGTGACCTCTACTCTAGGACACGAAGTAAATCAATAGATTGTTTTCAAAATTGTTGTTTGCAAATCTCCCAAAACTGAACCAATTTCAAATTTTAAGCATTTAAAATATACGAGTTTTTCTCATGAAATACTGTATTGGAATTTATTTTGTAGTTCCCAATTTCTAATTAGTAATATAGTGCTCATACATAAATTTGATTTTGTGATATTTTGTGAGTTATTATAAATATAAAATGTTGTATAAACAGTGTAAGTAAGTATCAACAATTCGATTATCGATACGGTGGTTTGTGTGTTTTATATCTTCGTTCGTTCTGTTCCATTTTGCTTAGTTTGAATTGTGAAAAAATAAAAATCATTTAAATCAGGATTAGGTACTTAGAGAAACAGTGACCCTAAAATTAACTTGGAAATGTTAACTTGTATTGCAGCGGTTCTCAAGGTTTTTGTTCGTGCGGCGCCAAATTATCAGCAAAAAATCTCACGGCGCACTTACAGGAAGAAAGAATGCTTGGTTAATAAAGCTTAATTTTGTGATTGTTATTTTGTACTATATTCCTTTTAAAGTTTGTAAACAAGTAGGCCACCTACTTCCTCATCTGTGCCTGATTTTCCTTCGAAATGTTGGAGCATCACTCATGCTCTTTAAACTCGGTTCATCAGATAATAAACTGCAGCTCGGGAAGTTGAAGCAATATAGCGTTACGTAACAATAGAGGCAGACACTACGTAACAGAAATTAAACGACATAAAATGGTGAAAAAATTTATTGAGTCAAATACACAGCATTTAAAATAAAAAAAAACAATAAAACATTTATACGAAATAGAATATGTACAGTATTCGATCCTATTTTGGGTTTGTTCAACACAATTCTGGTAATTTTCGCGTCGCAGTTAGCAACTCGCAGCGGCGCACCTTTTGGGAACCACCGTTGTATTAGGAAAAAAATAAGGAAAACAAATATTTTCAATTTTTAAACTCCTTCAATCTCTTATTCAAATACTATGGTAAAATTGGCTTCAAACTTCAGTTAGAAAACCGGTTTATCGCAACACGATTTGAATAGGTTCGATTCTGACTTATCGCTTCAACAGTTCTACAATCACAATATGGAAGAATCAGTTCTGCCCTGGCGATGCATTATATACTCGTACAATACGATCAAATTAAAAAATTTCTGTGATTCTTATAAGTTCAATCGCGATTTGCCGAGTTCAACTACAAATCATTCCTAGCCATAGAAAATAAGCTGTCAACTCAACTGCAGTGATTTCACATCCACCGTCGACGTCACTTATTTGATGTAGAGATTCCTTGTTATTCAGGTCGGGGAAGTAAATATTTTTGAATGGTTATGACAATGTAGCAGGATTCTAAAATGACTTCTCTATAGATTGTTACTCTCCGGCCGGCTTCAAAATTGATCGAACTATATCGTAACCCAATTTTAGCGGTAATCTCTTTTCTTTTATAGACGGTGATCACCAAAAATTTTTTTTTTTTCAATTTACAAAATGATTCGTCCTCATTTAAGAGGACCGTTTTGAAGTAAAGTCCTGTATATAAATATAAAACATTTGCTGAAAATACTTTTCATATTAACGCTATTGGTTTGGTGGCCAAACGATCGTAAGTATCATAGATCACACGTATGTTTGTCTATTGTATTGAGTATTTGCGATCTAGCTCAATGGTCAAGAAATTCTTTTCAATTGTTTTTCTTTCGTTAATGTGATGTCTATTTCACACGTGTCCATAACGTAAAGTAACAATGATATCTGAGCAGACAAAGTCACAATAATACTTTTCGGCTTTTACTTGACATTGCTGGATGTAAAAATATATTATTTCATTTTTAGCACAAATATACAATGAACTTTTTCTACTAAATCAATGAAATAAATTAAACTAGACTTGGTATAAAAGTAAAAAACAATATGCATATAAATACGGCATTCGATTTCAATTTTACAGCATGAGACGTAGTTGATTCGGAAGTAGCAATACGAGTACTAGCATATTCAGTGTATGCTCCAGTTGTTTCTTCTTCTTCGCCAATTTTTTCAATAATCCAATTCATATACGTTGCTACGTCAGTGTAAGCCCCTGGTCGTCGTTCCTTTGCACATTCTTCTCCGAAACTTGTTATCCCTCGTGCAACATAAACTGAAGATTCCATGCAAACTAAAGGCCCGCCACTATCTCCTTGGCAAGTGTCAATACCACCTTCTTCAAACCTAGACATTAAACTTCATTCAAGTCGAGATATAATTGATAATAATAGTTCACAATGTCTTGCAGCAACTAGAATCTAGATTCATCCATCGCGAAAAATTGAAACTGATGGGTTTTGAAGCTGATAAACCGAACAAAAAGGAATCGTTAGTATAGGAGGAAAATCAATACTTAATTTTACTATTATATTCAGGGCAGTACACAAACACATTTATAACATTCCCAATGTTATGGAAATAGGATAGAAATATCGAGATTCGTATTCGAGCACGTACACATACGCTCCATATGTACGACATTACACATTTTTAAGCTTCTTTATTGTACGTTTTCCTAAGCGAAGTCATGATCCGTCATCGAAAAGTAATGAGAGTATTGATAGACGGCAATTGATTGCAAGTGACAGACAAGTTCAATTTACGTCGTCTATTCATTTTTTTTTATGTAAATGACAGTAGATACCTATTTATACAAGACTTCAAGCGCGTCGAGTAATCACTGTCCAGTCCAGTGGTTTGATTCGATGTAGTTGCTACGGAGATGGGCTTGATTTTCAATTTGGATTTTAATGATGATATAACGAATTTTTGTGTGAGTCACGTATGCTTTCGTGCTTATATATCTCAGCAATGCTTTCCTGTTAATTGAGTAGAAGGCCTAAACTTACCCAGCGCAAAAGTGACCGTTGGGAATGGAGAGGGGCGATGTACGGTACCATTCATTGCATGTTTCTCGTGATATAATATCAACACCGGCATATTGAAGAATATTTTGATTCCCAGTATCTGTTAGGTGTTGATGAGAAATTTATAGTATTGATCAATAACACCACAGACTCAAAAGAATCAAGATTCTAAGGGCCAAGATTCTGAATTACTTTGTGACTTTTATTCAGTCAAATAGTAACACATTGGTTGAGTTCCTAATGTGTTGGACTCATCTATGTTGCAATCGAGAAAAAATACTCGTTTTGAAATCCAATGAGAACCGTTGTGTTGTGCAGAGACGTGTAAAACTCCGCGCAAAAACTTCAATATTGAGTATATCCTGTTGTCAATTTAGATTTGATTGGTATATCCAGGTAACTTAGTTAGATAAACCAAAGTATACAGCCCAATATTAACTTAGCTTACTCTGAGTTTCACCAAATCCGGATATGAAACAGGTCTGTCCTACAGTAGCTTCAGAACCAAATGTAGGTAAACAAGCTGGGCGGACGTAATAATCATAAGTAACTTCAGTTGTTAGTCTTAAAAGAGCTATGTCAGCAAAGTAGCTTCCAATTGCATCACCGTAATCTGAAAATACAGCACAAAATAGTAGTTGCTGATACTCCTGTGGATTAAACATGTACATAGTTTGGGTCACATCTGAAAATACAACAGGACCGTTTGTGACTATGGGGAATTATATATGAGAACGCCTCATGATTGGTATTTTATTAGGGTGCTCCATTAAATCAGACTTAGATAATTGTATTCAGACTGGTGAAGTGTCCTGTGGCAAAACGTGTGATTGTAAAACACTTGTGGTAACCTCACACTAGTAGCCAGTTCTCAACAGCAAGTTCTAAGAGATTAGTTTTGTTGTTTGAATGTTTGTATAACTGCTGATTTACAGGATAAACCATCGTGAAAACTTCATTAAATAATATGAAGTTTTCATGCAAGGTAGTTTTTGTCGGCATTCAGTAACAGCATTTCCGTTTCGGTGAATTGTTTATGCTGGGTTTAGTTATTAACTATTTTATACCAAGATCTGTTATAGCCTTCAGGTTGGCGGAAGGAAGCAATTTGACAGTTGTAACGTTGGTACTTGGTATATCGTACCTTGAGGTGACCGTATCATTTGAACCCATACATTTGCATGGATTCAGATATCCGTAAATAAAAAAATTTCCATATGTGCAATAGTATGCAGGTTCAACTGTCGTGGGTTCAAATGTAATGGAACCTACCTTGATGCACAAAATATTCTCCAACGTAATGATACTGCCTGCCTATTTCGTCCAAATTAGTTTGGTTTTGGGCTCCAAGAAGTATGATTATACTTTCAATTCGAAATGACCTAAAATGAGACAAAATATTGTGCAGCGTAATCAGGAACGGATTTAGACATTTGTGAGGCCTCTATTTTTACAATGACGCCATACAGAACTCGTTATAGCGTCATGCTGGGACTTTCACCTCATCTAAAATGTATTGTGACGCTCTAAATAAATTTTAAACTGCTTGAAATACGGAATGTTACTGGCAAGATATCAATCAAATAGATTGGACAGAGAGTTGAATTAAAAAACATATATATAAATACTCAAGGCTGTATGTAACTCAGAATTGAAGTGGTTCAGGATAAGAAACCGGCAAAATTTTTAGTATTTGATCTCTAAGAACAAGTCTTAGTCAAGATGAACAGTATTAAATTAATTCGCCCGTCTCGGGTTGTTTAGCCTGCTTTCAATCTTTGAAAAAAGTATATGTTTTGAGCTTTGATGTATTTTAAAGTAGCTGATACAGTACAATACAAAATATAATATTCATATAGCACGAGACTGAGCTGTCTCCAACGGTTCCATTACATTTGAACCCACGTACATTTGAACCCATGACAATTGCACCTGTATGCTATTGCACCTATGGATTTTTTTTTGTTTCACGGATAGTTAAACCCATACTAACCCTAACCCATGGGTTTTAGCACCCGCATATAGATTGAACCCGTGGATATACGCATGGGTTCAAAGGTACATGGGTTCAAATGTACGGTCACCGTCTCCAACTACTTATCTCCAGCTTGCGTGAAAACTATATGAAGTCACTCACGTCTGCAAACAATGAGCCGCAGTCAGTATCCAGGTTGGCCTTATGAGAATCCCTCCGCAGTAAAATGCATGTAAAGACTGAATTATTGTTTTTACGTACATTGATGCTTGCCACGGCCATTGACCTGCTGTTGCGTCATCACCGTTTACCACTCTTCCGTTATTTCTGGTTATCCCCGCAACACCGCATTCTCCTATAAAACCGATACATGTAAATCTTATGAAATCTTCACACTTCTTGTGTCATTTGGCAACAATGTAATCGCGTTTAATTTAGTGCAAAGTACTATGAGTTTTTAAAATTGAATGAATGAATTTAGACAAAAGCAAAGAGCGTATAATGATATCCATTATAAAGTATTTGTTTACATACACACGACCTTGAATGTAGACAATCACGGCTGGGCATTGTCGAATACCTGATGATTTCAGAATCAAATGGAATATTTTTTTTAGTCAAATTTTCGAATACTTGTAACCCACATAAATTACTTTGAACATAGAATCCATCACTCAGTCAGTCCGGTGGAACAAGCCACCTGGTCGCGAACATTTTTATCTGAAACAGGCTCCCACTATTGGAATGCAATCAGTTACTTAACGTTTATCATTTCAACAATAATCCACGTTGTTGCTATAAGCCATTATCAATAGAATTATCCGGTTCATCGAGAAATACTCGCCAAAGTATATAATTCTCATATGACTCATAGTAAGCAAATATAAATTTTTTGACAAAGTAATGATTCAATCATACAAGAAAAAATATTTGATGAACGCCTCGCCTGGTGATCAAGATTTTAGATATGTGTAAGAACACATCATGTAGAATACTATCACATTTTAGATAGATATATAGATTAGTTAGGAAATAAATATATGATATTAATCTTACCGTTGTAATCTCCATCACCACTTTGTCCATAAACATTTGAGTGTATACACATACATATCAATATTAGGAATAGTTTGCCTAGTTTCATAATATATTTTTTGATTTGTAAACTTAAGAAATATGACTAGCCTGGAGTATTATTATAGACAAAAAGTATGAATTTAAACACGAGAGAATACGGTGGAAGAAATGGTTGATCAACGTGACTAAACGCGAATTGTTGTCCGGGTGCCATTAACTTTAGGGTTAATAGTTAGTTTGAATGCACTGAATAATTGTTGATAAAACAGGACTTCGGTACTACCACAGCACAATGAGCATCTCTTCAAACGTGTTACACATATATAGTATTGTTAGATTAGAACACACGTTTTTCGTATAATGTTTCGGAAATAATGTGGCAATAACAAGCTTTTGAGAACTGCGATTTAATCCTTAGGTTCGTTCACCTTGTGTCGGAAATCTGTCAGGATCTGTATAAAAAGACATATCTATGCACTACTACTGTATACTGACGCATCTACAATTAGACATAAACCTGGCGTTGATACATCAAATATATAATACGAACAAAATAATTTTCTGAGTAGGCACTACTCGTGACACTAAGTCACAATTATGTGAAATGAAAGCAGCCTTTTCTATTGTCTTCTATTTGTCTTATACCATACCATGATTAGATTTCTTATAGTCCTTTATAAACGAACTTGTATGGCAGTTGTCATAATATGTCAGTTGAGTATGTTTACTCTCTATTGAAATCAGAAGTAGTTTTACTGTGTCAATAATGATTTATCGGGGAATTATATAAATGAAGGAGTGCCGGTTTTATAATAATTCCTATGTTTTGACGAATAGAATTCGCGGTAACAGCGTTATTACAAATATTTAGAAACATAGGATTACGGCACGTGAAAGCACATTGTGCCATATGCTCTTTCTCATAAATTGACTTCGCCTATTTTTCCTTATATATATATATTTTAGGTGGATGAATGACTTGATGATGAAAAAGGTCAAATTTTAACGAGGAACCGGGTAAAGAATTTTACAAATCTTTCACATGATTTTACATCTCGTATTCTTATTTTTGGGATATAAATATTTTCAAATGTCGCCTAATGCTACTTCATAATGGTGGTTGGGCGGATAAGGACAAACTTATAACAATGGCTTGAACCCGTCCATACTCGCCATCAATACTAGTTACTCGAACAATTCTCGAAAAAAACTCACAATAAATTTTTATTGTTTCACTGAATATACAACAGTGACCTCTTGGACTCGAAGTGAATCAATAGATCGTTTTCTAAATTGTTAATTTATACGAATTCCTTAAAAACTTTACCAATTCCTTAAATTTTTAGTAGTCAAGATAGATGAGTTTTCTAGGGGAATACTTGTATGTAAATTCGATTTGGTGATGTGTTATTGGTTAGGATAAATATAAAACATTATGTAAACGGTTTGAGTAAGTATTAACCATAGGTTTATCGATACGGTGGTTTGTGTCCATATATTTGTTCGTTCTGTTTAATTTTATTTAGTTTGGGTTTTGAGAAAATGTAATTAAAATTAAATCTGGATTAGCCATTTGGAGGTTTGGGAAACACTGGTTCGGTAATTATTTGTATAGCTACCTACCTACGTTTAAACGTTACTTTTTTCAGTAATATCAATACAAGGACGGCGAGTGCGTAACTTGAAAAATGTAATTAAAACTGTATTGAGAAAATATGTAGAGCAAATATTTTTCATTTTCAAACTACTGTAACCTTTTATTTAAATACCATGATGAAAATCGCTTCAAACTTTAATTAGAAAACCGGTTTGAAAAACATTTATTTTTTTTTCGTCATTTTTTTCCAATAAATATTTTTCAAAATTTAAACATTCTTCATTTTGTCTTAAAACCCTCGATATATAAGTGATGTTGTTCTCGATAATGTTCAACACAAATCCACAGAAAAAGGTTTCATTTATTTCACAACGACATAAATAACAATGAGGCAATAAATAAATATAGTAATATTTGAGTACGGAATTTTTATTGAAATGGAATCAGAGGTAGTCGCTCTGATAGTTTGTGATGCTTTCATAGTAGTAGTAACATCATAAGTTGTGTCGTGAATAGTGGAAATAGCAGTACTAGTTGACACCACAAATCGAATCTCCACAACAAATCCTGGGTATTCGTATGATTCGTCAGATTTGAACTGGAAAACCGCGGTGTTGTTCTCAACCATATGATCGTCGGGAAGTTTATTTCCACATAACATGATATCGTTACCTGTTGTGAGTAAAATATTCATAGCAGTTGTTAGTTTAATATTAATCGCTACCAAGACTGTTCTCTCGCAAAGATGACTGGAGCATCGGGATAACATTTTTAACAAAACAAAGGCTATTGATTTTTCCCTAATATTTATTTGACACTCCATGTCACAGATATCTCTAATCAGTAATGGGATTCAAAATTCTAAGATTAAGTTATGTTTTTAATCGAACACGTTTCTGCCATTTCAAACACCATGCCGAACTTATGGCCCTTCAACAATACAAAAACGTAACACGATAAGAACAACTTAAGGTCATAAATGTCATCACCTAACCTAAATATGAACCATTACTTTGATAATATTTACGCTTTACATAAACGTCGAAAGAAAATTTGCTGAGGTCGCCTAACGTCCAAAACATAAAGACAAAACCGATTATCACGGCATTCCCTGAATCCAGCCACTGTTTATAACCAAGATAATTAGTATTAACCACTAAGATATACTGAACCTTACCGCCTGTTAAGTCTGATATGAGTATGTAGTCATTGCAACCTCTTCGGTAATGCGGCATCAAAAAATAACATTGGAATATAAATTGAATATGAAAACCTTCTGGTGCAACGATTCTCCACAAACAATCCTGAGAGAAAAAAATATACAGTTTACATGGCATTGATTGCGTAGCAGTTCGCTGACCAGACGTCCAGCGAAACATAATTCATAAAATATCTGGTTCTCAAGGACTTATTTTTAAAGTGTAATAGATTGAAGATAAACCGTGGGCCGAACTTTTGCTGTTTTATGGCAGGACTCATACTCCAGAATGAGATTGACGTGACGCCATAAAGCAATAATTCTTGGACAGCAAATCTAACATGGCTGTAAAATTTCGGTTGAATGTAGCCTTTTGTCCTTATGTGCACTTGTTCCATTAACTCAGCCACAACAGTTCATGATGTTTAAGTATGACTGATACTGATAACTGATTTAAATCATACATTGTGCAGTGGCATAACTTCACTTACGTAATTCGGTGGATATGTATAACTTTGAAGATCTGTTGGATTTCGGATGATTGTGCCACTGTTGTTCACGATTCCACCACAAATATTGCTTTGTATAGGCATGCATGAGTTACCTTAATCAGAATAAATAGAAATGATATAATCTAAACTGCGGATGAACATTATCGTAGAGCTCACATGGGGGAATTATGACGTTTTATTATTCATAATGATTGTTTGAATTTGCGTGTGCACATGTTTCTGAATGTAAATGATTTCAAACTTTCAATACTTAAAGATGGAAGTCGCCAGAAGGGAGGTATTACATTTATTTTTTCTTCCTGGCCCTATCTTCGAGATCCAATATTTCACCCAAAATATTTCTATTTTAATTCATGAGAACACTCTACTTATTCCGTCAAGTGTGGCGCCTAATACTTCGCGACCGTCCTTCGTCTCGTTTTGCCAAGTCGGTGCTCAGCCATGTTTCAGTGTAACTGAAGTGGGCTACTGTTACTGAGGATAGTTATTAGATCTTTGTGTTCATATATTTAAGCAGTGTATTTAGAATCGTGATCTCTTGCATTTCTCAGCCAAATAGACACCAAATTTTGCAGTCTACAGCAAGCCTCATCTAACAATATGATAATACCGGTATTAAGTGGGGTCAATAGTTATGTAATTCAAAATAGGTAAAATGGGATACCCGAATTTGCTCTTATATTTTCTTCAATCCATTTTAGATAATCCACCACCTTCACATAAACTCCTGGTCTTTCTTTTTCTGCGCAACCTTTTCCAAAGCTTGTCATTCCGCGCAGTACATAAGCAAATTGTCCTGACTGTGTAGATTCTTTGTAGAGCAAAGGCCCTCCACTGTCGCCTTGGCACGTGTCGGTACCCCCTTGTTTGTGTCTGTCAAAACATATATATTCCGGTATATGTGTACTCTAAGAGATGGATAATAGGTACAGAAAAAAATTAATAGTGTCTCACCCAGCGCATAAATGACTCTTTGGTATAACGGTGTTGATTTCACCATACCAAGACCGACATTGCTCAGTGTCGAGTACAAACACTTCGGCTTGTCTTAGCAAATAATTACTTCCTGTTCCTAAAGAAGAATATTTCACATAGGTTTTTATTGTAATAATGAATTTTATATGATCCGAAAATCAACATAAATATGTTTCGAGATCGATGCAATCTTATTAATTCAACAATGCATATAATTGTGGATGGAATACCACGTCTTCCTACGATTCTTTGTTCCATGTAGTTATGTATACAGATGGCCTATTTGGGCGCAAAGATGCTTTATTACAACTTCAAAAGAACGAGACGACAGTTTTAGTGCGACAGCATCTAGCATCCTTAATAGATACAAAACAAAAATGAAATCTGATATTTGAAAAAAAAAATCATTCTAAATCCGGCAAATATACGATATAGTTCTTCAAAAAATTTTATATTGAAAAACGGAAAAGAAAAAACGATGGGGTTCTACGTTCCCAGTTGTCGCGCCATCAGCCTGATCCTTCAAATATATAACACTTTGTTTCGTTAATCATCATCTTCAATATTTTTGTATGATAATCATGTTACCACAGATAAGTCGTTTACCAATTTGAGTCAAATATTACCTAAAGTTTCTCCCCATCCGGTAACAATACAAGAACTTCCCACTTGCATGCTACTTCCACTGGTTGGCAAACACGCAGGAATAATATATTTACTGAAGGGCACAGACTCGGCCAATTTGATCAAACATATATCATCTTTGAAAGTTGATGAATCATAATCTAGAAAACACAAAAATCAGAAATACATGCATTTCAAATCTTTTTTTCAATAGTTTTTTTTTAATAGCACGAATATTGCCAGTTGTTTTCTAATATTTTAGGTAACAAAAATGTGTATTTACTGATACCTTGATGGCATATTAATGTATGAATTATGACTTCCATGGCGTTGGAATCAGATGCGTCTTTCCGCTGAGCGCCAACAAATATTCTTAGTGACTTCATGTCTCTAAAATATATTTGCATCAATAGATATATAATAGAAAAAGAAAGAGAAATTGAGAGACACCATTGTATCATTATATTTGGCATCATTGGAAATGACGCACATGTGAATGGACGATCAAGGGTAAATAATTATAACTCGGTAATAGGCAGAGACATAGCCAAGTCAAATGTTTGACGTTTAAAAATACTCAGTACATTTGAATAATTTTATTGGAAAAATCTTCGAAGAACCTTGTTTACACAATAAAGAAAATTTTCGTCGCCTAAATGAGTAGCCGAAACAAATAACTCTTCAAATGAAGTTTCTAAGTTGTCCAAACCAAAGTAACATATATATTATTAAATATATCTCTTTCAATTAATTTTCCATTAATTTCATAGTTGACTTACCCCACCATACAATGCGCTACTGTTAGAATCCATTCTTTGCTAATAAGCGTTCCTCCGCATACTTGATTACCATTTTCCAGTATAAGAACCATCCAAGGCCAATTTCCCTCATCTGCTACGCTTCCATTCACTATTCTTGCAGAGATTGATGGATTGACTTCAGGAATTCCACAAACCCCTGCCGTTCAGATATTGATCGTTGAAGTGATTTTTTGAATAAAATTTTGATTGTGGTGAAACGGCGTATTGCAAAATTGTACGTGTTTGGAAAGATGTACAGTATAATCGAAAGACTAGACTTTACTTGGGAATAGAAGATTCAATGATACGTCTCGATCTAGGTCTTGAATTTTATAATTTGAGGAGATTATGACCCGAGACTACGATGGAACTTGATGAGCAGGCGAATTATGATTTAGAGACTTGTACCAACACAAATAAATATTAGTACGCTAAACGCTTCAAGGATTATAAAAACTAATATAAAAAGAGTCTGATATTTCGATGGGGATGGATTGGGGCCGTGTGAATTATATATACAAATGACCTTACTGTGAAACGTGTAATAATCAAAAATCGAAAGCTGTCAATCAACAACCAATTGACCTCGTCCTCACGAACAGCACATACTTTTTGCTAATATAAATAAAAATTAGCTTGAAATGCACGTGAATATATAGTAATTTAAAATAATTAATACGGTACTTAGGGGTAAGTTCCATTACAAAAAAAAATGCCAAAGCCAGCGTTTTAGCGATTGTACGTAAATTTCACATAGAGAGAACGAAAGCCAAACCGCACTATTTAGTGAATGAAACTTGACCATATCTAACCGTACACAAAAGTAACTTACCCGAATTAATATCAAACCCTGTTGTTGCCTTCATCAAAAATAAAAGTAGTTGAATATTAGTCCGCCATTCGACCATCGTCACATATCGCTCGTAAAAACTATTCCTAGCCTTACAAAAGTCGGTATAAAGCCATATTGAACTAGGTGTTGGTCTATATTCTTTGTGGTAACAAACCACAGCGTTACGGTTGGTAAAATCTTCATGGTACAACGAATATCGGACAATAAGATATTATTGACGTCATTCGAGGCTACCGTGCGATATTTTTCATTGGGTATATAATCGCAGTCCCAACTGACCTGAGTATAAATTTACCAAAAAAGAGTGAAACGAGTTCATTTCTAATTTTAACTGCTATTTTCATTTGTGTTTCAGCCATTCTACTCTACGTCTTCCCAATAATGTTTATGAGACCTAGTCACGATGGCGCCGTATTCTTGTTCTTTTGCTTTTTATTTTGTTTCACTTGTCGAATGGAACAAAGTAATAAATAGTTCATCTCGATGGGGATCGCTTGTATTTCTTCTGCTTTACTTTAATTAAGTTTATTAATAGACAATTTGTTATAAAGTGAATTATGCGAAAGGTCCTAAGTGATTATTACACTGGCACTAAGCGTCGTTGTAGCGTGGCATAATTAATTGAAACAGCATTCAAATTAATCCTAGGATTATATTCGATTGACACACCTTGAAATTAACCACTTTCCAGTCTATTCGGGTTTTACCTCTGCGTCAGTGAGTCTAAATCAAAACTTCTAAACCAGTGGTTCTCAACCTGTGGTACGCGGAAGATGATCAAGTGGTACGCGAGCAGCTTTAACTTATTGCAACAATTAACTTTTGAGTTGGCCAATATATGCCAGTTGCGTTTCAAAAAAATTTGTGAAATAAATATCTCAATTGTCATTATGTCTTCAAAGGAGCAATAATTTAATTGCTGTAATCAAAAAATGAGTCTCGCAAATGATGCGATAGACTAATCTAAACTAAGCTACCTGTAAGCGGCACATGGTTGATTGATTTTAATAAAAATTCGGGTTTTCAAACACGTAAATCAGCTTATAAGCGCCAACACATCAAAACAATCTCGGATATAACAATCTAAAATAAGGATAAAAAATTTTGCAATAGTAAAGTATAGGAAGAATTTCTCTGGGGTCAAGGGTCGGAGAAACGTCTTAACGGCCAGTCCAGTCTTTAGAGATCGCCCTCGCCTGCTATTGTCCACGAACGAATCGAGATGGGCATGTTTTCGTCCGTCTTGCAAATTATGTCACGAAGAATGTAGTGCCACATTATAAAATACTCCCATAGCGCGTGTCTTGTGCCATTGTTCCCCGCGCCAAAAAGGGGGGCTTTTTTAGTGATACGCGGCCAGAGTAAAAAACAGTAAAGTGATACGCGGTTAGTAAAAGGTTGAGAACCACTGTTCTAAACGAAGCGGTTTGAAATTTTTGCATCGCAGTTTCACAGATAATCACCTGGTTAACACTAACTGCATTTTCATTCCATCCAGCATATCCTATATATTAAGATTATAGTCATGAATAACAATACGATTAGTATATCAGAATACTCGAGAAATATGCATTTTATTTTTATTTTTCATGGATAACTGTATATTATCTAGCAAATTATTGGCTTGTATCTGGATATAATATCTTTTACATGTTCTGAAAAAAATATACATATATATACAGTAAATATATACGAAACACTGCTATAAAATGAGCGGGATTCGTGTTCATTTCTTAGGGGTTAAATGGATCATGCAAATAGAAATATGGCAATAACTGTTTCATTTCAAACAAACCTGAATGTGTAAATCTGATTATATAATTCTTCCATCTTTCTGGGAAAACCAAACTATGTTTACGACGCACTGCAAAAAAGGGTAAAATTGACGTGGAAGCAACCAACTTCCTTGACGCAAAAATGTGAAATAAGTTGTAACACAAACGCTAATCAGCACTCTTCATATGAATGATAAATGAAATTACACTGATGTTGCTAAAATGTACGCTGCAGATACATTTTACACTTCTTTTACGAGTGTGACTACAAGAACAATTGCAAATCGTCATAACCACCACGTGACTTCACGTACGTTTAGGAGAATACATTCCAGGTGAATCATCCCAAATATAACTTCGCAGAAATATTTTAGGTCAAAAAAAGAAGAAGATACGAAACATGGATATATTTAGTGTAGTCCAGATACGCCTGAATTGGCAGTCGCTCTCAGACGGCTCGTATGGTAAAATATTGCCCGAGTGTAAACGCCACAATTCAAATTTCACCCATGTCATTGGATAAAAAAATTTCAATAATACCGATGATTGAACATCTTTCGATGAGAGGTGAACAAACGGGGATTGGAAATGTATTCTCTTAAACATACGTAAAGTTACGTTCAGTAAAGTATAAGTCAATCATATTAGAAATACAAAAAGACTCATATACATAAAATCCTATTGATAAAAAATACAAACATTAAAAACGAATGAAGAAGTTCTGTGTAGGCCTACTGTTCTGGTACTGTAAGGAAATATGAACAAAGAAATATTGATTAATATAAAAATGTATATTCTATAGCACACTAAAATGGTTTTGGATTTATTTGTATGTAATAAATAGCCAAATATATTTATTGGGATCGGAAAAAAATTCCCAGTTGCTAATTATTTTTGAACGGGTGTTCAAAGGGTATATTTAAGAATTGTTGAAGCCCCTCGAGAAATTCTGCTGACAATAATCATATTTTTTTGGTTCAAATATTACCTTGTGTTGCGACCACATATTCAGTGCAATCACTTCTGTGTGAAGGGCTTATATAAAACAGACGTAATAGACGGTGTAAGGAAATGCTCAATTGACTCACTGTGTATTTAACTTTTTAACTTGTTTCCAAAACCACTTGTCACAATATTTCTCAATCTCCATTAAGTTTTTAGAGCTAATGTTTCACAATAGACAAATTACATGAGTCATCGATGGAGACGCCGCATTGCTATCACAAATATGATTACTATGAATGATATTATGTTGCTCATTCGTAAATATTCAGTTCAAAATCTGGTTTGAGTAGAATTTACGAAATTTAAGGGTATTAAGGCACTACAATAACTAGGGCTGGGCATTTTCGAATACCTGAAGATCTCAGAATCGAATCGAATATTTTTTCGAATCGAATCTCGAATACTTGGGGAGATATAAAATTGTATGTAACTTTTTATTGTATTAGGTCCTCAAGACGCATAAATTACTGAAAACATAAAATAATTTACTCAGGCAGATTGCTGAGCGTTCACACCCAATAAAAAACGTTTTCATCAATAACTCACTACAAAAAAGAGATATATGTCAGAATTCCGTTGAAAAAATATGACTTCCATAAAAAAAAATTGAGAAATTTACCTCGACCATTGGCGGAAGCGAAAAAAAACAAGATGGCGGCGATTCGAAATTTTGCTCAAAACCGATTCGAATAACTTACTATTCTATTCGAATATTCGATTCGAAAGGCCCAGCCCTAACAATAACCCATATCAGTTATATATATATATATATACATTCAAACTTGTTAAACGTTCAAAGATTCAAACAATAGATTGATCTAGTGTCAATGTATGTGTGAAAGTATGACCACAAAAAAATAATGAAATCTAATTTTTCCTGCAAACGACTCCTCGAAGAGCAGTTCTTCCTTCTCTGTACAGCATCCCTTGATATTTGGAATTCTCCATACGTTTCACCTCTAAATAGATATGTGTAAACTTTGTGATCGCCCCCTTGTGGTCCCATGGAAGTCCGGGAAACCAGCTCATGTAGACATCAGGAGTTAGAACGTGGTTGAACTGAAAAATAAAGCATGTGAAACATGACAATAGCTTCATTGAGAGTACAAAACGTGGACGATTCTGGTGATTATTTCAATTACGCTTGCACGTACAGACAAAAAAAATATACAAAAGGGGCCTTTAAAGCCACATGGTGGAGCCTCTTTAACCTGGACTTTTTCTACAGTTTATATACATTTATATATATATATATATTTATATTATATTTATAATTTGTTTTAAATCTTAGTGCCTTACAAGGTAATGTCTTTCTCTATGGATTTGTGTAAATTTATTGCATCCAGGTTAGTATTATGTAAAATCGCAACGTCGCAAAATTCAACTACCGGCATTCAAACCTATATAGGAGACAGAATCCACATGGACAAAAATTTAGACTCCGACGCTGACTTCTAACTCCGGTTCAAAATATTCACTCGGGACCATGCAGCTCCCGCGTCGAGGTGACTGAATCAGTGACTACAAAAGTTTGAAGTTATAACGTTTTATTACGACGTCGTTAGCACAGAGCCCAGATTCTGAATTCAGCATTCGACTTCCAAAAGTTCAAAATTACGACTCCTAAGCCAATCAATAAAACGTCAAAATTCAAGCGTACAGCACTGATATTAGTGATGAAAGAAAACAACCTACAATTGAATTGATTTTCATTCCGGTCCAAACTACGGTCCAACTGCGATTAGGCGGAATTTTGCTTCTTATATTTGCCATTGTCTGATTGTAAGCCTCTTCCGTATGTATTGCAGCAACGACAGAACGATGGGTTTTGCATATGGTGGAAGCAACTGTATAATTCACGTCTCTAATTTCATGAACTTCTGTCCAATAACATTCATCGTCCACAAGTATTTCACATAGATTCCGCTCTGAGGAAGGAAAATATTTGACAATTTCAACTATTTAAAAATTAAACGAGGTAAGATATACGACTATGTAAAATGAAAAGCTTCTAACATTAAACTTTCTGGAGAACTTTTTTATCGTCTTGTCACACCCATATGCTTTTTATACAGCAACATATAGTATATCGTGTAAAGTATATATAGCCACAGTATCACTAAATTAGACACATTATAAGGTTAGATCTGCATAGACAAACCTAAAATTGATATAAGACATTACCTAAAATCGAAACTAAAACAGATACATCTTCGCCACACAGCCCAAAATATGGCCCTGTTCCACAATGGCAGAAGCTCAAAAAATTTCCATTCTTGAAAAATGTGACAAAGCTAAATTGGGTTTTACTGTGACGAAATATATCTTTTGACTTTTCTTTGGTTTATTTAATTTTAATTTTTTTAATTTTTTTTTAATTTTTTTTTTATATTTTTTTTATATTATTTTATTTAATTTTTTTTATCAGAAAAACGAGAAATTCAACAATGTGATAAAATATATTTAATATTTGAATCAGGAACTGAAAGATATTTTTAATGTAACGGATTAAAATTGGCGATTACCATAGACTCACACAATGAACTCACCTTCTGCTGACCCAACCCCTCCTGCTGCTACCAGTCCCAGAAGTGCTAGTCCGATAAAGTATGTAAGATTATTCATATTTCAATGGATCCTTTTACATCCACTAATCCTATTATAAATGAAATATAATATAAATGAAAAATTATATTCCTATTTTAATTTAGAAATAAAATAAAAAACTTCTGCGATACAATGAGACGTCTCACATTCATTTTTTATTAAAAACCCGTCTGGGAAATCAAATAACCTGTAGTTGTATTCAAGTAAACATTCATGTATATGGTTTCTAGGGAATCTCGTCGCACTCAGTAATTACATTTGAAGTTGTTTGTAGTTGTATTCAAATGACTTTACGATTTAAATAGTAAACCACTTCATAGGATAAAATGTAATAACGTCTTTTCTCTAATCATAGTGTGTTCAGGATGTGTGGTATATGGATGTATGTAATATGTCACCACGGAGCTTGCAGATGCGCAAATGTACAGATGCGACTTATAAAAGAGGTAAACATTCTATATTAATTTGTTAACTTTACGAAAGCATTAGTAGAGCACTCAACCGATGCAAAAATGTTATAAATCGCGGATTACAGAAGCCGGCTTTGCAAGCTGCTACGAACATGAAAGAAGTTGCAATGGGTAATTGACTTTCATTTTGACATATATGCATTCAAGTATTGTCAAGTATTCTTTTCAATTTTGGTTCCACTAGCTGCGCTCTAACCGTAAAAAAGTCTAGAAGTATAATATAACTAAGACTAACTAAAAATGTATCTTTTGACCTTGCTTTATAAAATAGATATTCTAATACACTAAATACTGCACACAGCCTGTCATTGCTTGACTAGATGTATCTAGTATGTATTAATTAGTTCCTCATTCATTCATGAGTCGCTTCGATTTCGCAACTAATATACCTCACTGTGGGAGGATGAACTTAATTAATGATATATTGCGGGCTGATCGTAAATTAACCGATATTAATCACGTGAAATGATCGGGTAACTATTGAATTTGAGTATATTTAGCATATTTTATTTCGTGGGGTAACGAATGATTGCCGGCATATTTCAACTTATAACTTTGTCGAGTGATGTAAAATACCATACTAAGCAACCTTCTTGGAAAGCGATGAAAGGTGCCATACTCTCAAAGTAACGGTAGCGCGGAATGAATAAATCTTACTATGCCCCTGAGAATTAACTCAATCAAAGATATATTGCGATTCCCTTTCCGTCCACAGGTATTTCACCATTCGACGACCCCTCCTTCGATATGCGAAATGAATATCACTTGACGTATGCAGCGACTCGAACTTGACAGATCATATAGTTAGAATTAAAACATACATGTTTTATCTAATATCCACAATTCACAGCAACCACTCGGCTGCATGCTGACAATCGCTAAATTTCATATGTAAACTATAGACTGTGGACTTCATACTGATCTACACCACAAAATCAAGCATATCATATTTCCTAAGCTTCTTAGTCATGAACGAAAATCCAAGGATTACGATATTTCATCTCCTCAAATTAGCATAAACCGCATGTAGTGTATATAGCGCATAACGAACATCCATGAAATTAATGATAAAAGCATCTCCATTTATCTATGCATTGTGCTTGATTTGGAACGAAATTACAAGAAGCAGATAGCTCATGCATAGTTACTATATTTCACTGTTCTGGGAGTTAAACCCGGTTGCCGACTCAAGAAAACAATATATAGTTTGTGCTTCGTCTTATTCGCTGCCAATTAACTGATTATATTCAAGGAATTTAGCCTAAAAACAAGATCCATCGATTCGTTAGAATGATTACGTGGGCTTAGCTTCCAACCGCGGAACGCCACAGTAAATAGTCTATAATCGTTTTAGAAACAGTCCCAAAATCCATTTTCTAAAATGTAATCGGTTTGAAAATTTTATAAATTGTAAGTTACCGGTTGTTTATATAAAAATACGTTGGAAAAAGATGTGTGGACTTTTTCAACATTTCAGGTTAGAATGTAATTAAAACCGCAAAAACGGTTTTGGCCGTCTTGCCCTGGGAATTTTAAACGCGAGTTTTTGCATTTCGTCCCGTCACTTAAAGCAATATTTAGATGTTCGCTTAGGAAGTAAAGTATTGCAGGTAACGCCGAAAAGGAAGCTTGAGTTCGTTAACCCAAGATCAAATTACCGTTTTTTTATCTATTAAAAGGTTAACGTTACTTTGCGACTTATCGAAAATGCATTTGTGGTGAACTGACGACCGAGTTCATAGAATAATGTTTTTTGTACGTCATTTGTTTTCCAGAGTCAAGTATCCGAAACGTTTTCAGTGATTATGAGTTCTTACTTGGTTATTTCGGCAAAAATCAGTACAAAATATGGCGGCTCAAGCCAAGTTTTAAAACATATTTTCCAGTCCATTTTCAAATGTCAAATTACGATTAAAGATATATGATTGAAAAAATAGAGAAACACAAAAAACAAAATTGTGGGTTACGTTATGTGCATAAGCAGTCAATGAAGTGGTAGGACTATATACCCATTCATGTAATATGTTTATGCAACATTCTATGATGTAAAATAATAAATTTGGAAACTGCTGTTTGGGGACGGAATAAATTTCTGTTTTGATATTTCTGATATATAGGGATAGTAAATATAGGAAAAGAATTTCTGCAAAAGAATATATACCCAAAGTAAAATTTGTGAGGCAAATATTACTGTTTTTCATGCCTGTACAGGTTGCTTAATGCGAGAGATTAAATTTTTAAAATCCTACACATAGATGTGCGTCGAACATAGCATTATCCAGGCACCTAAAACTGTATAAATCATTCAAAATTTTATCTAATTGTTATTTAACTTCACCTTTCTTACATTATGCAGTCTGAGAAAACTTTACACTAACACTATGCATATATAGATCGCGTTGAAACTCATATATCCCAAACAAATTCAAAAATACCCCTAAAATGTTAATAGATATATCAAATATTCGTATCGACATGAAATCTTTAAGAAGCCAAAGAAACTACAGGCGTCGACTTTTTTCGTTTATCAATGATATTCCTATTTCTTCTTTCAATAAAATTAATATTCTTTATTGAAAGGTCACGCGCACTGAATAAAAAGTAAAGAAAACTCATTGAGAAAAGTCACTGGTGGCCTAGCCCTAGAGTATTCAAATAAATCCCCCAACTAAAAGTGTCACTCACGAGTAATACTCATTCATTAACTTATTATATATATTATAAATTCAAAATCCAATATAATTTCTCCGGTTAAGACGAAAGATGCTATGTTCACACAGCAACAGTGCCGAAAGGACGAATCCGCGTTTTCTGGCGTTCGTATTACCCATGCTACGTTGCTAAAGCCAACTTCGTGACCTCGACGGCGTATTATATATTGTAAAAAGAACAGACCAATTTAGCCGACATCGTGTCAAATATTTGAAGAAATGGAGTGTCTCAATTTTTAAAAGCAATGTGAATTACAGGAATATTTGTGCCCTTTAGTAATACAATTCATCACACTGTTAAAAGTCGGAAAATGATATATGGCATTTTCGGTATTTGTTTCGTCGGTAATTTCTCAATGAGGAACATGCAGCATATTTAGTGTTTTACCACGCATGGTTAAATGATGGAACTGTTTTTAGAAGCATACAACTCGACTACAACAAACAATTTAAATCTTTGTTTCACGGTTTGAAAGAGTTCGCTGGTACAGCGCCGGATGTAATGTCTGTCTGAAACGTATTCATTGCAACAGGAAGCAGAGTACTTAAGTCAGACATTAGCTAGCTTTCAAATGGTACGAATACAAATTGGAAACGATATCAATTGTGATATTTCGGAGAACTCGCACAAGTCATGTAAGTTGCGCCATTGTGAATGCCTAAAGTTGAGCAACAATGAATAAATTGCTGTCGCGTTTGGAAATCATGAAGATTTCGTATGCGTTGAGTCAAAATCATACCCAATTTGTTACTCCCGTAGTATGTGAACCAAGATGACGGACACCGGAACGTAGTGTATATGTGTACCAGGTTAGGGTCAGGCCATAATTTTAGTCCAATTTCTTTATATTAGTTCTATTACGAATTCGGGGACTAGCCAAGTGACTCCCGGAATATTTGTACCTGAAACTATGGCCTACCCTAACCTGGCTACGTTTTGGTGTCCGCCATCTTGGTTCACATACTACGGCAGTACCCCTTATTCCAATGATAATATAATATTAATAAAGTACGTCGTTTGCAGTTTTCTTCAAATTTGTAGGTCTGCGCGGAATTGGACTAATGGGTGTCTGCAGACAATTTATTTAAATATGTGGATTCCATACTGTCCCATTGCCGCAAAGCTGTTTTATATCAATAACCACAGAAGTATTTCTCTGCGGAACTTGAACTTCACATTTCATAGGTCGCGCACTTTGGTTTTTATCTTTTCCAGCTCAAAGAGATTTACTAATAATTTGAAAGATTGAATGATGGTGTTTTTATAGTGCGTCCTGAGTTTTCAAACAGAAAGCAAATATATAAACTTCAAAATAGTATATATCGGGAACGAATACGCATTCATCGGAAATACAGGCACTAATTTTGATTCTGTTATAGCGAACGTGCGTAAAGTAGGTATCCATTACATGCCATGCTGTTATGCTCTTTACCAGAGTAAATTTTCGATAATGTACGTTTCATTAAATCGGTGTAGGGGTCTTTTTGTTAATAAAGGAGTTTTATGTTATACACGGGAGTTTTTGTTGCTTAGTTTGGTGATTTAATTATTAATACAAACATTCCACTCTTACTTGGGTCTTCATTTATTCATTCTCGTGTATGACAACATCTATATATATATAATTTGTTGATCCCCAGAATTATTTTTGAAGTCAAGTATAAGGGTAATTGTTATCTGAAATTCGCCCCGGGCAGCAGAAGTTTGGTACGCCCCTACATCAAAGAGATCCCACACGCTTTCACGACTGCATCATCATGAGCACAAAGAAAGTTTATTTACCAGCGTCATCTTCTGGTATGATCTTTTTGCGATGTATCGAAGTACGCAAATCAGCGGTTAATGTGTGTGTGTTCATTAAGCAGTTGTAGGAATTAGGAGGGATAGAGGAATTTTTGTTAAACCATAAATACAGCCATCAATACATTAAATAGGTAACAGTAATAAAATTGTCTTGGTGGGGCCAGGAGGAAGCGATACGGCCCTGTGTATGTTCCCAAGGTCGAAATTTAACGTCTTTGGATTCAAAACATCGTCGTGCTCTCAATTTGTTCTGTATTGAACTTCACCTATTTACCAGACGTATTATTCTATGAGGGAATCTTGAAAACTATTGAGCATTGGCCCACGGTTTTGGTCACGCCGTAATACCGGTACGCCTGAAGAAGATTCTGATCTACCGGAACAATTCCATCGTTCCCATGTTCCCAATTGAGACTTTCTTCAGCTTTCATATTGCAGTACACCATCGTGTCAAATATTCAAGCACTAAGGATGCTTAATAACGGAGAACATTAGGATAAGTGAAGATTTTTTATTGTGAAGGAAGAAAGACTCGGCGGACCGTTAGGAATACGCTCGCCACCGCACCCCTGGCTGTGGAAAATGAAGTATATATAAATATTACAAAAGACTCTTTGAAAAGACGTATTGCATTGGGAAAACTTGCAAATCGCATACTGATTTTAGTGAAATACTGATGATATAGATTGCAGCGAAGCAAAAACAACAACTTCCAATTAAAAATAGAAAGCACTGTATTAAATTTTATTTTTATTTTATCCTCCTAACAATTCCAAATAGTTGGATATGCCACCTTTCGCCCTGAGGGAGTAATAAAAATTCCCAACAAATATGAATCTGCTGTCCATGTGCTGTGAGGAACGTCTTTATTTCGATTTATCCCGAACTAACATCAGGCGGGAAGTTGATGGAATGGTTAGTTAGGGATTTAGCTTCTAATACAAGGATGGCCAAAAAGCAGATACGTGAACAACCACACCACAACAAGCTCATCTATCCTCTATTTTTGTTCTCTTCTATAGTGCTGTAAATGCACAGACGACCAAGTAAGTACCTCAACAATTCACAATAGACCCTAAAGATCAAGGAGCTGCCACGTTACTTATTTTGAAACCTTAAACAAATGTATTTGTAAGGAGCAGTTATTGACCTTGACTATTGCATAGGTTGCATAGAGTTGAGCACAATATACAAATAATCAGAATGAATAAATAAAATATTATATTCTCGGATCAGGTGCTGAGTTTACAGTGTTGTACACTTCTTTATAACATAGCGCAATGTCATATCACAAACTAAGGATAAATGATCAGAAGGATAGTTTAACGAAGGGAGTCTATTCGGACCAATCGATTCATCAGATGGCAATTCTAAAATACTGTTTATATTAAATCTGCCTTTTGAATAAAATACATAATCTACAGTTTTAGGGTTTTCTCCACTAGGCCTGATGCACCAAGTTGTATAAGGTGGTTCACTATCATTGTAACCATTATTGGTAGTTTGAGGATTACTGAGTGAAGTATATGCACTGTTAAATGAGTTGTCATTATATTCTCTCATAACTTTGTAGACAGGCTCGTTTGGTGTTGCATTGAAGTCACCACACAGCACTATGGGAATATCAGACTTCAAATAAGGTTGGAGATATCTGTAAGTAATAATAGAAACTGAGTTGTAAATAAAAAAAATAGCGACTTTGAAAATCAAAATACGTACAACACAATAAATCAAGTCAAAATTGTAAATAATAATTTCAAAAAATCATTAAGTGTAAAATAAATCCAGATCAAGTTGAATCCAAAGAATAAAAAGCTATAAATTTCAGATACTAGACATCATTTGGAAAGGGCAATGGATTATAAATGAATCAACAACATCTAACTTGGCTTAATTTGATAATGAGAGAGGGTAAAATTCAGACCTTTCACTGTATGATTCTAGTTGTAAAGGCATTATTCCCAAAAAAACTTACACTTATTAATAGAATAAACCGTTGGTTTAAAATTCTCAATTTGAACAAAGAAAATTAGTCTCAGTTAGTCAACAATACTAAAACAATACAAGATACCTTAAAATATCATTTCCTTGAGATAAACGAAGATTTTCATATCCAGCTTTTGCTTTTAAATGAGTTGTGCCAACTAGAATTTGGTTTCCAGTTTGTTTGAACTTTAGCAGTTGGAACAAGGCAACATGATTCGTCCAAAATGTTAATGTTTTTAATGTTACTCCCTTGAAGTCTACCAGTTCAAATTTTTCAGGGCTGCAAAAAATATGTCAATATACAATACTCCATTAATAATTCGTATACTTCAATATTATATATTAAGTTGAAACAAATTTCAGCAGTTCGTCAATAATACTGATTTCAGGATCATAATCAGCCAAAGGAGAGAGTAAAATAATGTATTTACTGGGTAAAAAAAGTAAAATGTTTTCAAGTAAATCTGCCCCAAAGCAATATCACACACATTCAATCAGAAATAAAGAAGACTGTTCTGCAAGCAAAGTTATGGGTGGCCACTAAAATGGCAAGAGCTGCTGAGACTATGAAAAATAAAAATGATAGTTACGCAATCACTTACTTGAAGAACATTGCACATCCATCAGGTCCACTATTATTTTGAACATCAAGACATGGTGACCAGGGTTTGGGTAAAAAAGCACCTTTGTATCCCGCCTGTAAATATATGGATAACATGTAAACTATCAATAGCCATTAATCTGAATATGAATTCTCAACATTCTTTTGAATGACTACCTTGGGCAATTAACATTTTGAAAGAGATGCTTAAGTTTTATTTTGAATAAATTTATCTCCGAAAATTGATGACGTGTATTGAAATTTGCATTAAAAAACTTCATGCTAATATTTTCCTTAAAACCAAGGATAATGACACAAATTGACAAAATTTCGGTTATTCTGAAACCCAGGGTGTCATCAAAGTAGGTCACAAATCGCTAGAATCTTCGAAAAAGACCAGAATATTTCCAGTCCCAAGTTGATCCACTCTGGGTGAGGTTGGTGGCAATCGGGTTTAAATCTTAAATTTTCTAACTTATTAAACCAGCCTAGATCTGACAATGCACTAGCCTCCAGAAATGACACCAGAAGTTTGTTAGCACTATTTATATGTGGATCATTATTTTAATTACCTTGCTCAATTGGATGTTGAAAAAATCATTGAAATGATCAACTTCTTGTAGACATATAATATCTGGTGAATATTTTAATATTTCTTCTAAAATTTTCATTTTTCGAAAATTCCAACATTTTGCATCTTGTGGACATTTAATAAAATTATCTTTGCCTTTGCAGAGAGCTGGTGAAGAAAACACAAAATGATTGAAAATATCCAGAAATAAGCAATATGTCCAAGATTGAAAGAGTTGGGAAAATTAGATAGTTGATCGAAAACTGGTAAATTAAACAATCATTTAATTTGGATTATAATAACTGTGTGAAAAATGCCATTAGAAACAGGCAAAACAAATTGAATAGGTGTTCAAATACATTCAAAATTTAATATACCGGGAGGTATTCAAAAAGTGAATATTTGTTTAAAAAATATTTTTATTTGAAATATTTTGTATTGGACATTAACCTCCTACAGTCAAATAAAAGATAGAATTATTCAGCTTCTGAAAAACTGGAAAATGGAATATTAGACAAAACTTGAACTGAAAATAGAATAGATACATATTCCATATTCAAATATATTTTGAAGAATGCACTGTATTCATAATAGTGAAATTCGTCATCTCCAATTATTTTTGAAAACTCCACATACCATCTGCAAGGATATTCCATTGCATAATTCTAAAAGATTGTCCTGTATCATTCTTTATCACTCTATCATCAATTTGCACAACATCAATAAACTTTCTCCCCAGAAGTTTGTGAGAGTCTACTATTGATTCATTGAACGAATCTATAAACTTCTTGATTCTAATGCATGAATAACAAGAATAACTAGTGAAACAGACAAACTCAATTATGTGCTTTTCTTTAATCAATTTTTTCCATGTATTGTTCTTCTTGCACAAATATTTATATTTTAACCCCTTAAAATAATGTTTTTAAACATTTAATATTAATTAAGGTATGTCTATTAATAAGGTGAAAACGGTGTTTGGTGACTTCCTATGTAAAATAATTTGTTTCATTGTGATCAATTCGTACAGAATACTGGCCGGCTCAGTACAATCTTAATGGGTGATATCAAATCAAGTAAGTTTATTTTTTCCAACCAGTAAAAAATAATCAGTTTTATACAAAGTACAAAGAAAAAAGGTAATCACACATTTTAACTGGGTAAGGGAAGCCGCGAGGAACCAAGGCTGGTTATCGAACACCGACGCCCAGGGATCTAACATCTAACTAAAAAAATCAGAAAGCTTAGATTCGGAACTACTGTTTTTGTCACGAATATAGTTCTTATACTGTATAGAAAATCAACCAACTAATATATTTAGAGATAGATAAATATTTGCGTAACATAATCAAAAATCCCATAATGGAGTTAGGAGATTATATCTGAATTACCAGATTCTGAGATTACCATAATACTATTACTATATTATTACAATAATAATAGATAAGTACAACAGATGGACATGAACTGTAAAATCATACTCATTTTTATGATTGCCATCTACGTTTGAACCATGGTCTTCCATTCCAACCACTCGATGATTTTCTTCTACTGGCGATTGCGGCAATACAAATCTTCCTATTATAGAGCCCATAACTAATATCCATACGACTAATACTGTAATAGGAGGAAGTCAACAAGCATTTATGATTTACAACCAGGCGGAGGTGGGGAAATCCCTGTCTCAAGTGAACATCAGCTCGTTCGTGACTGTATCAAACGAGCATTGGGGGCATAACAAATATATTGTCAAGTAAGCAATTTGCATGACGTATTACTGCAAAATAATAATAAATGGGTAAAATACAAATCAATTCACTCACAGGGACATAAATATGCGCAAATGATAAATCGACTCCGGATCTCTCAGGCGGACGTGTATCCATAGCAATGTATGCGCGTCAATGAGGCTGGGCCCAAGAGTTGAGCCTGCTTCGCATTTCCGTGCAGTCCGAGCGGGATTATACTCAATAATCATGTCTTCTCGGCAAGCTGGAGGAAGGCGAGATGGCGCACCACGTAGGAGAAGGCAATTAGTCATTAAAGAAAGAAATATTTCGGCTGATGAGTTTATGGCTGCCAGTATTGGTGATGTTGAATGGCTTGATCAAAGTTTAAGAGATGGAAGAAATCATTCAAGTTTCGACAAAAATGTAAGGCAATAATGTAATTGTGCTTCATAATCTTTTTTACCATTTGAATAAGGGTTTTTTATTGTCTGATCGGTATATGTTCAAATAGAAAAGCGTGAGAAGCGAAGCATCAAAAATCTAATAAATATAATACCATATTCGAGATATGCAAGGGTTAAAGAATTCTGAATTTCTGAGTTTTAGTACTCATTTCAGTAAGGAACTTTTTAATATCGAATTAATTTGTTGTTTTGTTTCTAAACAGGTATGTGATCTGCCATCATTTTGTCTGATTCCCCTGGATATTATGCTATGTGACAATCATTGGTTCATATAGTGATTTTGAAAAATAGACAAAAAATTTACTCTTAACAATTGGTCTAGATATCTTATCCATAAATATTCAATAAGCAAATCTTTTATATTCGAGTGATGTTTTATAAAATCAGCAGAGAAAACAAAGTTAATGCTAAAATAATCAAGAATATATTTTTGGTTTTGGATAGATTTTTAATATTTTCCTAATCGTATTAAACTCCTATTAATTTCCTATTTCAGGGTTTGGCACCAATTCACTTGGCAGCTTTACATGGTCGATTAAATTGCATTCAATTACTTGTGGAGAAGTATGAAGTTGACGTTAACCTTATTTCATCGACTGGATGGACTCCACTCCATCTTTGCATTAATCATGAAACAGGATCGAGGGCACTCAAATGTATGAACTACCTGATTGAAAACAACGCTGATGTAAATTGGTGAGATTGTTTGTTTAAATACTGTTGAAAAAGATCAATCTGATTGATTCTTGTGGTATATTTTGAATAAGGCTGTTTACAGAAAGCCATTGATATGTAACAGGTTCCAATACATGTAAGTCCAACGCTATCACGAATCGAAGAATGTCCGTACAATTTTTCAATGTGTAACAGCCGTTCTTTGTGACCTGGACGACACCGACTGCACACTAGATATTTATTAACAGTTCAATAACGCGGTCTTTCAAGCCCCAAGTTTGTATCCTCAATCCAGAAAATCACACAACTCGAAATATACAGTTGACACGGTTATCTTAATACAAACGTAAAAACAAATCAATACAAAATAATTGCAATAAATAAATAATCATACACAATTCGGCCTTTAGGAAGCCTACTCAAATTTATGAACACAATTATCAAACATAGTTAATTATTAACTCGAACCAAATTACTATTGAATAACTTGCAGCCTTCAAATCAGAAAGAATTACAAAGTATAACATACCAAATTTGTCTGCTATTCCAGGCTTAAATTATCATAAGTTGAACAAGAAATCATTTGTCAATGAAATCCGAACAAATCAATTAAATAAACTATAACTGTGAAAACAATCACAAAGGCAATCTAATGCTCATAAAATATACTTAAACTAGGCCTGTGTGGGGCAGCCATAATCTACACTATTTAATCGTCCTACAGTCAAAGCAGAAAGCCAAGGTCGCTGAACAATTTTAACTTATTTACAAACTACAACGAAGCGAGCGCCATTCTCTGCAAAAGTAAAGCGCTATCTAAAGCAAATTACCGAAACTATCCCTGTCTAAGCGAGACATGTCTGGGCAAGCAATTGCCACGAAGACTCTCTCAATTGTTTCGTAACAAAGTGTGTGGAAGCACACTGTCAATCATGGGAAATTACGGCGTCAACAATAACAAATAAATTACTACACAAGTTAAACGGACGCAATGTTTTGAGTCAATACAAAAATCAAGTGAATGCGATTCTCGATGTAACACAATGAAATTAGATTATTTAACAAAACTTTTATTTTATGAAGATATGATAAATATTTAAAGCAATTAATAATCTTTATAAACTTCACTGATGTAGAATTTTCATTCAAATAATATTTAATCCAATATTTTTGTGATGAGATAAATTATAAGCAATCTTCAATTTCTTGTAGTCAAAATGATGATTGCGTAACACCTTCACATCAAGCTGCAAGTGAAGGACTGGTTGAATGTATGAAGTTATTAATTGAAAGGGAAGCTGAATTAAATGTTGCTGATGTCAGAGGACATTTACCTCTTGATCTCGCAAGATTGTGGAGTCATAAAAATTGCGCAAGAATAATTAGAACTGAAATGTGGAAACGAGAAAAACAAGAAAAAGCCGAAGAAATGAAACAATTGAATATGTAAGGAAACCAGAGAAGTTGTTGTAATTGTAATAGTTGTGAATCGTACTTTCAAACCATGATATCGAATATGTAACAATAATAGTAAAATTACCTGAAATTATCAGACAAAACGCAAAGTATTCTTAAAAATCAGTGTTCTAAAATTTAAGTAATATATTATCATTTCGAAAAGCTCAGAAAAACAAATTAGTAATAATGGTAACTTTCATACAGACAAAGTGATTTAGAAGTTTAATGGACTGATTTAATATTAAGATGAATAATATGGAATTAAGTATTTTTAAAATACAGAAATATTTGTTGGATAATATAGCATCTGTGTCTTGTTATACTTTGCCAATTAACCCTTTTTAAAAAAATGTGTATGGATTAGTATAGAAAATCTTCTTCTGTGATCAAAAAAAATTTGTTCCAAAATATTTTTCTCAAAATTTAGAAATCAATCAAGTTTTTTTTTAATTTCCAAAATGAAAAGTTCAAGTTAATCAAGAATTCATATTTGGGCTTTAGAAACATCAAAAATTATTTTGCTACAATATAACTGATGAAAAAAATTATTGTTTAGGGAATCATTTTATGTATTAATTTATAATCTTTTGTTGCAGTGTGAAAACATACTATAACGAATTGCAAAAGGAAGCTGTTCTTCAATTAAAAAATGAGCAAGAATTCTATGGAGGAGTTGCTTTTGGAAATTGGCTCGATGATAAAGGACTTCCAGAAAATTTAAAAAATAATTCCATTTTTCAACGAGAAAGGTAATGTAATTAGAAACATGACCTTTCAGACCTTTAAATAGTAATAATCAAAGTCAAAATTTTCTCCTGTAATCAAAAAAATTAAGGCTATGCAAAAGTCTTACATATGTTAGAGTTTTTATCATTGGAATGTGATTTCTATTGGAGTTCGGAGCTGAGTCGAATGTTTCATCAAACTGAAGTAGAATAACACAGATCAGTGCTCTTCAACCGGGTATACGGTATACCCAAGTGTATAGCAGACCATAAGTTGGGTATACAACTGATAAAGGGGATACGAAAGGTGTACAGCCTAAATCAGGAAATCTAGACTCTAATATATATAATAAATTATAAAATATTCAACTGGAGACAACAATGCAAACGCGGCGCACATGAAATATAAAATGTCATTAACGCTAAGAACCGACGTGGGCAGGTTGTTACATCACAAATTATATAGATAATACGGTCATGTGTTTGGGTTGGTGATTTCGGCTGCCGGGCACTTTGTTTGATTTACGTCGAACATTACTCCCGTCGATGCTAAGGCAGTCAGTCAAATTTATAACTTGCGGTCACTAGCCTATTACATTGCATGATGATATTGCAGTACAATATGTGCTTAAAATTTATTGTTTATTTGAGCCTTAAATAAACATTGGTATTTGTAAAGTATACAAAGTTCTTGAAAAACTGTAAAAGGTATACTTCGATAAAAAAGGTTGAAGAACACTGTCACAGATAAAAATAATGAATAAGTATCACGTGAATTCAATATAGTAGGATAGGATTTACATATTTATCCCGGGGAAGAGGGAAGCCACTAAAAGGACCTAATCATAGAACGAACCACGGCATCTTGTCCGATTACCAGTTAGCTAGTTATTTTGTTTCAGATGCATAGACTTGGCTAGTACCGTACTTAAAATATTTCTGGCAGATTTTTCTTTCGTTGAGGCTATTACTTGGGGAAAAGGATTTATAGTGGAAGAATTCAAAGCATACTTAACTACCATGCTTTAAAAATAACGTAATTTGTTTTTAAACACTCATATTCAACAAGGCTTTATGCAAGTTGCCACTAAGATTGGAAAAAATAGAATTTTCACTTATCTGATTTTGATGGCTAATTTTATTCCTCATGGGAGTGACCTATGCTTAGGCATAGATTTAACCAACGGACACTTATGTTTGCACCTATGGTTGTAGTCAATTTCATTCCTTTTCATTCTGAACAGATACCCTGACACACCAACGGAAGGTCTATCAAAACGATTAAGAACAAGTGGTGGTTTGGATGATTGTGCTGAGAGAATGGAGAATTCAAATATAAGAAAAAAAGAAAAGAAACAAGTTGTTCAGTTTGCAAAATCAAGTCAACCTTCAGTTGAAAAAACGAGTAAAACAACCTCTAAAGTGAGTATGGTAGATATTGTGTATTTTGTGTTTGTTCCAAACCCATTGCAATTATTTACTTCGGTAAAGCAATGACCTCATTTCACCTTTTTGGTGGTAGTGAGGAAACCAATTTGATAAAAATTTTGCATTATTAATAAACAAACCAGAATTATATTATGAATAAACTTAATTTTAACAATCACTGTCACTCAAAACAATGCCATGTAGGTCTGGTATATTATTATTATTGCTATAAATAAGCCATTGCTAGACATCTGAATTTTTATATCCTTTTTCATCTTGACTTGCATTTTCTGTGACAGTTTTTACCTATTTATACTTATACTACGTGCATATTGATGATATAGTGACTTTGTTTTATCGATATGTCTGTGTACTTAAAAATGAATACGGGTTGGATACAGATTCTTCTATTATCAAATCCATGCATCTGTAAAGAACAACTGGTTAACTACTTTATACCTAACATGGATTGATAATCAAACGAGAAACCATATATGCTCCCATATTCCATATGCTTGAGCTATCTTATTGGAATTCCTCTCCTCCAGGATAAATTAAAAAATTGTATTTTATATGATTATTTCATCTCGTCAACATACCTCTAATGAGTATGAAGTACGAAAAATCCTGTCCTATTTTTTTTTTTTATTCAGGCCCCAAAAGTTGAAAGAGTGGAGCGGAAAACTACTGTGAAGCCTGAAAAAACTGTTCAATTACCAAATAAAATTAATCAAGTAAAACAGGTTGTCCGGGTAGAACAAGTCAATACAAGAGAAAGATATCCTGAACACAAACAACAACAATATTATCCTGACAGAAAACAACAATATTATCAAGATAGTCATCAACAACAACAAGAAAACATCTGGGAAGGAACAAAAACATTCACACCATATTCAGAGATAACTGCTGTGTCAGGTAAGCGTGCTTGGCTTTGAACTTGTATCAGGTTGGGATGATGATGTTCGAACATAAACTTCATGATAGCTCATTAAACTGGCATGGCCAAAATAGTAATACAGGGTGACCCTAAAAAACAAAACCCATAAATTTTTTGATTACATTTACGGAAATTTATATAACGATGTAACATCTGTTTGAATGTGGTTGTATCCAGGTATCACTTATATTATATAGGCATCCGGAGCAATGGGTTAAAAAAGGTAATAAAACTCACTTTACCACAGTGATGCATACTTTTCTGGATTACAGATTTCTGAATCAATAGAGTTTTGCATGTTAAAGACTTGATATTTATCTACAGCTTGGTAACAAACTATGTTATTTTTATGCCACAGAATCCTGACTTCATAAGAATTACTACATCAAAAACTTGAAAGTTTAATTAGCAAAATTCTGAATTAATAGTATCAAATTCTATGTTTTTCATGAGAATTTTCTCAAAGTAAAGTTATTGTCACTCACTCGAAAGTAAACGAGACTGATCTCTGGGTAAGGGAAAGGGCAGCATTTAAAATCCAATGCTACTGAAAATATATACATTGGTGTTGGTGCATTGCGCACTTTTAAATGTTGATTCCGAGATAATCAACATTTCATTCATTGAAATAGTCGTATAGCTAAATATAGTTACCGTGGGAGGTTGTAAAATGTTTATATTTATCTTCAGAGCGACCAGGAAGAGGAACACCATGGAATTACAGCACAAATCTTGAAAGTGATCCAATAACTAATATCAAATGTAAAGATACCATAGCACTCAGTATTCATCCAGATGAAATGGAAAAACTTTTACCTAAACATGCAAATTTAACTGTAATGGTAGGTTGAAAGTTTTCTAATACTAATACTATATCTAAATGATTGGGAAGATATGAACTTGAAATTTAGGAAAATAATATGGGAATATCCCTATGGAAACAAATTTTTTCAATTAATTGAATATTTTTTGATATCCAACAGTCTGATTTTCAGTTCAGTAATGTTCTCACTTATCAACAAAATCTATGCATGTTCTGGTTATGAAATGTGCAAATAAATGTTTTGCATCGTTCAATTATTTCAGCTGGATATTGCCCGAAAACCAAAGATAAAGATGACTATGCCGGGTGGACGAATAAAGAGTGCTGAAATCAGGATGCCCCACCTTCCTTCTAATGTTATCAGTGATGAATTATCAGGAATTGCTTCGGACAGAATTCGGATTCCACAAGAATTCAAAGCTGTACATGTTTACGATCTCAAAAAAAAAAGACAGCCTGATAAACAACTACGACCGAAAAACGAAATTGGAATGCATTTAAGCGTTTTTGGAGATCCTCGAATTTTAAGAAAATCTATGTCGTCAAACGTTTATGATACCAGATCACCATCGTCAACAATATCTCTAAGGAATGATAATTTGCCAACTATTTCAATGAAGAATTACAATAGAACACTCGATGCCTTGCACAGGATGAATCCACCTCATGCATTTTTAGCTTAATATCGTTTTCTGCTATGCACAATCCTTATTTTCAAACATAATTAAATATATTTTTTCACCAAAGTTTCGAGTTTCACCAAAGCTTCTCATCTTGCCTAAACGTGTTATCTAATAATTTAAATCAAGAAAAATATTTATTTGAGTTTTCATTGCCAATTTCGAGTTTGTTACAAAATTGTTTTAATTTGTTTCCAATCCACTTTAGTAAATTTCTCGGTCAGTTACTGTATTTGTGATGCATGCTTCCTAAAAATTCATCCACTCGTGTATTGCATGAAATGCCATAATCAGTGGTATTTTAATGTCCTGTAGCATATGAACTTGCTAGGCACAAGAAATTTGATTGCAGGCCTCGATTATCTGTCTGCTTTTTCTTACAGTATGAGGAAAAGCTTGATTTGCTAGTCTGTTAGATAAAAATACTTGAATGGTTCTTAGGCTACCAAGTAACAGCTTGAGGTAGATTTAAATAAGTCTTTCCAAATTTTGAATACCTACTGTTTAGTGTATTAGTAGTTATTCTGCAACATATAGATAAAAATAAAAAAAGACCAGACTGCTCCAAACTGTTCTGATATTACTAAAAGGCCAGCCCTAGCCTTAAATCTTCATTTTTTTACTAGCCTCCCATGACCATATTTTATATTGTGCTTTAGCAATTGCATGTTTTGCTTCAAATGTTTTATTATTGATAAATCTAACTTTTGTAAAAAATTATGAAGCTACGGTAGACCTTTGTTGTGTTTCCACTGTCAAAAAGTATTTTTGTTCTGTATTATATATATGGTGTGAAAGCTTTTGTGCTCTATTCAGATTTCGAAAATAAGGATATATGATGGAGATCTTTCAAATATTAGAGCCTTTCATACATTTGAAAAATTCAGTCCTAAAGAATGACAAAGGTCTAATCGTCATCAATATCATAAAGGTACATGGTTCGGCATTTGATATAGCCTTAGTTTCCTTTCTTCTTGCTGGGATAAATATAAGATTCTTGTTGAATTTTCTATGGCAGGTAGTCACACACAATAAGCAGACATATAGAAACAAACCAAAACTGAAAACCAAAGTTTTTTAATGTGGCAAAATTTAGAACGTTGAATAGTACATTATACTTGTTTAGTCTGCAATTGCTGGTCAACCTGTATGACAGCCTACAGGTCACAATCCCAAAATTCACAACAAGCCAATTTCCTTAAATAAAATCCAAATTTCATATACCTGACAGTTGACAGATTAGATTTTGTAGGATTAAATAAATCAAAAAAATTCAAAGTACCTTAATTTATTGAGAAAAGATTAACATTGCACAATAATAAGCAAAAATAATATTTACATAATTTGAAAGATCATTCAGATGTGAAATGAATTATCATATGAGGCTAAATTTTTATGTTTGTTTTACACATTCTCAGCATATTATTATATAGTGTGGTCAATATTGATAACAAAAAAGCAATCATGGCAAATGATTCGAATAAAACTTAGTTAATGAATGATTAGTAGTGACTAGCGAGTATATTACATGGCCCCTTTTTCAAATATATTCTATAATAATAGTTTTTTTTAACAAAAAATCGGCATCATCCACATTTCATAACAATAGGGTAGCGTTCAAATACATACTAAGGACTCAATGTCAGAAAATTTCCAGCTAAATCATACTGAATTTCATATGAAATTGTGCTCATAAATTACAAAAACACGCAAAATTTTGGCAGCAAAAAAAGTTTTTATATCTTATCGAGAGTCTATATTCTATGCAACTCTATACAACTTATATTCAACATTAATCACACCCATTGTGTAACATGAGTAGAGCAAATTGAAAAGACTATCGATTTGAATCGATAACTATTTTCCTCTATGGGTTTGCGCTTAGGAATCTGTATGCAAGAGTACTGTAACAAGAATAAAGATGACTATTTTATGTTTCAAGAGTTTTGATACACACTACACAGATGCATTGCAGTCTGACAACCCTCTTAGAACTTGAAAATACGTATTATCCTATCTTACACATGATCAACCAACTTTCTCATAGTCATCTGAATTACTACTTGGTGACGATATCATTACTCCACTTGAAGTGCTAGAGTTTGTGTCATCACTTGCTGCTTCATTCATTTCATTTTTATCAGTCTCTCCAGCTTGTGCAGAATGTATTGTAACCAACTCCCCTTCACATCCAAGCTGTTGAAGGAATCGTGCATACTCAGAATGAATTGACTCAATTAGGGGTTGTGATGATATTGTTAAGGACAATATTATTTCGCTAATTACATTCTTCAAGTGTAAATATTACGATTCCTGGATTAAAAAAAAATTTACTATATTGATTATGAAAGACTTTACATAGTATGTTCAATTCCTCAGTTGCAGCCAATCGAAACCTGATCTCATTTTCAAGATCATTGAAGCAAAAATTCTAATTCTTTTGGCATAACAGGTCGTAAGACATTTTTGTACACATTCAGCGAAACACATCAGCAAAAAGACGCTTAATGATATATCGGCACACAACGTCAAAGGCAAGACCCCATAACCTAGCTTGTACTGAGCCTTACCATGAGTTAAAGGCATATAAATCGTCTCGTAATAAAAATAAAAAAAGAAAGAGGATCATGTGAACCCTCATGGTCATGATATGGTCATTGCTGCTTGATGCCATCTCGCATCATTTAAAGCTATGTATGGCATCAAATACTGATATCAGTTACAGGAAATTGTAAACCATGTTCAATAATTTAACAAAAACGAAGCATTTAATTGAGAAAGGATATTGAGTTTCTGATCATCTTCCAGTACATTCAATTCATGACATATTTGCGCAAACATTGCCGCTCTATCAAAATATCGCATTCTGTAAAACATAAAATCATTGATAAATTCAGGGCTGTAGAATTAGGGTCTGTGTTTGGCATGCTTTCATTGATATTGGAGTCGGGGTGGTTTTCTTCAAACCTAGGTTCATGAGTTGAATATTCTGTCTTCGAATTTTAGACAAAAAATGAAAAAGAATTAGGTTGACGGAGCATTATTACCGAATAATTAAAGATGGCTGGCATTTATGATCAAAATTTGGTTTTCTCAGAGTTGGGAGCCCGAGTTCTGTGTTGTTTTAGGAGTGGTTAGGTATTTTAATTCGGGTTTAGATGTTTCTACGACTCCACAGCTGCAGAGAGAATCATATAAATATGAGTAAAATTTATTGGTCTTGAATAAAACACATAAACTTACTGATAAAATGTTTCCAAAACCCTCGAAAACTTTCTCAGAGATAAATATACAAGGATTGCCTTTGACTTGTTGTTGACCTGAAACATAGTTGAAAAATATATTGTTTATTTATCTACAAGCTAGTTCTAGTTAATCCCTCCTGTTAACGTCCCATTTCGAATTCATATTTATTCATTATTATTTTTTAATTTATATATATGGTCAATCATATCGTGTTTTGTCTGAACTCTGAATGGGGATGGGGTGATTGGCAACACCGTGAACTCTAATTTGGGTTTGATTTTACAAAAGCGTTCCTAGATATTCTAAGACTTGTCAAAACGGGAAAGATTACACCAACCATCCTACATGATGAAGATTTGTACTCCACTCTTGCACATAATGATTCCCCACAGAATTCAGGGTATAACCTCTACATAGAGTAATCAGAGGTGCACACATGCCTAATTAGCTAGGTAATGAAACTCTTGAGCCATAGGGCAGAGGTAATTCAAATTTCTACAACGGTAAAAACAACAAATTTCTGTGAATTGTTTTTATAAAAGAGTTATATAATAATAAAGATGTGTGTTATTCAATTCACAATACATCTGCACAAAGAAGTTTGGTGCATCTTGAATATCCCATAAGAAAAGCACATAACTCACTCTGGGTGAACATAAATGATTTGCCCATCTGATCATAATTTCTTCGTATTCAGTTCCAGTCAATCGAATCTTTGCCAACCATACAGCTAGTTCCCATTGTCCATGACTAGCAAGATATCGACAAGCATCAAGCGATTTGTTTATCATGCATAGAAGCTCAACTCCCTCTAGAAAGAAATGTTTATAATATCTTATATCTCCTGATTATTATCCAGAAGAAGACAAAAACTGATAAGAAAATTCAATAATATGATGAATCACATCTTCCCATCAAGTTGACAGCCTAGGAGTCAATGCTTAAAACAAAATGAAATTTGAAAGATTTGGAACCAGTGCTGAGACCTACGATCACTGAAATAGAGCCATGATTGGATCGTTTGTGTGAGAATATGCAAGCACATCGGTCTCTATAAAGGTATTGTCAATTCTAGTATTTTTTTTTAAATTTTCTGTATTATTACATTTTACTTAATTTTTATTTTAGTTCCTGAGGGTCTCGAAAAAATTTGGCCGGGAGTTTGATAAACCTATAGTGTACTAATTAGACAGGCTATTCTAATTCACAAAGACTGCTGCCTTCACAATAACACAGTGGCCCCATGCTTATCTGAAAATATCAGCACGAAGACTACAGCTAACCAGATTCAAAAAATGATGAAGAAAGTCTGTCAGATGACTAGTTGTTAGATGAATTGCATTCAATTTTTTCCTAAAATCCCTAGCGGTCAAAACTGGCCAAATTTTTTCAAAATTATTGCTAATAAATAAGTGCGACTGATTCGAATATTCGATCGTGTTACTAGGTAAACATTAGGTAAATGTACACACATAAAATATTCTGTCATGATTTACCAACATGCCGTGATTTGTATTGAAGAAAGGGGGCTCCCGAAGTATGCGAACCAAGATGGCGGACATCGGAATGTAGTACTAGGTTAGGGTTAGGCCATAATTTTAGCTATAAATACTACGGGAGGCTCTTGGCTAGTCTTCGAACTGATAATAGGACTAAAATAAGGAAAATTGGAAAAAAATTATTGCCTAACCCCAACCTGTTACCCATGTTACGTTCCGATGTCCGCCATTTTGGTTCGCATACTTCGAGAGCACCGAAGAAAGTATATGTGTTGAGAGTTTAAAAAATGCATGGAAGCTTTGATATATTCCGAACATAAAACCGAACATAAATTGTTTTACTTTTACTTCATTCAAAATGATGAAGTAAACTAACCTTGTAGCCTTCCGTTAGCAATCAGATTAGTAGAAACAAGCTTGACACTACTCTGTGATGATTCAGGATTACATTTTAATGAAGCAAGAAGACATGACTTCAAACAATCCTCATAATAACTACTGCTTGTAGGTTCAGTCTCCAAACTAAGATTAATCGCTTTGTCAACCTAATAGAGAATTTAATAGTTAGCAGGGAAACGTGAAAATTGATCACAATATTATCTCCAGATATTTGATATTCTCTTGTAAGCACTGTAAGTTGGATAATTTGTACGGTACTATTGAAATGTGGCTGTTCGATAATCAGCTTTGGTTCCTGTGACTTCCCTTCCCCTGTACAACTGTGTAATAATCATTTTCTCCTAATTTGTGTGTAAGTGGATTTTTTACTGGTTGGAAAAAAAACTTCACTGACTTTAAAAATTAGGACACACAAACAAGGCTTCTTACCTGGCCAAACAGAACAAGATTCTCAATACATTTCTTTGTATGTCCTGGCGAATTTCTCAAAAGTCCATGTCTGTATGAACGTTGAAGTTCATTCAATCCAAATATTTCACAATCACATAAAGTGTCCAGATTTGTGTCAGTGACCATTGGTTTGTCAGGTTCAATGTTTTTGTTTGTTGCATAATATGAAAACGTTTCCCATAAATGTATCTCAGATTCATCTCCAAATATTCTTCAAAAAAAGACATGAAAAATTAAACAGGACTACAATGCTCAAATATATGTGCAGAAAGTGGTCCTATAAAAATTTTCCTGTTAATTTAAGAAAAGCAATATTTTTAAGTACTTAAAATTCAAATAAATCTGTACATGAGCTGTGAGGATTTTGAAGAAATCTTTGTCTAATTATTGACTTTATGAGTGGGAGTTAAAAATAATCTCTTTGGCAAATACTCAGGAACAATCTATGAGCATAGCATCTATATATCAATTACAATGACAAGTTTTTGCCTTTTCGAAAATGTTCAACGAGCAAAATCGACATTTTATATATCACTACGTTTATTTAGAGAATAATTATTAAGTTAGAGCAATTGGAGTGTCAGTTATCCAATATCAGTGCTGGAACTATACCTAATTTACAAAAAACGTTTTGTTTCAGTTGGAAATATTGAAGACATTAGACATCAAATAATATTTGTCTAATTTGCAGTATCACTATATAAAAAGTACAATACTGCACATGGATATATCTTTATTTCAACTTTTTGTCAGAGAATATTGAACTGGTTTGTGGAGTTTTAAGATTAGAAGACAAATCTCCCAAAGTGATGCAGCTGGGTTTTGTATTCACCTGGCGACAGCTGTACATCTTGCTAGTGTGTTTTCGTTTTTCAAAATAAACTCTTTCATATTGGCAGGAAGAGCATTTATTGCATTTTGTATGACAGCTTTGTATCCAAAGTCATCACCCAATGATTCAACACTGAAAATGAATATAAAATTCAGAATAATTTAAATTTTTTTTATTAGAAAAAATTGACTTCTATGTGAACTTCACTGAACACGAACCCATTTTTGACATATTCGATATATTCCATATTCAAAAATTATATTTTGGTGTATTCAGAAGTTTATTCAGTTTTGAACATGACAAACACGTCATGCTTTTCAATTTAACCCACAATACCATAGGAATAGTCTGTATATACATGAAAACACCAGAAATGCAAATGAATACACTTGATTGCCCGATGTCTGAGTGGTTGAGAACAGTAAATTTAACTATGGTGACACTCCTTACCTAACAGTAGCTGCTAATAAAAAGCTGTGTTCGGAATGAAAATGATGAAAAATGTATATAAAAAATCTTGTTTTGTTGATACATACCTCAACTTTCCATGTTGTAATAAGGCTTTCATAATCAGCGCTGGCTTTGTTGGTAAAAGATAAGGACATGATAATGATTTCCAGTAATAAAGTTCTGCTGTTGGTAGGTTAGGTGGTGGTAGAGTCAGAGCAGAATCCATAATTAATATTTGTCCATTTTCACACGATAAAACTAGTTTATCTGATGCACACCAATCCACGTCTATGATTTTGGGCAACTAGAAATTTAGGAGAATTAAAAAGACTGGATAAGAGATTTTTCAAGAGAATATGATAAAAGGTCTTACCCACTACCTCAAGACTCATTTCTGCGCAAAGTTATGGACAACCACTAAAATATCACATTCAGTTCACACCTTTTTTCCAATTTTGAAAAACAACAAACATAAGCATAACAACGAACCACCACTAAAACTTAATTCTTTCCTTAATGATTGATTTCAGGCTAAGGCTAATGGCTGATGCATTGTACTATGGGTTTTGGGCATGCTCAATAATGCAAGCAAAACAGTTGCCTTGCTGTCTGCTGTTACATATCCAGTGGTAATAGTTATGATTAGGAGAGTTGGCGAACGCCTTGTCATCTGCATAACTTTTATCCCATTACAGCTCTCCCACCAAACCTGATGATACATTAATGCACTTGCTATCCTCCTATAGACATCAATTGATCGACTGAGGAACGACCTTGGTTCACCATATGACTGAGCAGTAATATAAGAATCCCGATTTCTTGGCATAAATCCTATCACAAGTTATTTCGATTTTTTTCATACAATGTTTTTGTGCCTTTTGCTCAGATATGTGATGAGCTATTATTTTTGGAAAAAACATAGAATCTTTCTAATTCAGCAACAATTACACTGTAATCAACACTATTACATTATATTATAGAACAGAATCATAAAGCAAAACCTGTTTTGGTGTCTTGACAGCACTGACTGCGATCCCATCATCAGCATCCCAGATTTCTAATCCATCTTCGAATAAAACAAGTGAATTCAAATTTCCTTTTCCTGGTCCAAACCTTACTTTTTTCACCCAACCCCTGTGTGTAGGTATTCCTCTGTGACGAAAAGAATTTAAAGTCAATAATCATTAATCAACAAAGAAGTGTTTACCTCAAGCATGCGTTCACCTAAAATGTTCCACTATCTTTTTCGAGCAAGTGCTCTGTGGGATGCAAAACAATAATCAAATAAGGGAATATAGGTCCACACATGAAGTCCGGTCAAGCAATTACCGGTATTTACGATAATACTGTGTAATTCGGTAGTGTGGCAAAACGTGCTAAGCGTTAAGAATACGTTCGCTACCTCATCTCTGAGAACTATGTTCGCATCGTGTGTGGGTTATTATGTGCGAGCTGGAATGCTCACCAACTTAGGGTGGTTCATGTGCCCCTGGTAGGTTACGGCTTCCTCCACCATCCAGGGGAAGGTCGCTACGCTACCCGCGAGGGGAAATGTATGGAAATATTGTTAGTAAATTAAGAAGCAGATGTTTGTTTGAAGTTTGTTGGAGGACCTGGGTCGTTGCGCCGGACGAATGGCGGAAATTCGTCCGGCGCTCTGCCCCCGACCCCTCTGGTTCATTAAGAAGTTCAAATACCCTGTAATAAACTGATCACCCCTAACCGGAGTCGAATTTTCCCAATTTTAAGGTCCGTGATCACTCAACCGTGACGAAATTTTTTTGACATAAACTAGACCTCAACTACTTTGTATGACCCAAATATGGCACCTCTACCTTCTACCATTCTCGAGATATAACGTAAAATCACTGGAGCGTGACTGAGGAGATGGAGAAATGAAATTTCTTCCAAAATAGATTCAAATAATTTTTCTAAACATGCCCATGCCTTTACTTTCTCAACAGGTCCTTTCAGAGGCCTGCAATAAGCCAAAATCACTAGACCATGACTGGGGAGTGAGAGAAAAAAAATTTCTTGAAAAACGCGTTAAACTAATTTTTCCCAACATACCTATCTATTCTATTTCTCGATAGCTTCATTTTTAGGTGCGCAACCTTCTTACGCCACTGGAGGGCGATTGGGAGGGGGAATTCCCAAAGTTCAGGTGGTGAAATATTCTATATATTAGTCCCTTTGAGATTTAGGCATCACTTTGCCCAAAAACCAATTCCAAGTGCTCCTAATAGCCCGAAAACCATATTACCTAAGTGGGCGTGGCTTTCCACACGTTTTCTCACCACTGGGGGGGCGGTGGCAGTGCCCCCACCCCCAATATCACTTGAATAAATTCCCAATACTCGGGCAAACGCTTTTTGGCCCCGAAAACGGAGCTAAACGGCTTCTAAACCCCAAAATCACTCTAGCGTTACTTGATTGACTGCTTATTGGCCAATAAACAGCCTCGGGACACTAAAAGCCCGTTTTGGCCCCTTTCCTTTGGCCCGATCGCCCGATTTCTGTGTTCCTTTGGCACCTGTCCCCCGCTTCATGTCAAGTTTCGTCACGATCGGCCTGGCAGTTATCTGGGAAATGGGTTTTAACGCCGGTACTCTAGCGAGACTTTTATACTAGTTTTTTCTGTGCAACGAAAAATGACTTACAACTGTGCAGTCGCACTAAAAGTGCTCTCGGGTTGGCATACCATCAAGTCCATGTATCTGAAACGAATAATCCCATGCCCGATGTGGACTGGTAACGGGAATAGAGGCTGTGGTTCACCATTTATCCCCAGGAATGAATATGTGAATACTATCCTAAAGTCTAATATTTATTTTTTAACAGGACATATTGTGATGACATGCCCTAAAAGCTTGTCTTAAGATTAAATGATGTATTTAGAAATAAATCTTCGCATACTTTGATAATTTAGTCTTCAGATTCCAAATACTAACTGTTCCATCTGTGTCTCCCATAAAAATATGATCATGCTTCCAAGATATACAAGTGGTTGTCGAATTTCTTTCACTTATATGTGGAATTCTGGATCCTTGCCTAAAAATAAAATTAAAGTTTAGTTCAAAAATACTAAATACGATTTACAAACAGAAAAGTTAATCAATTTCAATCACAAAGATCATATTTACAGATTAGGATACTCGGCTATCAAGTTTATTTTTTGATAATACTGAAAATACACACGGTACATACAGAACAAATTTAAAAAAATGCATTTCAAAGTGAAAGGAGACGGAATAAACAAGAATTCAAAAAGAAATCTTATTTATAGTATTTTATGTGGCATTCTTCAAACATTCACTCTGAACAAGGCTTAGTAGAAACAGTCACTAGAATGTGGTGTACTAGTAATTTTGGAAATATTGGAATCACTACCGTTCATAACTGCCCAATTTATCACACCCTGGATGAGGTTGTTTGTGGGGATAGATTTGAACCGGAGAACTTCAGCTTGGGAACCTACCATACCTAGATCTAACGCTCTAACCAATAAACTATTGTTCTCTTAAGTTTTTTCATCACTACCCACTTAGCACGTCAAATTTTTTCCCAGACCCCAGCATGAGGTAAATACACAAGAATAATACAGATAAGAACAGAAAAAAAAATGTAATGTCACATACACCTTCTAAGAACTATATAAAAAATAAAAAAATTGCAACACAAAATATCACATACATACATGCCCAATCAAAAATTATGTTTCACCGAGCATGATATACACAAAATTCACAAAAATAAACATATATTGTTGACAAAATAACCTCGCAGGCCGCAGCAGAGATGATCGTAACTTAAATCAAAGTGATTGTTGCCTTTCAACAAACATATGAAGTAAAATTTAGTGAAAGGACTTCATTTGAATGTAAAAGGTCTGGAATGCTTCTTCTATGCAATCTTTTCATACTTAGAGACGTGGAAAGTGGAGAAAATGGCTTTGAAACATGGTGTTTATGCATAAAATGGCATGTGAATGACGATATATTTACCCCCTTTCTTTGGGCAATGGTTGCAAAAGTATTTCATGTGAGAATTCAATGAAACCAGTTGCATACGAAGTTAGGGATAATTTTTGGTCACCATCTTTTGTGTCATCAAATGATTCAACACAATTGAAGTGTCCTCTATAAAGTATTGTTTGACAATTTTTGTTTAGCAGAACGCTTGCATTAGTATAAACTAAGGATTTTACACATAAAGACATAATAATTTGTGTTGCAATCTTTGCTGATGCCTTATTCAGGGCTGTGCATTGGAAATATAAGGTTAATTCTTAACCAGGATTGTTTTATTATAATCTGTGCTTTATTTTTCATTTATTACATCTATTTACTACATCCAACAAACTTGCAATTTAAAAATTTTTAGGACTTCTAAACACTCTGTATAAATATAAATATGTTTCGAAAATAATATAATCTATGTATAACAAACGGAACAACTTACTTGAAGGATGAACCTTCAGCAATACAATGATATAGTGTTGCAGCTGAATCAGTTAACACGAGATGTTCTTTTGTATGAATCATTTCTGACTCTCCTAGAAATTCAAGAAATAAAAAATATATTGAGTTGAAAAATATAAAATTTTATCTTTTTGTTATTTTACACCTGTTTATACAAACTGCGCTATCAAGATACAATAGCACATTATGCATTAATACATTTCAAACTTACATTACATTATGATAACTTTAAGATTTGTCAGTAAAAAGTTTCATAACAAACACACATTAAATTAATGCTTTACATGCGCTTGTTTATAAATGGGACCATATTATGCTAATGCTAATTTTCAACGTTTATTTGAATAGATTTGATCATACTATGTCTAAATACTGAAAGATTAGAAGTCATTTTTGCTCAAGTATCTCATGTAAGGTGGAAACTACAGCTATATGCTATTTTTCATTGAATATTTAAAAATTAGAATTACTATAAAAACATGTTAACCTGCTTGTCCATCTTCTTGTTTTTTCTTCACAGTGTGAGCTGGTGCCCATTCCTAAAATCGGAATAACCACTGATTATTAAAATATAATGAATTTAAGTACATTTTCTGGGTCATAGGTCAGGGAGAGATCCATATGACATGTACCTTTAATATTAAAAAAAAAAATAGAAAAAATTACCACTGTTAAAAGGTATCACTGATTTTTGCGATAAGGTCCTACTGTTTTTGGACCATAATATTTACAATTCAGTGCTGCCTATTTAATTTATGACACCCAAGATGAGGTGGTGCCCTTGATATTTGAACCAGAGACCTTTAACCTGTGAAACCGACATAGTTAGGTCTACCCTACATCCATTGTGACCGCAATACATAATAAAACAGATTCGAAATTTGAATAATAGATTCAATTCGAACATCGACTTGCTAACCAGTACCTGATGTTTTATTTTTAAAAAGTTATCCACTGATATCTAATTGTGGTAAAGTACAGTTGAAATAATAATAAATTCGACTTACCACTGCATGAATTGTTGGAAAAGACTTTGGCAATTCTTTCAGAATACACAGAGTTCTGATATCCCACAATTCAATTGGTTTGTCATGAAAAACGATCATCAAATATTGTCTTTAAAAAAAGTTATGATATACTATCAATAAGTTTTCAGCCATAGGAAGAAGGCTTGGACATATTTAAGATGTAACTTGGTGTTCAAAGGAGTCTACAGAACTACAAAGGTTAGGCATTCTGAAATCTCGAATCTTGCGAGGTGATAATTATGTGCGAGAGGATTGCCACTCATTACCCAATATTACCATTAACAATTCCGAACTATCTATCCACTATTATCACAAAATTGAGGATAGATATTTTTATAATAGGACTTTCCATATTTGTCTTGAAAAGATAGCCACTGATAATCTGAGATGGCTTAATCTTGTGGCTAACCGCGACTTCTCTTCTGGCTACCATTTTTGGTTAGAAATGAGGAAAGCTAACCAGTGGACTATGTAGACAAGTGGACTTGGGATTGAAAGAACTTAATAAAATTTGTAAAGATTCCTATCATCATTGAACTATTGATGAAAAAAAATAAAATCACTAACTTTTTGCTTGAGATCTTTATGAAGTTTATAGGAGATTCGTTGACTTTATCAGTACGGAATGGAACAGTCCTTCCACTTTGAAGATTAGTCGTTGATATTTCATTAATAACAGTTGAATTATTGCCTTGTGTTGGATAAGCAAATGATATTATGCTTCTTAATCCACTCCACTCTATGCCCCTGGCAAAAGAAATTAGTCAGATAGGGGACCAAAATACCTAAAATCAGATGATTCAATCTTAACGACATCCTAAAACATAATTCCAATTGATTATATGAGGAAACGTGCGCAGGGCTTATGATATAAAGCAGACATGGGCAAAGTACGGCCCGCGGGCCAAATTCGGCCCATTGGGTAATTCAATCTGGCCCGCCTGATGCTGCCACAACCAAACTGAAATCAAATTTTGATGTTTTAGCTAAAATTAGCTCAAGGAATTTGTTGAGATCGCAGTTAAATTTAGTTTTGGCATGATGCATATTGATTTCCACCTTTGCTTTGTAATACTATAAAATGTAACTTTTTACGTCACTTTCATGGCCCGCCAGTCTAAGTGAGCAAAATTTTTGGCCCCTGGTTTAAAAATAGTGCCCACCCCTGATATATAGGCAAAATTACTATTCTGAATTGTGATCATTTAATAACCAAAAAATCAATCACAACACAAAAAGAAATATTCATGATTCATCAATAACCAATTCCTCTTTTATTTCTATTCTGTGTTAATAAATACATTAAGACAACACTCAATGATTGAGAGTTGGTATTTGAGAAAGTCAAAGTCAATATTAGGCTGGTACTGTCTAAAAAAATTAGAAAAACTTACTTTACTTCACATGTATGAACACCAAATTCATATGTTAGTTTTCCAGTGCCAAGGTCAAATACCTAAAAAATCGAAGAGAAATATTCGGAATTCGAAAAAGATTTCCAATCTTACAGTTAATTTTTTCAAAAATCAGGGCTGAACTAACAATTCCCTTACGCAACAAGGATTTGTAACCGGAAGAGGTCTCTTGGTTTAAATTTTTGGTAATTGTAAGAAAACTTCACGAAAAAAGTAACATAAAACTCGAAAGAAATATAAACAAACCAAAATGTTTCCGTTGACCAGTCCAACAGCCAGTAAAGGACGATAATGTGGCCAATTTTTATGTGTGAGTGGTGGACACATTTTGATGCAGCTGACTTGTGATGATAATGAACTAAACAATCCAACCATTGTGAATTTTAAACTGATCTGATCTCCCTGAAATTGAAAATAAAAACACAACAGTCATGAGTCATTGCTGCATATTAAATTGATTTGAATGAAAGGGAATTTTTGAGTTTCTGTATATTTCGAATATTGCTGATATATGCATGAAATTCTGACACAGACATTCAAAATTGCAACTCTTACTCCGATAGTGAACTATTATTTGTTGGCATCCTTGATGATTACCGGTATTTATTTTTAGCTATCTGTGTCTATCCCCTACCTTAGAGTACATTGATGAAATCGCATATAAACTTACCCAAACAAGATCATTCTTTTCTGAATTGAGTGGCAAAATATTTTGTGTCGGAGCTATAATACCAGATAACGTATGATTCCTCGGAATTGCAGGCAAAAAAAATCTTGGGGAATATATTGAAGAACTGTTTGTTGGTCTGAAAAAATGATATAAATTTATGAAAATTCATATAACAATAGAGCAATGCTCAAATATATGAATATGAAAGTCATGCATTAGAACTGGTAAAAGAAGACGTTGGAGCATTAAGTTTGATGGAATATTCAGTAAAAAAGCAACACAGAAGCAGTCAAGCAATGTGAAATGAAAAACCTGCTTTAATTAAAATAAAACAACGAAATTTCTGGTGACATCTCGGGTTCTATAGCATTCGAGAAAAATTTGAACAAACATAATAGCATTCTAGTGACTTCCTCCATCTTCAAATAATGAAAATTTGCAATCTGTTGCAGTTCATTAGTTGCAGATAAATGATTTATTCCCACAACAACAATAGGAACATAAGTCTCAATGCATGAGAACGTGAGGCACTCATTACTTTTTCAAAAATATTTTGTGGTGAAAAAGAATCAGTACAATGAAGAAATAGAGGAAAATACTGTATTTATGTCAATGTAGTTGAACGAAATGGGCAAGCAATGGTAGAGAGTCAACCCAAGCAATTTTATTTCTAAATATTAATTACAGCAGCAAAAAGACTACAATATTAAATATTCAGGCTTTTTGTAACAAAGTCTTTGAAAAATCATTCAAAATAGTCTAATAATACCACTTACTTTTCTCTCTTTTTGGAGCTAGACAATTTCCAGATAAATATTCTACCATCACTGACTAAAACTGCGGCTTGTCGTTCAGTCACAGGACATAACGCAGCTGCCATGGGTCGAATACGATTTGTTACACGAAATGGCTCACTATGACATGCAGTGTCAAAATTCAAATCCACTTTTGATGATAAAGACTCTGTTACGCTGCCATCTTCCTCTGGACATGAAATCAAAAATTTAGCAAGGTTACCTACCTACTATAGAATAGAGTTGTCCAAGGTTGCGAGGTTGAAGGGCTGCAAAAACTTTGAGGAGGTCTCGTGGGCCACAGTCAGAGAAAACGCAAAAGAAATCAAAACATCGCGAGTTTACTCACTTTAAGCATTTTTAAGGATTGGAGTTTATCGTTCTAACTCAAGGAAACTATACTTTTAGTTACTTGACGCGAGCACATCTCATTGGTTTGGTCCTGTCTGCACAAGACAATTCATTCTCCTTTTTACCGATCACAGGACGTCATTTCCATACAGCAACCGTCTTGACGTTCATAGATACAACAAGGATATTCTGTGAGTTTAACAAACATCAATCTCGACATCAGGATCAGGAAAAGGACTATTCCCAGTTGAAATATTTTAAAAATAGATCAAAATTGTTCTTCTAATAACTACAAATATTCTCCATTGGTTTAGTAGTGTACGTTAAAATTGTTCTGCAGGTCGTACAGAATGTGTCGCGGGGCGCATGCGGCCTGCGGACCGCAGCTAGGACCACCCTGCTATAGAATAACCTGACTGAAATAAATACTCACCTGATAAGCTTTCTTCATTCAATCTCATAAACCGTCTGAGTCGAAATGAAAAAGAACCATTTTCATGAGCACAAAACAAAGCAGCTCTTTGACGAACAGGTAGCACCTATCGAAGAAAAGGTAACCGGTGAGCAGAGCACTTCATCGGATACTCTAACTGCCAGAGTATTATATATCGGAATTTTCTAACCCAGAACATATGATGAATCCCATGCATACTTGAACCATTTTCCCAGCAATATATATCTACCCTAATCCTAACTCAGAGCAGTGGAATGTGTGGGACAAATGTGGAACAAAGTGGACAAGTGTGCTGAAAGACATTATAGATCTGACATGTGCAAACTACGACCCGCGGGCCAAATCTGGCCCATCAGGTAATTTAATCTGGCCTGTCTGATGCTGCCACAAACGAACTAAACCCAAATTCTGATGTCGTAGCTAAAAAGTGGCTTGAAAATTAGTTGAGTTTGATATTAAAATTAGTTTTAGCACGAGGCTTATTGTTTTCCACTCTTGCTTTTGTAACACTGTAAATATTGCTTATGAAATGTAACTTTTTACGTCCCACTTACATGGCCCACCAATCTGGGTGGGCAAAATTTTTGGCCCCTGGTTTAAAATCCTTGCCCACCCCCGTTATAGAGCTCGTAAGTTGGTAAGATTGAAATGAATAAAAAGCTATACAAACCTGCATGAAAGGGGATCCATTCCTTTCTAAAGGTATTGAGGCAACAGCTTGTAGAACGCTGACATCTAAGATCAATATTTCTCGTGGAAAAACAGCGGCTAGATGATGTCGCATGGATGGTAAAAATGAAAGCTGACGACAGTCTGTGAGTGTGAGCTCATTGCTTCTGAAAACAGAATGAATTGAAATGTAAAAACTTAATTTATTATATCAATGAATGAAGAAAAAACAATTAAGCTACATGAATCATCATAATTGAGGATAGGATTTACATATTTATCCTGGGGGAGAGGAAAGCCGATAAGGTGGCATAATCATATGGTGAACCACAGATTCTATCAATCATATTTGAATCCATTAAAAATTTTATAACCAAATTAAGTTTGAAATTGCAACGATATTCTTAGTATTACTTTCTATACTAGGATATTTTTCTTCCTGACGAATTAGTCCTCTGTTAAAAATTGTCAGTGAAATGTCTCGCATCCTATGGTGATATTATTTCTCAATGTTTGTGGCCAAAATGACAGATAAATCACCAGCAACTATAAAGTAAGGAAATTCCATCACCTCATTAATTAGTCTCTGCCTAAAGCTGCCACTCTCCTAGCATAACAGTAAAATGTCTCACATCCTATGCATTTTTTTAATATCAGTGCCAAAAATGCTACCTCATGTCACAACATTAGTCAAAAATACTTCCATAGGGTCCTGCCACTTTTTCACTAACATGTTATCGCCCATGAACTTTCTGACTGCACAAAAGATAAATAACAAATTTTTGTCTCCTTTTTATCCTATTGGCCATTTGAATGCTTTATCGTTCCTTTTACTCCCACATACGATTTGTTACATATTACAATTTTTTTTCTGTTTTCATATGTCATGACATCAACTACTCTTTGCAAATCACTTTCTGTACTGTATCGGCAAATTTGATGAACAACCGGTGATCAGGAATTTTTAATTATTTTTTTGCAAAAAGTTTAGGAACAATTCCATGAAGGTGTGAATTATAAATGTAAAAATGAAAATCAGGCAGCAAATATTGGTTAGACTTATGTCATAGACTGTGCCAGACCAGTTCCAGGTTGACTTATTTATGACCAATCATCGTCATGGAAATATTACAGGACATTCGTATTATTAATCAGATAAGATGATTTCATTTGATAAAACGGATACATTGATCGACATTTTGAACGGCGTCATTAGGCGGTTATGTATTTTACTTTTAAACATTCAGTCATAAAGCGTTAACGTTGTAAGGTTATACTGCAAGTACGATTTTAAATTAGACTAAGGGAAGTTTAGTCAATGTAACACGTGGTCATAGAATATATTTAATGAATGAAGTAACATGGATGAATATTTTTGGGTACTCCCAAAGTATGTGGACCAAGATGGCCGACATCGGAACCTAGTATGTGTACCAGGTTAGGCCTAACCCGGTGTCTGCCATTTTTGTATTTTGCTATACAGATTTAAGCACTAACTCTATCTTTATCCGGCGTGTTTTTATTGGCGTGTTCAAGACACTGGGAGATATGCGGAAATGGGTTCCAAACAACAAGTCAAAGAAACATTGAAGGAAATAAAATTTTTTATTATTGCCATTTCTATCGTGGTAGTGTTAGCTGTGGTCGTCGTTTTGGCAATTGAATTTAACCCAAATTGGAACGATAACAAAGATGTAAACGGGAATAACAACGAGAAATTGTCAAAAACGGAATATTGCAACAATGAAAAGGGGGCATCTGAGGTAAGTGTGGAGGTAAAGAACAATGACATAAGTATATTTGGTGTGAAGGCGATGCGACACAAATAGAAAAGTAATTGAGACGGCCGAACACAACAGTTATTTGCTGCCGCTATTCAAATAAAAGGACAAATCCACGTTTTAATATTTTTAACCGTCTATTCTCCACTACGAAAAACACTAGAACTAGATCAACCGGTATCAATCCGAAAGTTTGCGTTAGAGTAGACTTTATACATTCAAAATCAAAATAAACGTTAATTAAAAAAGGCATCAAAATCCAGACAGACAAAACGGAATGCGACGACGACGGCGGCTAATAATCACTTGAGCATGATTCGCAGATTTTATATTTCAATTGTCTAATAACCCTTATTATTACTTGTACTCGTGAGCCAAGACCATCATCGTAATACTAAAGCTACACTATGTTTCTTATAAGACAATAAATGAATTTGAACGCAAAATGAATTGGTTCTATTACAAAAGTATCAGTTTATTTCGGTTTCACAAAATGTCAAATAATAAGTAAAACATTATAGCCCAGTAATTTTCGTCATGTCGTCCATAATTCATTCGTGAGACCAAAAAGTAAAGAGCATCCTCATAATAAAATTCTAACTGGGGCTGCATACGATTCAAACGCCGACAGAACTCCTTGCGTCATTATGTTAGCACCCATGTTGCATCCTCCAACAAGATTCATCTAAATACAAAAAAATATTGTTGAAGAATGAAAATCATCAGTGTATTCAATGAAGAAAATATACAACATACATAGGAATGACATAAAATCTCGCTATCTCGTCGAGCATCCTTGTGGTAGGTAACGTCACTATACGTATCCGAAAAAGAGAGGACCTGCAATTTAATATACAATATCATAGTACTTCGGTATCGGCATTTAACATACATTTATGGAATCCTTTCACTTTTAGTAGTTATTCCTAATCGGTCGGGACAATTTCTGAATTAGTAGTCAAGTCTATTTCATTACGTACCTCAGAAACTGAAATATCTCGCAGACGACAATCCGTACATATCCATCTACTGATAATCGACAATCCTTCACGCCCGGTTGAATACTTATATTGTTGGTCAATGCTCTTCGTATTGTGTTGAAAACCTTGGCAATCTAAACTCCCTTCTTTTTGACAAATAAGGCATTCGCTTTTTCCAACCATGTTGTTTCGAATTTGTTCGAGATATGGGACTGATTTGCGAATAACACGCAAGGTCTTTTATAGGATAGGCAGCAATGGAATGCAAATAACTAACGCAAAAGGCGGTCACTGTCCCAACTTGTTCTGACACTTTTTACGCTGCCAATATGAATAGATCATGTTTACTTATGAATAAATCCATGCGGGATATCTTGAATGCAAACAAATTGACCAATACAGAAGGCGACATTTCTGAACCGCCGACACAAAACTTGTGCGAGCGCTACAGACTGAAGAATAACAAATTCCCAGCGAAAGAACCTGCGACTCGAGGTAGGGTTTGCGGCGGAACTCGTTCATATCAATAATACTCGGTCAATAATACAACCAGAAATTCATTGGAGGCATTATTAAATTCTGTATCTCATGTCAACCGACAAGCATACTTCTTCTTAAGTGTTGTAGGCCCATAATGTTTTCCGTTTTGCAGGTTTACTCGATTGTCTCTGTGTATATATGTTATAAATACTTAATTTTTATAGGAAACCCAATTATTATTATCTATTCTTTGGTTTCCCAGATATGTGATGAAATAAAGGATTGCAGCAACGGGAGCGACGAAACAAACTGCCCAATGAAAAATGGAGGTGTATGCTCTGAATTTCGGTGCATTGAAAACAATGGCGAAAACCAATGCTTAAGTCGAAAGAAGGCACGGCTCTTATTCTAATTGTGCTAGAATTTACTTATTAAATGTTTTTTGAACAAAAACTAAAAATAGTGATCTGGAACGTCTAAATCAGGGGTAGGCAAACTTTTGTCGTTCGCGGGCCAAAATTAAAGGTTGCAAGTCATTGGCGGGCCGCACATATTTTTAGAAAGTTAAAAACCGTGGGAATGGCCAATGAATCACATTTTTTCACACAGATTTCAGTTAAATTTTAAGCATCGCGCGGAGACATTTGAATATTTTCTGCGCCATTAAACCATTTGCACCCAGCATCAACTTTTTTACGTTCTGTTGCAATTTGTCTAATATGATCATTTTATAGGCTCATTAAACGAGTAATTGTGAATCATATACTTGTTAGGTTATAATATAATTTAGTGACTCAAAACTAATTCTGTTACGTAAAAAATATAATCGTCAATACAGTTGTTTTGTTAATATAATTCAGTGAAGCGTCGCGGGTCTGATTATAATGTTCCGCGGGCCGGGTCGTAGTTTGCCGACCCCCGGACCTGGTCTAAATAATTGAATACGTTACAAAAAAGCTACCGTGTTTTCCCGAAAATAAGACTTAGTCGATAGAAATAAGTCCCTCCTACACGTTTCAAATGACTTATCTAAAACGTGTGAGAGAGGAAAAGGTTCAATGACCTGAGGTAACGTGAAGATCACGCCACATTCATAATTTGTATATTTAAAAATCTCGTAATTTTTTACTTTGTAATTTTGTTTTTGATGAATCAAAATAAAAGACATCCCCCCAAAATAAGCCCTAGTTTTATTTTTCAAAAGAGAATTGAAATAAGACCCTGTCTCATTTTCGGGGAAACATGTTGAGGCCCTATCGAATTATTCAAAAATTCAAGTTAAAGCAGGGCACAAGTGAATTTATTTGAATATTCGCGTTTTATATCCAGTAGAGCATGATAACTTTGTAATAAAAACGTGTGAATCCCTTGGATATATTTTTGTTGTATAAGACAAAAGATTCCATTAGCAATGGTCTAATATTTAACAAAACGAACGTTTTACAAGCAAACTCAGACATGTTAGAAGATGCTAATTTGTGTGGGTCAACAAAAAAAAAACGAAAATGTGTTATCAAGTGTAAGATGAACAATTCGACTGTATTAGGCTCAATCAATCACTTTTATTCCATTTACATTACATGCAGACACATCTTACGCAGTTTTATTGATGCAATTCTGTTAATATCCACCGTTTGGATATTTACATTAATTTTAATAAATACTAGGCCGGCTATGATGGAAACAGTTTTTCTTTATACATTCTCTCACATAATCTACTTTAGGTATGTGATGGATGGAAAGATTGTATAGATGGATCAGACGAAATAAACTGTAATTCTACGTGTGGAAGATATGAGTATCACTGCCCTGGTTTGAGCAATGATACCCAATGCATAGGTGAGGAAATTTTAATTTTTGACAGAAATTGTAAATTTGGTATCGAATATTATTTAGATCGTATTGCAATGCAACAAACCACCTTGTCGTAATCGTAATGCTATCAATATATAATTCATTTTTTGTATCGTTCATAAAAAAGCGTTATTTTTCAGATAGCAATTTAGTCTGTGATAACGTCCATGATTGTCCTGACGGAGCAGACGAATATCCATGTGCGGAATGGTTGGAATGGAGTGGATGGTGTAGGCTTCAGAGAGGAAACGATACCAGTTCATGTACTCTTATAAGGTACCGTTATATTACTCCCGAAGTATCGTCTTGATTACGGTATATTAGAAAACATTTATTCACTATCATTCTGTAACTGACCAAATCGTCAATAACTTGAATACAGCCACTCCAAGGGCATGTGTACATAATATAATCAATAAAATAAATTGCATTATGTCACATAACCTCGCAATAAGGTTTTTGTACGGCGTTCGAATAACATTGCTATTTATAATCTGACTGACTTTTCAAAGGGGCGGAGTTTTGACTTGATTACTTCCAAAACTTAAATATAATTGTGTTAACACTGTAAATACGATGTGATATTGATGGAAGATTATACATGTTAGCTTCGAGTCGGAATTGCTATAATTTTCCTGAGATGCCAATTCATTATTAACAGATCTAAAAAGTGTCGACATCGAGTAAAGGAGATGGCAGAAGAAGATATCGGAGCGTGCGCTCTTTTTGGACTCGATGTGAATATTTTCGACTTTATGAAATCATGTAATGACGTCACAGACTTCGATGCTTATGCGACTGAATTATGTCCAGCTATTTCAACGAAACTGACAACGAATGAATCTCTCCCATCATTGGGTGAAATACAAGGTTCGGCCTATCAATTAGTAGCAATAATACAACCATTTGATTGAATCTTTGTTATAAACTACATATTTGCTTTGCCAATCCTGAAAAGCACGATCATACATCTCTCACAGCACCAACTATTACATGAAAAAATTTCTGTTAAAAAATGAGTTTGATTAAAGTTTGCTCTGCCTGTATAGGGTGACCCAAAAAACAGAACCCAAGCCATCAGGAATATATTCTAGCTAAAGAGAACATGACTTTTGTGCAAACGTCCTAGATTGCTAAAGCTCGGTACTCCCGTGGTATGTGAACCAAGATGGCGGACACCGGAACGTAGTATGTGAACCAGGTTAGGGTTAGGCCATAATTTCAGGTACAAATACTAAGGGAGTCACTTGGCTAGTCTCTGAACTCGTAATATAACTAAAATAGGGGAAATTGGAATAAAATTATGGCCTAACCCTAACCTGGTACACATACTAAGTTCCGGTGTCCGCGATCTTGGTTCGCATACTACAGGAGTGCTGAAGCTTTTGGGTACAATAACACAAACAGAAGTTGAGGTGCTAAATCAATTTTCTTCATTCTCGTAGAAGTAATTGAGAAATTTGTGGATTCGGTTTTTGGAGTCGACCTGTATGCGTGTAACGGAGTCGATACGTAACTATATTTATATATACTTTCTAGATTTTATTGGGATGCTGGAAGATAATAATCCCCATCAAGCGAAAGAAAATATGTCCTCGAGTTCCCAAAATCACGAAAATGTCACAACACAAAGTTCCAAGCACGTATACTCTGCGATAGTAGGAATCTTCGCACTTACGGTGTGTGTTATACTGTCGATTAGCGCTTATTGCACTACTAAACATGAGCATCAAGAATCCTACAATGTTTCTGTGCACGAAAGCAAAGAAGCGTCGCTAAACACACCGGACGATGATTTTAATGGCGTTGATTTGATACTGGAACATCCTGACAGCATCGCAAGAAGTATATCAGTGTGAAATCGGACTTATTGACTGAGTGACATTCGGAAAACTGTAACACATGAACATTATAAGAATCCATTCTTAATAATATTGCCATAAGAAGCACTGTGACTGTATTTTATCGTTAGAGTTTTCAAGTTATTATGGAATACGAATTATTTGTACTATGTATAGACTAATGTGGGCATTACATAATATTTATGATATAAAAAATATTGATTTATATACTATGTTTATATACCCCGTATGTGAATTTTTTCGCATGGCACCACAAACAATCTGTCCACCGCTATAAAAGTTTAAACATATCACTTCTGAAAAAAATCTGATGTGTCCTAAGACGTTGTACTATGTATAGACTAATGTGGGCATTACATAATATTTATGATATAAAAAATATTGATTTATATACTATGTTTATATACCCCGTATGTGAATTTTTTCGCATGGCACCACAAACAATCTGTCCACCGCTAGAAAAGTTTAAACATATCACTTCTGAAAAAAATCTGATGTGTCCTAAGACGGGCGCACCCGAAGACTATCGCCACAGGTCAGAAACCCAATAAAAAAAAAACTGGAAATGATTTCAGACTATTAATTAACAGTTATTTGGCAATATGAGAACCTATCATCGTTTGATGCGGCCAGCATACCAAAATCACGTGATTTTAAATCTGCAACTGATGAAGGAATGTTTCCATAAAAGGAAAAATTTGAAAACCAATGACGATGTTACAGAGTGTGTTTGGGATCAGCAAGCGGTCTAGCACCTTAAGTATCTTAGCACAATGAAAATGACTAAATCGCAATTTCTGCTTAAAAGCTAATTAGCATTTTCGAATTTATTGGGGATTTTCCTACAACTTTTACGTATAACGACCCGGCAATGTAAAGGTGTTAAAGTTTGTCAGACTTACATAAAAGGGCGCAAAATACAGATTCACGACGTCGTTTCCTGCAATTCAATAAGAAACATGGTTCAAATAGGCAAATGAATGGGTTACACAGCATATAATTTAAAAGTACCAACATATACATGCTTTCGGTTTTATTCATGGCCTATGAATCTATCCAAAACGTTGCAATCCAGATTATTAATCGTGAATTCTTGATAAATTTTACATATCAAATATAATTAGAAATTTCTATAGGAAAGGGAAGCAAAGTACAGTCTGCAGATTGCACCACGGTAAACGACTAGAAATGTATATCAGAATAAAAATGAAAGTAATATACACATTAATAATTACGATCGCGCTAATTGTTGGAGGTATTAATGGGCGGAGGACTTCAGGTACGAAAAGAAAGAAGAAAGAGAAAAACGGTGGAATATTCTCTGTTGACACTCAGAAGGACGAAATACCAGGATGGCCGAGCATGGACGTGATTTTTGAAGCAGTGAGTCCCAGAGACTATGGTATACCGAGACAATGCAGCGAAAGTGAATTGAAAACAATATTGAAAAGATGTGTTATTATTTGGCAAAGTTATTGCAAGTGCAAGCATTGTGAAAGTTGTGAACAGGTAAGAAATAATTATGCAATAAATGTCGTAATCTCAGTCAGAACGAATGGCCCTATAGAAGCTGACAAATTTCGCACCAATATTAAGACACTTAAGTCAATTGAATGTTTTCAGAAAATTTATACTTTTGCCCATCAATTGTTATTGAAAATAGCACTTTTCAATTCTATAATGTACGATATTTTTTATTATCAAAGAAGATTGTTATCAAGTACTACAAACTACATCGTTCTGAATTTGGATGGAATGTCATAGAAGTATAACACAAAGTCACTGATTGTTTTTTGTTTGTTTTATATCACCAAAAATTGTGTTATTCAACGCAACTTCAGTTTTTTTTTATGGTCTTCTCACAGAAATGGCCTCCCACCGAAACAAAAAACTGGAACAATGGTCGCAATCATATTGGATGGGAACAGTTAGACGAATCGTGGAAATGGGTTGGTAAATGTGCTTACAATGCTACAAACCTATGGCGGATTTGGTGTGGCGAGGTAAATATATCTGCATTGAAAGTTGAAACTATTGCCGGAGCCTTCTGTATTATTATATCGGAGTAGTGTTGTTGCGATTTAGATACAAAATTTTACATTCATTGTATAAGCGCATAAAATTGAGAATAATATTAATTTATTAATTTTTCCAAGCAGGGTGAAATAACTAACAGGAACACTTCCCAAAAAGAGGAATATAAATACTGGTTTCTTCTAAACATTGATGCAAATTTTGGCGAAGAAAAGATCACACAGTTGTGTATTGAACATGAATGTCCAGAGAAACCCACTTCAGAAGAAACGAAAACCAAAATGGGAGAAGAAAACGCAAAGTATTCAACAACATCGCCAGCGAATGCAGTAACGTATCCGGGACCATATGGCAATGAAAATTTTGTAACGATGGACATCCGTGTTGAGTTAGGTAGAAATGGCCAGGACAAGGACAACCAAGATATATCAGACGCGTTGGGCACTTCCCAGCTTGTGTTTTCTGAAAATTGCGACAATGACGAACTAAATGAGATTTTGAAAAGATGTATTATTATTTGGCAGGAATATTGCAGATGTGCGGGGTGTGATAATACATGTGGAGAAGTGAGTGGTATATTAGCAATATATGATACTATTAATAAAAATTATTTACCGTTTATAGTACGGGGTTTATGCACAAAATGATTTCACAAGACGAAAATCTGCAGTGCTGTAGGTCGTTAATTCTTTTTGAACGCGTTATTTTTCAGGAAGAATGGCCTCCGAAAGCCACAGATGCTTGGAGAGTTCATGACCGAAAAATTGGTTGGGAAGAATTAGATGGTGCGTGGAAATGGGCCGCAAAATGTGCCCATAATGCAACAGAATTATGGAGGTTCTGGTGCTATGACGTGAGATATTTTTTGGCATTTCAATATAGTGAAAACAGTGAGATTATGTGTTTTATCTTTCATTGGTTATCCTTGAAAATAATATCTAAGTAATTTCGTTTGTGCAGTGGGCACCAGGGATCAATGAGGAATTAACAGAGAGTGAGCACGAACACTGGTTTTTAACGCAACTAGGAATGAACACACATCCAAAAATAGTGCATGGATTATGTCAAAGTTATGAATGCCAAAAATTCAACCTCAAATTGGGATCAACTACAACTGAAGAATTGGAACCATATACGAGAGTAGTATCAAAAAACATCGAAATTACTACATATACAAAGACCACCGGGAAACAAACCAGTACGTTTATAAATAACGATGAAATATCACAATTATAATGAGAGAAAAGCCTGAAAGACGGCTTAATCATACGGCGAACTACGATCTCTCATCCGGTTACCAGTCCACGGGAATAGTTAACCAGATACGTGGACTAAAACTAGCAATTTCGTTAAATTCTACGACAACGAAACCCCAGAAATCTTCTCGCAGATAATTATCACTCAGGTGTTTCGAACCTTGCGAGCCCGCGCAGGTAATCAGAAGTGCGATAGCAAGCGTGTTCTTAATTAACGCTTAGCGCGATGCGCCAACCACTAAGCCTTATGTACTACCTGACGGAAAAACTAATGCGAATTCTATTTTCCAGACACTGCTATTACGAACGATGGTGCAACTTTGGGGAGTTCAAATGGGACAACGGTTCCAAAGTGGGCTTACATAATAATCGCAGTGTTGGGTGCAATAGTTATTATTTTCTTCGTGTTATGCTGCATGTTCTTATATTATCGCGGGCGATATAAAAAGGAGAGAAGCGATCCACAGATCGTGTTCGATGGTCGACGAGGAGAAACAAGTGCAACAGACAGTAGTACAAATTGGCAGCATCAAACAAGTTTCACGTTCTTCGGTGAACGAGCTCTGCCGGGAATAGACGAGAGTATTTACCACACCATCACAGATGCACCTGCCCCACCAGCAAGTCCAACTTTCGCCATGGCTTCGTTCTCGCCTCCCAAAAAAACAACCCAACGTAGCAATGCTGGGCAATCGGTTACGAATGTCCTATACCATGATACAATACCAAAATATGCAGCCACCAGTGATCCCAAGTCTTCCAACACGAACCGAAGCGATCAGCTTGCGGAGCCTCATACATACGAAGACACTGGCAATATTCTTTCAATAACCAGTCCAGGAAATTTTGAAAGCGCTAATACGCCCCCTTACTTCGTTCCCACCAGTGCAGTGAGTATGAACGAATACGACACTCTTGGCTTGGGTGATGTACAACATAATGAGCAACAAAAAGACGAACCCGAAGTTGTCCGAAGACAAAACTATGACCATATTCAGCTTCTTTGAAAATAAGAAAAATGAATTAAAAGAATGATTTGAAAGGAACTCCGCTTCTGATGAAACTTTGTCTGCTAATCATTACTTCTATTTCAATATGGTAAAGCAATAGAATTGTTATTTTTAGAAGGCTCTGTATATTATCTTGATGCAAATACTCAATAATAATCAGTAGTTCAATGAGATAAGTTATATTCTACAATTCCTGTTGAGGCGCGCATACAACTATCACGCGGTCTGGCCAGAAAAGGGATGGCAAAATATTAAATATATAGCGGCTGCAAACATAAGTAGCGTTTGTTTCATCCAGAAATTATATTTCTGCTTGACAATACCGCCTACTTTAATTACTTCATCAGCCTATAATAAATGAGTAAACATTAAATCTAAAATTGTTAGCGCCTGCATGTATGAGACATAGGAATTTTTAATACGCTAGGAGACAGTATTGGCGTCGAGAGATGACTCAAAATTACGTAAATTTACGTCAAAACGTACGTTTACCATTGATAGGCCAGGCCAATGCGATAAATGAATTATAGTTATGGCAGGTTATTATAACATGAGTGTGTATATGTTGCGCTGCTCGTGTTTGTGATTGATACAAATTAACGGTGTGTGCGTTAGCCCGCATTTCCGCTTTGCGTATTCTGCATGCGTACGCCACTGCATCAGCGCATCAACGGAAGTCGCATGAAGACAAGTATTGGTGGTAGTTGCATTGAGGTGACGCATACCAAAATCGGTCGAGAAAGAAGTCACTGTATTAGTAGCAGAAGAAACGCAACCGCGATGGTCATCGGCAAGCTAGTAACCACAGATTGTCAGCAAAATTGTGTGAGTTTTACATAACGACATATGTGAGTTACGTAAGTCCGCGGTAGAGAAAAAAAATAAGGACATAGGATGATATAATCTCGTTAATTGCACAGACTATAATCCAGCCATGTTGGGTAAAGGCCATAGATTTAAATGAATACAACAGTGTCAATAGTATATATAGTATTACCAAGTTATCATCAAGTTATAGAAATGGTGTTTTCTGACTAAACGCAACAAAATTAAATGGTGTATACCGAGCGGAGAATATTTATTATAGGGACGAATTATCAACGCTAAATAGAGAACCGTCTTAATAATATCAAGCGACCGGGCAATAGTATAAATACAGGCATTTTTCTTATCCACAGTGAATTAACGTTAGTTTCATTCACGAGAAATAAAATTCTCATTACTCCACGAAATTAGATTAAATTAAATATAAATGAGTACAAAAACTACATAATCTGATTTAGAATTTAATTGAACGGAAACGCGACCCGAAAGAAAACAGCAAACGACTGCTGAAACTCTTGATAAGATTTTTCCAGCGTAATTTACGCGTCTTGGAAACACTAGAGTAGAAAAAGTGGAAGTGAACCGTGGATAACCAGAATAATTAGTCAGTGTCAGAGTACGAGTTGGTCCTAAAAATTAATACTAGTAACACTTGGAAGTCCAATTCGGAAATAAAAAAGAAAAATCAAAGTATCTTCGTCAGCGGAAAGTCACCGATGGGAATCCCATTTGATTGCGAAATCGTGATTTTCTCTAGAATGAATGAAGTTTGCTTGAAATTCCGAATAGGTTTCCAAATTGGTTCCACTGTTAGTTTGTCTGAATAGGCTGAATGAAGGCAAGAATACTAAGCAAACTAAGATGATTATGTGGCAATTGGAAAAAGGCTGGTCAGAGTCACAATAAAAGAATGGTAAAAAATCCAAGATGGAACAAATATGAATTAAAAAAACGTCAGGAAATTTACTGGTATCACAAAATTGCCATTGTCACAAGAAAATTGATTTATTTGAATTCAAACAGAGGGTCAAATGTTCGTAAATGGGTGGTATGATAGCCATATATGGATAGTTGAAGGTTTCTACTAATGTGTCCGCTTCATCCTGACAACGACTGAGAGCTCACGTTGTCGTTTTAGGGAAACTAATTTCCATCCTACATTCAGTCGTTTACGGGACGCGATTAACCTAACAAGAGCCTTGGTAGATAGCCATTTGGAAATTATTTCGTGTCATGTCTATTGTAAAATGTCCCCTATGACTAGGCTATCTATGCTAAGATTCATAAAACTGTTTTAGTGTATCAACGGCCCATACTTGATCGGCAATAAATAATAATTCGTTTTTAGTTAGATATAGTCCAACATGATTGCAGTTTAAATCTCTATGAACCGCTGAATATTGGATACTTATTATTCAATAAAACAAAAATAACTGTAATCTCGAATTATGCCTCATTGGTAGCTAACGAAAATCCATAAGAATGGAAATGAATTAGACGGGCGAGCACGAATTGGAAGTGTGCTTGGTTTATTGATCGAATTGTCTAGTCGAAACATATAGCGCACGGTCTAGGTTGAGCATCTGTCCCGTTTTGAACTGTTTTATATTAGTCCCGGCGATGTTTGTTACTGGATAGATTCAGATTGGACACAGAGAATGTATATAGTGTTTTATACTGATCAATAGGGTATTGACATATGCGTAGCATGCCAAAGTAGTTAATGAAGTAATGGAGCAGAATGATGAAATATTGTCCTAAACAAACAAGGCATTGCAAGGCAATGAATTGTAAGGCAGACTAAAAGCTGTATCAGCATATACAGAACAGTTTCACCACCCAGTATAGTGTTACAACGGCCCGTCTAAAATTTTCGCAAGTTGCTGATTATGAAATCATATGCAAGGAGGTGGTATCGATCAATGTGTAAACATTATCGATTATATAGTTTCGTCATAAAACTTGAAGCAGTGTCACATGTAGAAGAGATATGTTTTAACAACATTTAAAAGTAATATAAGTTATTTTATATATAGAGCTTTCAAAAATTTTCAATGAAAAGTTTCTTTGACGTAATGGATGGTCATTCATAGCCTAAACGTGTGTATACTGAAATAGCACAAATAATTTTGTGGTTGTTGATTGGCTTGTTGCCACACAAGACATAGTAATATTGAAGTAATAAAACACCAAGATATTACAGAGGTATATTACTGACTTGGTGTCAGACTAACTCGTTCAATACGATATACTTTTCCAGTAAACAACAGACAGAAAGTCAGTAAGTTTTCAATGTATCCGACACCCAGTCAGGTAGAAAGTAGAAAGGCAGTTTGTCATCGAATACGGAAATATTTCAGAAATCTTGGAACTTTGTATTTTATATTGATTATGACAATCGCCTTAATATTGAAAATTGGGAACGATGGAGGCTTAAATTAAAGTATTAAATTATAATTAAATTAAAAATAGAATCTACGGCGATAAGTTGCTAGGATGAAGGTATCGACTGGTATCGATCTGATATACGTGTCGACATGAGTTAAACTCTCATAAAAATTCATTTTCATATAAGGAAGTCGGCAGGCGTAAGGCAAGAAATAAACAGGAAATTCAAGACAATGTCATTTACACTTCGCCTATAGATAGGATTTGACAGTCTAACCCTAACAAACGTTAGCATCGAATTTATCCAAGGACTTCAATACTTCTATAGACTTATCTATTTAAGTAGGTTGTCAACTTGGAATTACTGCAGTAATACGACTGTTGGTAAACTTTAAGTGGTATTGCTGGCTCCCCAGTAGATGCTTACTTGTTCATCGTGTCATGTTTGAACCGCAGCCCGTATTCAAGGTCAACCTAACCATTTCCATTTTCACACACATGGTGTAAGGAGTTGCCTAGGTTTTGGTGACTCGAAAGTTGGAAGTTAGACCCCAAGTGTGGACGTATTTTGCTAAATTGGCATGTGATGAACGTTGCAACTTTATTATGTTAGATGTTGGGAAAGAGTTCCAGTGAGCAAAGTAAAAAATCTTGATTTTTGCTGAAATCAATTGATTGCATGCAACTCACAGGGGCGTACAAACGCAGGTCAATACCTAAATTATATTTTAACTTTTTAGGACATTCGATAAATACATTATTCAAGTCTACAGGGAATTGTACTCCTGCCGAAATCATCACATGGAAATAATAGAAGACTTTGACTGTCAAAATTTTCCTGACTATGAAATTCCGTCTAATCAAGTTTTTATTATCAATATGCGTGATTCTGCAAGAATTTGTACACTGTGGGAAAACTCTACAAGCAGATTCAGAGGAAAACATAAGCAAAAAAATATGCGAATTTCCACAGTTCAGAAAATTAACCAAAAAAATCATTTATAACAACAAGACACATTTTTGTCAAGGATGTAAAACGTTCAGAACGCTTTTTCTCAAAGCCGATGCAAAAAAATTAAATTTGAAAAACGTGGATATGTGTACGAAGAAATGTGACGGGGTTCTATGCAGTGGCCTAAAACTGGAATGTGTGCAATCGAAAGTAGCTGGTGAAACAGCAGAGAAAACGTGCGAAAAAATCGGCGGACGAGGTGAGGCACAGATACCGTAATAACAGACCAAAAGATGCTATGATAGTCGTGATGACAGACATGTAACACGTAAAACAATTTGCCAGACTGCATGGCGATTACTATTTTACATGATATATTGAAAAATTTCCGTTCAACCAATGTCTTTAGACCTATAATATATATATATAATTTTATTTTTTTCAATATTTGCAGCAGTTAACCCATGGCATGGTGGCAGCGAAGAGGGAGGTAACAATAACGCCGAAGATGGCAGGAATGCCAGCGGACAGGTATTTCATAGAGACGTGAATAAAATATGTATAAGGACTATAGCCTGAACCTTAAAATCATAGCGTACCGCTAGTAGATATCATTACAATGGAACAAAATTTGCCCAAGCAATATATAAGTAAGCCGATGCCCTCTAAGTAATACGATAAACGCTTGCACTTGTGGACTCGCCTGTTCTATCGCGCATAATGAAAAGTAACAAACGTGTTAACCGTGGAGAATATTGTTGCCATCAGGCCCGTTATATTCGCGGAATAATATTTTAGTATCAAAGCCTCTGTTAGCTCTATTCATTATTTATAGGTAACAGAGTTTGCAGCATTATTATCGCTGTAAGACGAATTATTTTTAGCTAACAGACATTCAGACTAATACTAATGACATACAAACGATAGAATCTATTGGCGAGGGTGAAACATAATTACAGTAAATAATCGATTGACAAAAACCTGAATTCCAACAGCATAGGCTCGTTATAAAGAATATTTCAGAAACAATATGTTTTCTAAAAAGTATTTAACACAAGACACAACACCACTACGCCATGTTTTCAATTCTTCATGGTATTCCCAAAAATACAAAGATTGGTGGCATTGTCGAATTCTCTCGGGGAACATATGTTCTTCGCTCACCATACGCTTCAAATTTGGTAATCTCTACATAATTCAAGGTTGTATGCTTATCAAATATGCGTAACACAAATTTTCCGCTTCAGATTCCTCTCATTGTCGGCTTCACTGTTGGAGGAATATTGTTGGCGATCGTTGTAGCTGGAATCTTTCTGGGAAGAAACCAAAAAAACGACGACGGGGACGGCAGTGAGGTGGGCAATGACTGCATATTTGTAATATAACATGAAACATAGATCACTATAATACGAAACAAAAATAACCAGGTCATGCTAAGTTTTTAATGCATTACACTGTGACTCACTCACAGTGACTTGGATTAATCATACGACTTCCGGCACGCGGGATTCGGTAATTCATATGACGTAGTACACTGATTTGGCAAACGGGGAGCTCTATATACAATTGTATTGCGCGGAAGTCCAATTACAGCCAAAATCCAAATGGAAGTCCTTAACGTTATCTCGTGCGTTTACACGGGAATTGAATCATTATGAATATATGAAACATTATGAATATATGCAAACGATTTTGGCATTGATGTTTTATTTTAGTAATGTTCATGTGGTGAAAATATTTAAAAAGAGTATATTTAAAATTGCGGGCAAACAATCGGTAAATCACCTAAACGAATACACTATAAAATTAGAGTACATTTCCAACGTTCATACATACTTAAACATGATTAAAGGTCAAAATGATGGGTTCCCGTTGAATTTTTACACTACAACAAAATTTGTTGCTTGAAGATCGCATCACCAAATGATACTCATACTACAGCTAGAACGGACAATTCAAATTGGCTTATCATGATTTCAAAACACTTTGTTCTCCAATAATTGGCATATTTCGTTAGCAGAAGTGATAAAATGGCGGCGATTTGCGAATAGTTTAATGTCTTTTGTGATAAATTCCACAGCTAAATCTCACTTAGTTTTTCACTAACAATGCCGAGATTACTGGGGAGACGGTTCTCCTTGTGTCCTATTTGACAGCCACCCGAAGCAAATACCAAGTGTCTCCCGATTCGATGGCATAAAGGGCACTATTTTTCAATACTAAATTGAGAGGATATGAGCAATGAGAAAATGACACGACACGAGAAAATGAAAATAGTTGATAGAACAACGACACGCTTTGCTATTTTTTTCAACGTATTGATTTGTTAATTCAAAAACCTAGTTATTTTTGGAAACGGGAACAACGTTATTAGGGTTAGCCATAACAGGGTTTAACAAATTTGGAATCAATAGAACGATAAGCTGTAGCTTCGACGCTTGGTCACGACCTGGGATAAATTAAATTATGGTGGTTGGCAAGATTTGAAACGAAATAATATATATGTCTTGTTTTATTTCATATGTGCCTATAATATGAATTTGATTAAGCAATATTCCAGTTCCCTCTCTTGTGATGGTTTTTCTCCGTATTCCTGCTGCTTATTCATATGAATGCCAACAAAAAAATACAAGCTTCATGATACTACACCATTCGCTATTTATCTTTAAAGCACTTAAATTTTTACTTTCCTATTGAATTTATAAAACAACATTTATATGAATAAAAATATTCATGTGACTTTGTTTAAAGCTCATACGTTGTTTCGTTATTTTAATAGATAACTTTTGGCGAATAATTCGTTGGTAATAAGTTACGCGTGTTCACTTGTACACATGTCAGCAATCCACAAAAATAGGTTTTTCATCTTGGTACAGAGAGAACGGGCATAAGTGAATTAAAACAAATGACAGGAACAGGGCAGACGCCCAAACTGAAATGAAAACACTATCTACTAGTATAGTCGAATGTCTATTTTCATTCAAGTCACCCCTAGAGTACCACAAGCAAATAATTGCTATTACTCGGTACCATTCGCGATGACACCATAAATTCAAAGTAAATTGACTGTGATTTGTTCGATTCTTTGACCGTTATGCATTTGTTTTTGGCTTTTCATTTTAAACCAGGGGCAAAAAATATCTGATGGAAATGCGTGATGAAAATTCCTATGAGATTACTGCACACCCTAAACACATTCGTATAAAATGTCTGTACCTATGATAAGTGTGCCCTCAAAATTTCGCGATTCAGCATGTATATTTTGTACCAGATGATGACAACTCCCGTCTCGTTATCTAACTCTGAGTGGCATTCTAACGGTGTTTCAAACATTGCAAGGAGGAATCAAGAAAATCTACGAGTTCAGGAAGCCAGCACAGAAGATTTGACGACAGTACCTATGTACGAAATTCGAAACGACAACAAAGTGTACAGGCAAGACGAGAATGGAAATGAATATTTATTAAAAAACGAGGTAGAATCCAACGACATAAATATTTGGGACATAGAATAGACTGATGTTTCTCTATCTGGGATCTTAGTTACTGTTATATGACTTGGCCCCAGAAAAATTGAAATATACCAGCAATTCCACTGCCAAATCGTTTCAAACTCCCTAAATCACCTTAAAAAATCGAACTATTTCAATCAAGCTCAAAAAAACCTGTGAACAACTATGGATTTACCATATTCTAATATTTCAAATTATAATAAATTGAATGAAATGTTACAAGAGAAAATTGAAGCCCCCCAAATTAATATTTATTTCTATTTCAGGATGAGTGCAGTACAATGAGCAGAACTTCTTACAACGGCAGCGACCTTTTTCCGTATTTTGCTCAGATGAACAGCAGTCCAATGCGAAGCAACAGGTCTTCTGATGTAGTATTGGAGGACGGCTATGTTACGGGAGGAAATTTCATAGGGAGTGCAGATCCACAAATTAGAGAATTTTTGAGGCAAAACACACATACTTCGAAAGAAGGAAATGAGGCTTTTGTAAATGATAAATCAGAGCTTGAACAAAATTATTACATGACAGAACAATTAAATGCCACAAACGAAGCTCTTTCAATGTCGCTCACTCATTCTGTGGGTTGTGACGGTGTGGAGTATGTGATTGAAGACCAAGATCTTGTCTCCTTTAACACTCCTGTATCTTTTTCCAAACAAAAAAGAACCCCACAATCGCAGAGAATGCGGCGAATAAACGAAAATCATGACATTATGCAAATAACTTTACAACCTGGTGATCTTGACAGTGACTTTGAAGATAACTCCCGCCCAGACTCTGCTGTTAAATCGGACAAAAGCGAAGTATTCTTTTCCCCCACTACGCAGTCGTTGCAAGCAGGAGAAAATTCCGCTTTCAAAACAGATAATTCATTTGTAGAGTCACCCTGTTCAGAGAGTGGCATTGAGGGCAGTTATAACAGTAAGGAATCATGTGAAATCTTATTAAATAATGATGACCCGCCAATTCATTCATGGAATGAAAATGGCAAAGGGAGATCGAGCGAGCGACTTGTTGAAAAGACCCGAACTCCGAAAATAAATAGATATCTAGCAAATGGCGGTAATAGAGCAAAAAGTTGTACATGGAAATCACCAGCTGCCCCCACACATTCGTCCTCCAGAAAATTATCCGTACCAATCCACTGTCCGTCATCTGTGCCAACACACCCGAAACCCCATGCTACAAATCTTACACATGTCTTCGTTGATGTGCACAGAAATATGGCGAGTTCTGATGAAGACTTATTGGGGCATACCTCCATAAATAACAAGTCATGTGAAAGACCTTTTAGAGCAAACCTACAATCAAGCTCCTCAACTGAAATGATATTTGGCGCACTGCAAAATACGCCTGACCACATGCCTTTTGATGCCTATACTTCTCAAAATAACGAACAACAAGATGGGCTGAAAATTAACAGACAAAGACGAAATAAGTCCATGTATTTGCTCAGAAATGGAGGTATCCATAAAACTCCTGACTGGGCGCCGCCACGCACAGTGCGATTTAGCTCAAGTGGTAGTGGTGAATACGCTATACCTTTTGGATCACTCGTACCATGACATGCGAATGCAATCAACAAACATATATTTTTATTTTTAAATCTAATTACTTTTGTTCCATTTTATACTGCTATGTGCCCAAGGCCTGTAATAAATGCACAGCTACAAAAAATAGAGAATTTAACCTCATTAAACACATGATTTGGGAAAGCAAACACAAAAAGGTGTTAACAAAACAGTTGATCTTTCCTTAAGTATAGCACTACTTCATTATATATTTCTGGTTCTCAAAGTTCTCTAGACTTATAAACATGTATGAAAACTGAGAATCCTGGCTCTGGTATTTAACCGAACATTGACTCTATCTCGAGTTACCCAAGAAAAAGCAAGCGAGGTGCAGTAGAATACTTAGGCCTGACACATTTCAGCACTTTGTCCATCATCCTGAAGAGAGCAACACTGAACCTAATCACTTCAGAATGGTATTTTGTATTCTATTTGCATTTGTGTATTTGAGTTCAAAATCAACTTCCCATTGACAGACTAACATCAGTATAAAGTTTATACTGATACTTACTTATACTATAAACGCTTTCTTTACAACATAAAATCACAATAGAGGTTTTTAAATTTCAAAACATCTATGTGAAGTTAAGCAACTCATTTCTCTCTAATGTGGAGTGAGACAAATGCACATTCTAACTGAAATTGTTTTGCAATAGTTATGTTAATATCTGAAGTACAGGAATTGATACCAATAAGTTGCTTTGGTAGCTGAATCAGCATTAAGTTATACAACCAGTTTATGTGCTGCATTTTCTAATTAGGCTCATCCAGAGTCAATCACCTACCTCACATTGCTGACAAACTGAATGAACTGATGTGATGTGATATTGATAGGTCATGTTAAATCTGTGAAATTAATGTCCCTGCAAATCCAGTCATAAAAAAAAGAAGCTCACTGACTTAGTCATGGTTACTGACCATTTGGTAATTTCTGATTTTTTTTTTAAATCCAGAAAAAAGTGACTGCTCATGAAAATTATAATTAATAAAAACTTACTTTGGTTTTTCATCTCCTATGAGAAGTCGGATACCAGAAATAGCTGCACGTCCCATTGCAGTTAGATTCACTCTTGTTGGTGTAACATTTTTCTGTGCCTTATCGACAGACATGTAAAACCTGTATTAAAAAGAGAATTTTCAAATTGGACATAGATGGTTGGCTAGTTAAACAAAAAATTATTATAAAAAAGAATGCGATAAGATATTTAGTTTGATATTTTTCACAGAGAAAAGAATCTACTCACTACCTTTTGGTTACCAGTGTACTTTCAGAATATGAATATCTAACCAATTTATCATTCCAGGTGCAAGGACTAAGGTGGTGTATTAGCCATAGCAACCATGTTAGATCAACTACACTACAATACTAAAGAGTTCAGCAATTCTGTGACAAATCATCCAACAACAGGAGTCTAATTTGAGATCCTATATAGAGTAATTAGGGCTTAGACAGTATGCCAATTGTTCATACAACATTGGAATATTGTTGATTTTTAATCTATTGAAAATTATTTCAGAAGACACTGCCAGAGAGATTTGAAATTAAATAATTTCTTCTTCTCTGGAATAAACTTGAAAATCATGTTTTACAGTATGCTTCAATTTTAGGATGCAATCAAACAAACAATTGCAACTGTAGTCTACATGTAGGCATATACTGTGAACAGCAGGAGATTTTTACTCCTTATTTTTAGCTTTCACTTCCTATGTTAAAAGTTCCCGGAACCCCTCCAACTGCTCCAAGTATGAATTTTACCATAAATACTTACTTCTTGCCATCAGATGTGGGTTGTCTGCTTATACTGAAATCATTCACAAATAGTATGCAGTCAGAACCAAGGGCTGGAAATTAAATGAACTAAAATTATGCATAATAATAAAGGTTAAATAATAAGGTCAAGGATAATTTAAAGTTAATAACAATGATGAATAGGCTATACTATTCAAAAATATCTGTTCATTCAATTTGTAGTTCTCTACTTGCTGTATGTCAGATGTCCAAAATCAATGGATGGTGTAAAAATATCTCATAAAAATTAAATGTGCAATACAAAAAAATTGTGACTTTGTTTTATTGAGAATTAATATTTGCTATTGAATAAAAAAGTGCTTTAATATAATATAACAACATTAACTGGAATGTCGGCCGCCGAAACGATCTCGGTGACAAAAAATTTACTACATCCTTCGATTATGACAAAGTTATGAAATAAAAAACGCCGCATTGTTACAGAGTTTTCGGTGTTCTAGTGAAATCTGAAAAAAAAAGGGGTTGTCACGGCGATCGTTTCGGCGGCCGACATCCCAATTAATGTTGTTCAAAATGACAATACTCATTATTCGTTGAAAATAATCGAATAATTCGATTATGAAAATACTGTTTTACCCGCCACTAATCACGGCGCATGTAAATATTTATTGAATGGCAATAAAAACCAACTTCATTAACAATAAATTCCAAGTAATAGTTTCACATTTCATGCCTTTGATTAGCGCTACATGCGAGCGTGTTTTTGTACATATAAACCATTATGACGCTACTAACATTTGTGAGTTATAATTCTCTCTAAAATTAATTTTCGCGATTTTTAATGTTTTATTTTTAAATGCGGGCCCTGCTGACTACGGATTAATGGTCGATGTTTGAAATAGGACCTGCAAAATATTCACCAAACACCGTCAGGCAAAGAGAGGCGGGCTACACGTAAGTGACGTAACTGTAGAATTTTGCTGGGAACGGCGCATACATTTTAGTTTATTAAGCGCACTACGTCGCCGTGAATTGCACTTTTATTGAAATGTTTTAATTTCACCGTAACCCCCCGTTGGGAAAATCCTGGCTGCGCCCCTGCAAACAATATAAAGTCAAAGCAGAGAGCGTTGTAAACATTCCCAACTACTGTTATCAGTTTTATTTAGATTCTAAATATAAATAGATTTTAGAAATTAGATTATATATTAAGTTTTATTAACCATGGAATATCCCAAGAAACGTAAAGTTGACAGAGAGTGTCCAGCCAGCATTTAACAAAGATTAGATACCAAAGTATTTTTAGTAATAATCCGGCCCATCGAGGATTTCATTTTCCCACATCTGGCCCGCCGACTAGAGAAGTTGCCCACCCCTGCACTATACAATTAAATCAGTTAAAAACTAAAGTATGTTACCAGCAAATCGGGTAGGCTCAAATGGATCAATGGTGATGCTGTGCAGAGTGGGAACATTATCATATGTCTTTCTCCATAACTTTGTACCAGTATCTGCATTCCATAATGCAAGCATATTTGGAGAATGTATTGCAACAAGTAAATCATGTGAAGCATCTTGACAATTTAACCATTCCAGATCTACAAACAAAATTTTTTTTTATTTGATTGATGAAAAGCTATATCATTAATTTTTTCCTTGACATAATCAATATTTCATAGCGACAATTCCAGCAAAGATAAATTTTTATTAACCTAATCAATCTAATGAAAAAGTAGAACACCTTTACTGAATATGACAATAAAACCAAATTACACTTCATCTACCGGTAATTATATTGAATGTTGGGGGCTCCCGAAGTATGCGAACCAAGATGGCGGACATCGGAACGTAACATGTGTAACAGGTTAGGGTTAGGCGATAATTTTTGTTCCAATTTTCCTTATTTTAGTCCTATTATCAGTTCGAAGACTAGCCAAGAGCCTCCCGTAGTATTTATACCTAAAATTATGGCCTAACCCTAACCTAGTACACATATTACATTGCAATGTCCGCCATCTTGGTTCGCATACTTCGGGAGCACCGAATGTTGAGAGTATAACATGCAGTCATTAATCATTAGTTTTTTTTAAAAATCAGCCTACAAAATAAAATGTCATTTTACAAAGAGATTTCTATCTTACTTGATAACCAAGAAAATATCAGCCCAAAGGTTTACATGTCTTAGCTGAACCTATTGGTCACCATAACCCAAGCCCACATTATGACTTATGGACTCAAGAAATATTAAATGCATCATATATCAATTACATCAAGGTAACAAACCAGTAAGAGTTTTCCCATTTTCAATAAATTCAGCTCGTTCATTCCCTTGTGCAACATCCCAAACAACTACTCGACCACTGGTATCAACTGAGGCAACTCTGAGTGAGTACGGAGAAGCAACATCATGATGATAGTTTTCCGTAGCCCACTTGACCTACAGCACAATGGAGAATATTAATGAAGCCTTCAAAGATTTGACGTACAAAGCAGAATAATCTGTGGGGAATTTTTTTACCAATATTCATGCACCATGGTCAGTACTCAGGCCACAAGAAGTATCAAAGAGATGGTTGGTGCTTCATTACATTACGACTACACTTATCACCGAACTCTTGATCATCCACAATCCGTAATTTTGGGAGATGATTATGTGCAACAGAAAACAGCTTCCTTCAATACCACACATCGGGAACTCTCAACTGGTTAGCTAACTGTCAATTCCTTTGCCCAAATTGGTTATAGACTATTTTTAGAATAAATCAGATGACAATCAAAATCAGTAACAATTAACAATTTTACACTTCTTAACATATAATTAATATATTTAAAATATGCAGATGTTTTTCATGAGGAATTTAATAACTTTATACCTTGTTAACAGGATAACGATGTTTAACCAATGTCTGTACTACTTGCAATGTATTTGGGTCAATGATGAGAACAGTTTTCTGACTTCCACATGCTATGAGTCCATGCCATCCCCTGAACAAAGTTTCTGTAGATATTTCAATGCTTAAAATACAGGGAACCATATTAGCCTGGCAGTTAGGCATGACTAATTTCAACAGAATCACTTCACTATGCCTTTTAAACAGAAATTCATATAAATTAAGATGAGAAAAAGTCAATAACCCTACCAACAATGGATAGAATTTACATATTTAACCTGTGGGTGAGGAAAGGTGATAACACGACTTAATCATCTGGCGAACCACGGCCTCTTGTGCGGTTACCAGTCCAAGTTGGGTATGGGAATAGTTAGCCAGGTATTTTGTTTTCAGATGCATGGATGCACTTGATAGTGGAGGAAGCCGTAACTGACCAGCGGTTACGTGAACCACCTCGCAAATAAATGCAACTCCACAATTATTGGATATCGACTTGTGCAAAACAATTCATTATTTTAACAAGGTAGCAATGAGAACTAACTAGCGGCAATAACACAATACAATGTAAAGGATCAGTCAATTTGCAACTGAATTTCACATGATGTACAAAACCTGAAACAAACACCAGGGACTTTAAAATAATTTTACAGAACATGAATATAATATTTCAGCTTGCAGTGGGTTTATTTTTCATATGTGCAACAAGATATCATCATACATTACATCCGATTTTTAAAAACAAAAATACATCAAAAGTTGATATGCTCAAATATGGATGCAAATAAATGGTAATGTAATTGCTTATTCCACAGAACCAGAATAGTACTGGAAGACTGGTTTTAATTTTTTGTATAATTCGATAGTATACTCAGGATTCAAAAAATCATATAACTAGCCTTATATCGAATTTATTATCTAAAAATTTTCAATGCCAGGTTAGGTTCAGTAGTTTCAGAAGTGATTTAATAAACTCATGCACATCAAACTAGACTCCGGGAATAATGTTCTAATATACCTGTATCAACTTACCAATGAAAAGCTTTTTCGTTTTGAGGCGATAATACTCCAGGAATAATCCGCTGAGGAATAATAGCAGGATTTCTTCCCTCCATTCTTCAAAATTAGACCATGAAGATTTGAATATGGACGAATGTAGTAAGCTCACGAAAAGAAACGGAATAGTCTACTAATTGTTTATGAATTTGTCCAGTCCTAAACTCAATACTACGAGCATTAATTAATTATTCTGGCAAACCTGAAAATTGGAATATATCATTTTCACCTACTGAAACTTCATTTGCAGTATCAAAATTTTGAAACGATTCAGTTACGTAAATGCTACTACAGTATTACAATCACAATCCAACCAACCAACCCTGAGCTGTTGTAAGAATAGGATAGGATTTACATATTTATCCTGGGGGAGAGGAAAGTCGACGACTTAATCATATGACGAACCACGGCCTCTCGTCCGGTCACCATTCCATGTCGGGTATTGGATTAGTTAGTTACTTGTTTTTCGGAAGCATGAACTTGATGGTGGAAGAAGCCGTAACCCAGTAACCGACCAGCGGTTACAAGAACCACCCAACGACGGCGGGGAGTCCAGCAATCCTCTCGCACCTAACCATCCCACATGGGATTCGAACCTGCGAACCCACGCAGAGTTATTAGAGGTGCGGTGGCGAGCGTATTCCTAACGCTTAGCACGATGAGCCACACCGCCGCGCCTAGAATGCAAATCAATCAACCAATTCAGACTACAGCACTAGTCTACTACAAATAATATTATGCAAATATATTATACATACAGACCTACCTATCCTACACAATATCAAGAAATTACCATATATACTAAAATATTAAGACTTGCATCATGTTGTCCTGTCACTGTGTTATGTAACCATGTAACACAAAAGTTATCATAATATACTGTCATAATTTAAGATAGGATGGGATTTTACATATTTCTGTATTTAGAAGTAAGAATAAGTAATAGAAATTGCTGCACATCATCTTTTCTACAACTCAGTAGTTAATCTGTTAGTACCGTACCGGTACCGTACAGTCTGACAGAAGAACGGCAATTTCAATCGGGTTCTTTCGAAATGCTAGTTAACAAGGGTGCCCAACCCGCGGCCCGCCCAATAAATTTTGCAAGCAGACTTTTCAAATATTCACTATGTTATATATAGGCTTAAATATGTTCCGTGAATTTGCGTGAACAACACACGCGAATGGGTCAGCAACAGCAAACTCGGTATGATTGCGAAAACGATGGGTCTGGAGTGAGCGAATATTAAATTGCCGAGACAAAATTTTCCCTGTATGCACAAGTGCAGTTTTAAGTATTCTGTGGCATCTGCAGCTGCCGCAAAACCATGTCGGTATTTCCATACCATGGCCGCTACGGCCAAACTCATGGCAACTGACTTTTTAGCTGCCACAAACCAATGTCGAGCTGCCGTTACCGCGGCAGCAAATTGAAAACCAATGGCAGGTAAAATTTTGCTGCCGTAACCGCGGCAGGTGGGCCGTAAAGACAAGGCTGTCTATTATGGTGACAAATATAGGGTAAGTTGGAACGTTTTTCTTATGGATACAGTTTTGATTGATTTGGGGTTAGGGTTTAAGTAGATATAATTCCACATGATCAATTAAAATCTGGTACATTATTTTGTGAATATACCGGTAATACTGATTACTGAATTCTGAATAGCGCTATAAAACCATGGCAAGAGCTGCCGCGGTTCGTTCGTGGCAGGAGCTGCCATGAAGTGGTAAGAACTGCGCCTCTGTATGCAGGCTCGTGAAGGGACTTATTTATGTGCGAAATGCGAATGTACCTCTGCGAGAATTCCGCTTGAAAAATACACGTTTGCGAGAATGAACGGTACAAAAATATAGTTTTGCAAGAACATAATTGCGAAAATGTAGTAACAAGAATAGCATTTTGCACTAACAAAGTAAGGTCAGAATGATGTTTGTTTATAAGTTCATTTGCTGGTATGTCGATTGGCGGTAACAAGGTTTTTCCACGCTTTCATTTCGGGTTCAACTAGCCCTTCAAACGTTTCAATTAAACGTTTTTTTAATTACGAAGAATTCCACTGGTTTTCCGTGTAGTTAGTTAGAGCAATGAGCATACAGTATATGAGTGTATATACAATGAGTGGATATGCTTATTGGTTAGAGAGAGTATCACCAATATTTCCAACTCTGCAATAAGTAATATTCTAATCGCTGCTTTTTTATTCATTCCTCGTGGACTTATTGACTTTTGTTATTAGCTGCTTTTTTTCGTCTATCATTTCCTTCCCCCTGATTGTAGCTTGGTACTTCCACTCCCAGTTTTTTACATTCTCCATCTTAGTTATAAAAGTAGATGTTGTTAGTTAGTTATTTCAGGCTATGCAATAAGTATTATTCTTTAATTTTCAGCCTTCAATTATTTTTATTGTGACACTTGCTTGCGGATCGCTGGCTTTTTCATTCAGTTTGGTTGGTAATTTCATTCCCAGTTTTTTTCATCTTAATTTCTACCTCATTCTTTTTATTTGTCTGCTTGCGGAGGGCTTTTGCTATTTTTTAATCCTGGAATGCTTGGTAATTTTGTGCTCTTTTTTAATTTATTCAATTTATTATTTTTAACTTTCATCTTTTTTATTGTGCTGGACTCTATTTATTTTTTCTGCTTGTATTTATTGTATTGTCAGGTATTTATTTATTTTTTCTGCTTGTTGATTGCTGCTCAGGTATTGTGCTGTCTATATATTTTTTCTGCTTGTTGATTGCTGCTCAGGTAAGCTAGCTGGTCTCGATGGTGTGTGTCATTTTCACTCATTTTAACCCTGACTGGCCCCGCGGGCTTGCTTACATTTCCTGATCGCTGACTTCCCTGAACCAACTGATTGAACCAACTGATTGGACTCCCAGTTTTTAAATTTTTTCTTCTGCTCAGCTGGTCTCGATGGTGTGTGTCATTTTCACATCCTGACTGGCCCCGCTGGCTTGCTTACATTTCCAATCGCTGACTTGGCTCCCAGTTTTTCACATTTTTCTTCTTAATTTCTTCCACTTATACCTCAATCTTTTTTATTGTCTGCTTGCGGAGGGCTTTTGCTATTTATTAATCCTGGAATGCTTGTGGTAACTTTGTTGCTCTTTTTTAATTTATTGAATTTATTATTTTTAGCTTTCTTCAATCACCTTTTTTATTGGTGCTGGACTCTATTTGTTATTTATGATTGTTGTGTTGATCAGGTAGCTGGATCGGGTCCTGGACTGGCCCCGCTGGCTTACATTTCCTGATCGGCGTCATTTTCACCCCTGACTGACTGTTGCCGCGCTGCTGCTAGTCGATCTGGATTAACATTTTCACCTTCCTGATCGCTGTGGACTGGTTTCGGTCGTTTATCTTACCTGACTGGCCCCCGCTGGCTTTTCCGGATCGGACTTTTTATTTTTTAGCCTTGTTTTTACTCCTTCCTGATCGCTGGATCTCTTCTTTGGACGGTTTCGGTCGGACTCACTTCTTACCTGACTGGCCACGCTTCTTTAGCCTTGTTTTTTACTCCTTCCTGATCGCTGATCTCTTTGGACTGGTTTCGGTCATTTTCACTCACTTTATCTCACCTGACTGGCCCCGCTGCTGGAATCGCTGGCTTATATTTCCTGACCGGACTTATTATTTTTAGCCTTGTATTATCTCCTTCCTGATCGCTCTGGTTTCGGTCATTTTCACTCACTTTATCTTACCTGACTGGCCCCGCTGGCTCATATTTCCTGATCGGACTTGTTATTTTTTTGCCTTGTTTTTACTCATTCCTGATCGCTGATCTCGTTTGACTGGCTGGATGCCGATGAGCCCTCTGTTTCTTATTTCCTTTCCATCTGTGTTCTCCTTCTGCTGCCGCTTGCTCGTTGGCCCCACTTCCTCTTTTGATCGCCTGTCTCGTGATCTGGTCTTCCCCTACAATTCAGTCTACACCGTCTGTGGGGTTCGAACCCATCCTCATACCTGGCCTGATGTTTGACCATGTACCTACGCTTCCCCTACGCCACCGCAACCGACGAGCTTCGAGTGGATCAGAATCTTACTTAATCAACGACGTCACGCTTGGCCGTCCACGACGAGGCTAATTACCCCCAAAAAATTACATTAAATACTGCGTTGATTCGAAGCAGGTGTATTGATGCCTCAATTGAAAGCGTTCATCTGGGACTATCGTGTACGCTGCTTTAACTATTGAATTTTTGAATATCCCGTTTACATCGTGGTTCATTTTAGTTTACTTTTTGCAAGAAAAATGTGTTATTATGCAATCATCGTGACGGGGCGCATAAGATAATTCAAAGAGTGAATCGGCTCCCTTCTGTTTCTTCTGCTAACTGACCGTCTTATCTCTGGTTCACTGTTTCTAAACTTATAAAACATATCAGGTTAAAATTGGCGCGGCGTTATTCTTTTTGTTCAGATTAAAACTATATCATACACACTATAAATAGGACGAAAAACACCGTCACTTTTGATTTTAAACCCCGCATGCGATGTAGGCCTACCTTCTCATTCATTCTGATACTAGGTCGAGGTGACACGTCATATTTCCCCGGATTCCAATGTAAAGTAGGATATGAAAAGTAGACTACGGTCAATCAGTTTTCCATTCTATTATATATAAATTCATTCCTCGGAATTCTATTGCAGGTCGTGTACGGAAATTTCTGAGATGCCCCCTTTTCCTAGGTGCACTAATCACGTGTTTATTTTTCCTAATGGTTAATTTAGCACTGTGTGGTGCCACTGTGTGTTGCTGAAATTACTTGTCAGCAGTTTCTCTGATATAATGATTGAGACAAATATGTGATTAGGCAGAGCGCAACAAGTAGGTATCGAACCCAATCGCGAATCTTAGCAAAGCTTAACAGTATAAAAATCACAATTAATGTTTTCTAGACACTTAAAGTTCTTAGCTGTTGCTTGCCACTTGATTCTGTCTTTTTCTACTAGTAGTTGATAGCTTGGGAACTGGCAGTAACAAAATTGTCTATCTATAGCAGGAGTGGCCAACTGTGAGAGACCAAGAGCCACATTTTGTACTTTATTATCGCGAAGAGGCACATTATAAACAAGAACACACATGAACATCAAATATACCCATATTCAGTTCTGCTAGAATGCTAGTTTGTTGTAAATGTCACAAACCAACATGCATATGACTGAAATTTACAAGTCATTTATTGTTATACAGGCTTCTTAGTACAACTATGTCCAACACGTAAAGTCAATGAAGGCGGTCATGTGTTTTCTACGTAAAAAAAGAATGCTCGGTGATCCATAATATGTTCAATCGAAACAACGTAAATTCAATGGAAAAACGTACTTTGCAAGTTTTGTTTTTTTAATAATAATAACCAAGGCGAAAAAGGCCGCATAAAACCGGCGCAAGAGCCGCATGGGGCTCGCGAGCCGCTGGTTGGCTACCCCTGATCTAAGTCAAATAAAATTTATATTTTTCAAGTCAGAATAAAGGCGAAAGAAATTAATATCATTACATCACATTTCCATGTAGGCTATATTTAAAATTTAACCCAACTGCAGTACTAGAATTTTTCATATAATTTATGTTCGGTGAAACGAATGGGTAGAAAAGTTTTAAAAAATATCTGTTGTGGAATGGGCAAAGTAATCGAGTGAAAGGTCTTCTGTGAAATTGGTTTGCTATGATTTATTGTATACTGGTGTAGTTCATTCCTAAACCTATGGAATGACACGAAATTTAATGATCTATTCGCTTTTATCCACTTAAATCAGCTTATTCTTGTAAACGTTACCTAGAAAGCGATTCCTTATAAAGCGGGTTCACGCGAACTTGGTTTTGGAGTGTCGTGATAACTAACGATAATTTTTGTTTTAGACGCTAGATGACCACACCAGTTGGGTGGCGTGCACTTATAGCTAAAGACTAGCGCTAATTTTGCAGTTTCGAAATTAATGTATCAGATATATATATATATATATAAATAAATAAAGCGTGCCATGTTAATGTAGCATACGTAATAGGCTACATGCATTTCCTGGAGTGATGGAACCTGCTGTTCGAGAGCTCGATACAAATGAGAACCTGTTGCTAAAATTGATGTGGACATTTCTAAAATTCCAACAAATGTCCTTTTATTAAATTATTGCCGAGAGAGCATCAGTGTGCGGTGAAATAGAGTGATGTAGATTTCATCTATCAAATAAAAATTATAAAATTATATCTGCGTTCGGGAATATGTACTAAAATATTATATCTAATAGAATTTAATTGCCAAAACAAATGCCACACAAGATTTACAAACTCAAAATCCCATTTAATATGAGGATCAAAATAGAGGATTTAGTATGATTGCATTGCTCGACTGTTAATAGGACTGACACAATGCCCCGTGATACGTCCAGCTTTCCCATATTGCTCCAAAACCTTGATCATCAGATTCGGGATTTCGATCTACTTTCAGATGAACTTTTGACCGACTATTTGATCCTGTTAACCACAAAGATGGACTAGGTATGAGTTTTTTATAATTCGCTACATGCCCAGTTGACAAAAGTGCGTCGTTTGTCTGGAAAAAAATACAAAATTATTCAACGAGCCCTAATTTTAGTAACATTATTGTTATTCATATCACGCTCAATTAATACTCTCTAGCTAGGCAATATTGGTAAGTTAGAAAAGATAAACGTGACGAACAAGATTTTTCATCGCGCATATTCCAATACGCTTCTTTTATCACTCCCTTTATAAAATTTATTTCTTCAGATAGAAAATATGAGCCGATTTTTGACCGAGCAAATACAGCGCCATAGTTATACTTATATTACACCATTCACGCATACATATGGATGGGATACATATATCGATCCCATGACACGTACAAAATAAAATCTGCTTGAATGCATTAGTAATTGTACACAAAAAGTACTTGCCTTGTAATCTCGTTTCATTCCTGTCCACAAAATGACATAAGATCTCGACTGATTCTTCGGAATTTTACTTCTCACGTAATCAGTAACTTTATTATAATGCTTTTCACTATAAATATTTGCCAAACTTGAGTCTTTTGTATTGCAAATGCTTGCGGCTTTACTGAGATTTGTATCGAAATCTGAATGAATTTCAACCCAGAAGCAGACTCCGCCGTATCCAAACCCATCGTATTCATCTTTACAAAATCCTGAAATTGTGACAAATCAGACAATATGTATATACTCGTATATATATCTTTCATACAATACTCATTGCAAGTATTTAGGTATACATATTCTACTCACTTTCTGTGACCTGGTTCATCTCCGTAAAAGCTGCTGTTATTTCTAGTGCCACCTTCCGTAGCCTTACAATATCTCTTTCCATCCGCGCCATTCGCAAATGCATCTGTTCAGCTTCTACGAAATATCGAAAAAATTAGAATCGACTTGAGAGCGATTAAATGTTTTGTACGTATAAGTCTTGCATTTAAAAAAAAATAGGGAAAGATCTATAAATTTATCTTCCATCCAACATATGAAGGAATTTACCTTTTTCAAATTTTTTATCTCGATCATCAGAGAGAGAATCAAGCAATCTGAAGTAAGCATCAGACCCTGTTGTGTCTTCGCATACCATGGGAAATTCGTCCCTCTTTGTAAATTCAACCGAGCTGAATCCTTGCTGTCCAGAAGAGTCTGGTACTGATTCACAATGGCTCGCATTGCAACCGACTTTAATGCGGCAATTCAGGTCTTTAGCAAATACAATTTGAATTAAACAGATACATGCGCAGATTTGAAAGATGAGCCGGATCATTTTTATCAATTGTAAGATTGATATACTAAACTTTACTATAAAAGTAATAATGTTGAAAAAAAAATCGAAAATAATTTTAATTAGCAGAAAATTAGGCGGTGAACCAGTGGCGTATATATGTGCGTATCTATTACAAATGCGCCCCTTTGATCGTTGACTCACAATTTGTAACGACTGTTGGTGAATTGAGATATTTGTACGTTATTATTTGATTAAAATACGAGTTATTTATTTCCTACTGGAAATTATTTTATTGAACATTTTACGATTACAATATTTCACCTTTTTTGCGCCCCGATTCATACGAGGCCCATGTGACGAGCCATGGCTGCCATACCTATTTACGTTACTGCGTTGGACTTTTTTCAACCTTCCGTCCTTTTAACTATGTACAAGAGAATATAAAATGCGCGCGGCGGAGGGACTGCGTTTTTAGTTTTCAGAATGAACGTTAGAGTTTGGATAAAAATTTCCAGCATTCGATGTCAAAATTCTCGAAGTTGGCGGCACAGGCTCATCTTTCATGCAGAATCGCTATTCGTCATAATGGTATACTGGCGTTTCGTCCCACGCATTTTTCGGTCCATACTTCCGGCCCATGATACTAATTACTTTTTTATTTCAATTAACGAAAGTATCCGATAATCGGGTGGGAAATTTTCTTCCACCGTCCAAAGCCTTTTTCACTATTCCAGCTATCTGTTTGCAGAGTAAATTCGACAGTCTGCGTTAATCTCCAGTTAGCCACTATTGTTATATTCCACAGATATAATTTTTTTCAATGATCAATGATAATAATAAAACACGCGAACAAAGACATCAAAAGCACTTTATGACTCATCTTACCCGAGGCAACATGTGGTAAAACAAATCGTATTTTTCTGAATTCGTTTACCGGTGCTATAATTTGTTTAGGTCATTTACAATATCTTGGTTTTTTATATCAACAGGTCATTTATATCTAATTTTTTTTTTTTTTTTTGTAAAATCGACATACGATCGTGTTCATGTTAATAGTTAAGGATAAAACGACATAGCTCAATGTTGTTAATTACTTTTTGTCACACAATTTCCAAGTATCTGGATATATATTTTTGAACATGTTGCATTTTTGTTGAAACGTATCTACTACAACAAATATTTATATGTTAATTTTCGATGAATCGCAAGGTTCTAATCTAACAAAAGAAAAATAGCAGAAATATTCTGCGAATAATTGCAATATAGGCTACATATAAAATTTTATTCTACCCTATTACTTGATACAGGCACTGGAGTTGGTCGAAGAAAGGATATGATTTTTATCGAATCGTTAATTAACGAATGATTCACATCAAATTTTTAAAATGGTGATATAGCCTCTTATATCGTAGATTCTTGATTTTTTACAATATTTTTTCTGGCATTGGCACAAGTATTAGTAGAATGACATGTCACATCAAAAATGAATTGGTAGATACAAGTAGATTATTCACAATCCGAGTAATTGTCACAGTTTTCTTGATTGCAAAACTTAAGACAATACCGATTATAAGATCGATATAATATAGATTAATTTTGTCATCAGTCAACGTAATTTAGATAACGTCATCATGTCATAGACCAAGTCATGAGTACATAAAATAAATACAAGGCGGATTATCTCAACAACTCGAGACAAAAATGTCATATAAAAAATCCCTTCAAAAAAAAGAGACTGCGGTTAGATAAAGTAATTTGTCGTGGAAGTTATTCACAAACAATATCATGCCATCGCCCAAGTCTTAAGTACATAAAATACCCACGAGACGGATTAGATCATTATCTCAATAACTCGAAGCAAACACGTCATGTAAAAACACTTAAAAAAAGTCCCGTTACTGAGACTGCAGTTTTGTAGCAAGTAGACATTCCGGTATGCCCATAAGCTACACTCTGACCTTTGACTATTGTTTCTGGTATTTAATAATTAGGGATAAGAAGGGTTCCGCGTTATTAGTCATATGAAAAAAAAATTTATTACAAACCCTAAGTAACTACGCTCTTAGGTAAGTAAGATTCAATAAACTTCAGGTAGGCGTTGCGTGAAGCACATCAATATACGTTTGCAACTTATATCTTCAATTGTCCAGCGTTCGAGGTACACGCGTTCATCTTACCATTTGAATGCAAATGCTCAAAATATTTCCTGCCTCGCTGAATTCATAAATTCATTGCATAAATGTACGAAATCCGGCCATACTCTATCTATAATTCTAAATTGAATATATTGATTTTTGATGAAATTAGCCAAATTCAATAAAAAAAAAACTCAAAATGCCCATAGTTTTTGACTATATGGGCCAGGGCATCAAAATGCATTATTTATAACCAAACAGAAACGGCACGGTGCTAATGTTGCACTTTTATATTTATTCATCCATATTTTAAAGTCCATTATAGAAAAACAAGAGTACAGCAAATGACAGTAAGTTGAAGAATTCCAAAGACGGCCTGCAGCTTGAACTGTCGCCAGTTTTATCAGGAGCTGATTCACCGACTATTTTCAACCATTCGGCATAGTCCGCGTTACCTGTACGATTAATTACAACAGTATATATTATTTCCGTAACTAGTAAAACAATATTTTACTTTCCATCTCAAATTATATTTAATTCGTATTATCTTATCAAGTTTATGTAAATATTCTCAACGTGGGTCAAAATTATTTCACATACCATCTCTCTCTTGATTCGCACACGAATTCAGTATACACTGTTCATCAACGTCGCAATCGAAGCACGGTTCTCCAGTCTCGTATGGCGCTCGTCCTATAAATAGAAATATTGAAAAACTACGTTTTCTAAGAACAAAAAATAAAAGTCATTGACGAATCTCTTTTTCATAAACTACAATCAGTAAATACATATTTCCTTTGACCTATCTGCGTACAGTTGAATACACACCTATTACATTTCCAGCTGGTGCATATCTACAGAACATCAAAGACGCATCAGTGAACTTTTTGCTTCCCACATCTATTTCTTGACACACTGTCAGTCCGCATCCAACTTTGTTAGATTTCGCCCAAACAACCTGCAATGTTTTGTGCGAATTACAAATTAAGGAATAGCTGTGTATATGCTTACATAATGTTTTTAGATGTGTCAATCATCCAATCAATCATTTCATGCGTTTTCGGCCCGCTTGATTATACCAGAAAACTTAGAAATTCTATAGAAATAAAAAAAATTGACTCATTTATACACTAGAAATTGAAATGGGATTTTTGAAGGAAAATTTATGACTAAAAAGAAGAATATTTGCTTGATGTGGAATTTTCTTTGTAATTCCTCGTATTGGTCAATTTACCCGATTGGTATGATGGAAGCATATTATCAGTTGCCAAGTAAAAGACAATTTGGTAAGATATATAATATATATGTATTCATCGCCTTATAATAATTTTACTAATACATTTAGTGGAAGTAAACGGGGTGTTCAGTCGCACTTCGTCTCATTAATATGCATATAGTACGACAAATACCTGTGTATAGTGTCCACAAACTGCAGAAGAAGCACAGGAGTTTGAATCGAAGTCGAAATTTTCCTTTTCACTTTCCCACATCTGAACTGCACCTTCCATTAATGATTCGTCCGCTGTCATTCCGCTTGCAAGAAAAATATTTTCACCAACGAATGGATATTTGTCCGATTTCAACTAAAAAGACATCGGAAGATTATTTTTTTAAACAAAATCAGTTGGCATGTCGGTAGTTGGTGGGAGGTTGCGCTGAAGGTACTAAAATCGGAAAAGGTTTCGCTGTTTTCTAACGTCTAATTGATTCTATGTATTTATTTTGTGGCATAGTCTCGAATACAGATTAATGTTTACCTGGCTATGTTCGTAAATGCACTGCCTTGATATCTGTTCAGATTCTTCTGCGAGGGTATTATCCCAGGTCATGAAGAGCATGTCGGATGGTGCAGGTTTGGCATCTCTTCGTGCCCGAAGATGCTCCCTGACTAAAACATGTTTTTCTCCTTCAGTTAGTTCGTGAGCTTCCTTGACATTTGAAATCCTGAATAATACAACAAAACAATTCGCGGAAATGTAGAAGAATGAAACAAACATAGCTTTATAATTCGATCTTTGTAGATTTTTATATAATGGTGATTTTGATATTTCGGAACTGGATACTCGTGTGGTCTTGTTAAGAACCTGGTCTTCAATCAACTAAAAAAACACTTACCCTGCTAAAAAGTGAAACAAGTATGAATCCGCCACTAGAAACGTAAGGGGCCCGTAAACAGCACAGACAAATCTTAACGTTATTAAAAGCAATAATCTTTTAGAAGGCACTTTCTCTTCAAAGCGTTAAAATCGATTGGCCGGGTGGTTGAAGAAAAATGCAAGTAATTGTCATATCGGAAAATTGACTTTAAATATTGACAAGTTGGCGTAATGTGCGTTTGATACGCTAATTCACAAATATATATACATATATACTTACTGAGCTCCAATTCGCAGCGTAAATAGCACTATACATATAAGTTTCATTGACGAAAACATCTTGCTCTATGAGTATTTAGAACTAAATAAATTCCATTTTGATCAACAATGTTGCATATCGATTGTGACGTCATATTGATTATGAAAGTCCTATAGACGCTGACCAAATGTCAGCTTCTGCGACACAAAAATATATGGAAGGGGACATAAACTCATAAGAAGTTGTGAACGTTTATCAACATCGGCAGTACATAAGTAAAAGTGATAACGATTTTCACCAATATTAAGATCATGATACCGCAATAATAACACTGAATCTTCATTGAGCATTACAAAGTACAAACGACGGGGTCTGCTTAGATTCTACTTTTAAGAAAAAGAAAATTTGAATTCTTTAACATGAAATTATTATGAAAAGACCAAAAATAGAATCCAGTTAGGGTATTTCGGATATTGACGAACCCCATCTACTGGCCCCTAGCCATACGTGGAAATACCCCTGTGTGTTGGGAATTTTGCCAACGTATTCCACACTATGATGTCATAAGCAAAAATGCTTATTGAATAACATTTAAAAATGCGGATCAGAAAGGGACTTTCTGTTACTGCTTGCGCAAAAAGGGAGGTGGAATATTAAATCTATATGACAAGTAGGATCGCACTCTGGTAAAACCGCTATGTATTGCTATAAATACTATTGGCCATTTGTTTTCATTCAGTTGATTATATTGATTTTGCAAGAAAAGGCCACTCCTGTGAGGTGAGTGATGTACGACACAATTTATTCTTAGACGAAACTAGCCTAGATTACGTTTAGCATGTGGATCTTTTAGTAAACACTAAATAGGAGTTTTGTCCTGTCACGCCGCCTCTTACATACCACAGGCGTATAATGAATGCATGCTTGTGGTGACACCAGTAGACTATCACAAGGAAAATGCCGGATGCAATCAATCAAGTCCGTGCATCTGAAACAAATATCGGGCTATCAAATTCCTAACCCGACATGGACTGGTAACCGGACCAGTGGCCGTGGTTCGATATATGATTGCGCCGTCTTATCTGCGCAGAGGCGCGTCCATAAACGAAAGAAAAACGAATTTACCGTAATTATTCTAGTCAACTAGTATAACGCGCAAAATTCTGTACTGATTTTCAAGTTTGCTATATTTTGAGGCTTACGGATGAGGATTTCCGTTTGAATTTATTTGCGTATTTGGAATGGTTTTGTTGGTTGAAATAACTTAAAAGATATACTGAGGCATTAGGATAAAGTAGGGAGTCGTCTCTTCGTCGGTATTATAAGTTATCAAAGTGGAGTAGGGGCAGAGTAATTCTGCTGTTCGGTGATTGCATTTATTGGATGGTAATTAAAGGTTTACACCAGAATTATAGCACAAAAGTAAGAATTCAGATATTCCCAAGTATGGGCGATATAGAATACCAAATCCGGAGGATTTGAATCCTTAGGGCTCGGTTTCCGCCTCTTCGGCGCCGTGCGTCAATTTTTGTATTTCGAATTTATTAATCAGGGACGAGCGTTATTCTCTGCGACAAAATCTGTCTCGCGTGATTATACTTGTGTTTTCTCGCAAAGAGCCAGCAAACGTGTTCGGAACGTGAGGACGGCGTTATTGCACCATTTTATTTATTATCATTGGTGCCGACTGTCATCTTACAGGCGATTTTCCGATTGAAACAATCTTAATTTCTTGGAATAGTGAAACATTTTTTATTTTATATTAAATGACTGCTCGAGTTCTCCCGGAAATGATGAGCACCCGACGTTAGATGATAAAACATTATTTGCGATTAATTTAGATCAAATTTCACTTTTCACGACACCCGGTTTCCGAAAATACAAAGTTATAACGCAAAACAATGCGTTTTGATACATTTATTTTGCGCTCCTAATAAAATACATATATCTTAGATTTCGAGTCGCTGACGAATCTGTTTCTATCACCCAAGCGCGACACACGCCTGGTCGAGTGTCGGGTGTTATTTTAGCCGACGATGAATTAAAAAAAAGTTGCGATGACAACTGGAAGTTAAAATTTGGTAACAGAAATGAATTTGTCTCAAGATGGTATTTTATGAGTTTTGCTCTGAGAAGCAATCGTTTTCTGTCAAAGGCACAAGACATTCAAACAATATATAGCGATATCATACCAGTCCGATAACTTACATCCTCTTTAGACATCAGCTACAGCCAGATAGCTGAGGACTACACGTGCCACAATATCGCGTTGAGAGAATACCATGACGCATCCCTCAAGCGTAACGAGAGAACTGTGTAAGATAAATAAACAAAGACGAAAAAAGCGTGAGCGAACTATATTAAGTCAAAGTCGCTTATAACGTTACCAATGCATGTCCTCACTTGGTTTATAGTCACTTTGTATTAAGTCAACCATGGTCATTCCTTGTGCGCTTTTTACTGTGAGCGTGCCTCTGGTGGCGCTCTGCTGATTAAAGCTGCTTTGGCAAATACTACAAAAATTAAGTTGAGAATTGTGCTTCCCAAAATTTGTTTTTCTACCGTGTTTCCCCGAAAATAAGACCTAGCCTGAAATTTAAAAATGATTTTAATATAAGCCCTCCCCTTAAAATCAGACCTAGTCAAGAACGCGAATTTTTTTTTGACCTAGTCGATAGCAAGAAATCTCTTCTACACGTTTTAAATGGTCGATGAGTGATTGAGTGGCGTTTAGAGTCCGTTAAGCTCCGTTCTCTGGGCGGGAAAGCGTTTGCCCGAGTATTTGAATTTTTTTTAAGTGGCATTGGGATGGGAGCAGTACCTCCGCCCCGTCAGTGGTGAGAAAACGTGTGGAAAGCCACGCCCACTTGTTAGGTTACCTAACCTAAAAAGTCGCTTTTCTCTTTCATTACTGGACCAATTGCTCTAAAATTTTCAGTGCTCAAAGATAAAATTTTTCTTTAAAAGGCTATTACTTTCATTTACTTCAGACGTGTCCATATGTTTTAGCATAGCTCTCTTGTTTTGAATAAAACGTGTTATTTATAAGTAAATGCATATCGGTTTCCATATTTTGTATATTTATAAATCTCGCAATTCTCTACTTTGTAATTTTGTTTTGGAAAAATGAATATATAGGACAGGGGTCGGCAACCTTTTGTCGCTCGCAAGCCGAAATTAAGGTTGCAAGTCATTGGCGGGCCGCACATATTTTTAGAAAGTTGAAAAACCTAACGGATGGTACTTTTTATAATAAAAATCAAGCAGTGATACACCTCTCGAACAGAATATAGATTTATTTCCTCATTGCATCTCATAAAATTCCATTTGAATATTTTCAGCGCCATTGAACCCTCTGCACTTAGCATCAACTTTTCTGCGTTTTGTTGCCATTTGCTTAATTATAATTAAATTATATGTTCATTAAACGAGTAATTGTGAAATATATAATTGTTAAGTTATAATATAATTTAGTCTAAAGAATATATCCGTCAAAACGGATGTTTTGTTACTATAATTTAGTGAAGCGTCGCAGGCCGGATTATAGTTCTCCGCGGGCCGTAGGTTGCCGACCCTGATATAGGACATCACCCGAAAATAAGCCTAGCGGTATTTTTCGGAAGAAAAGTGTCTTATTTTCGGGGAAACACGGTAGGAACAACTGTGTATTCTCTGATTTCACACCTAACCTTTTCATAGTTCTGATTCAAACATCAAAGTTGCTTACAATTTGACGGAGGCACAAAAGGCAATTTTGCTCTACGATCATGTTGATGACCGGAATAATGTGGATCCTCCGGCTGCTAACATGAGATTAATGACATGGAATGAGGATCTTGCTCAGGAATCTCTGGAAATATCAAGAAGATGCTTATATACCCACAGCGGGGTAGGATAAGCTTGTTTAAAGTCCGATCATAAATCACTGTATTATTGTCATATTTACCAAATATATAGTATATATATATATATATATATTAGTTAGAAGGGTTTTGAGCATGTCAATAATAATTTTCATAAGGAAGACACATCTCTTCGGAGGGTCGAACTTATGAAATGATGTGAAAGTGAAAAATGAAAAAAAAAATTATTGAATCGATCGAACTCATTATATCTCCATTAATATTAGGCTATGGCATGCGACAACCAATTGGCATTTTTATTATTAAATTAAATTGTTCATCCAAAATAAATTCTTAATTTCTAGCTGCTAAAGTCTTCTTATTCATGCCAAGGCAAACAAAACTCATTTCGTGGGCTTGGTCAGATACAGTAGTTTACAAAATGTACCTTTTCATCACTATAACACAATCGCTGATTTCAAATATTTGGACTTCTTAATTTATAGGAAAACTCACCGACCCTGGGTAGTGTTGGAGAAAATATTTTCATGTCAAGCACAGCAACAGAACGAATTGATAACAGCTTGTTCGAAACCAGCGTTTATATGTGGGATTACGAAAAAAACCATTACGACTATGAAACTCGACGCTGTGATCCGGGAATGGTATGCGGTCACTATACCGCCGTGAGTAATGTCTAATTATTATAATTCCACAAATCTCAAACAGGATTGTAAATAGGTTTGCAGTCTGATTTTAGCTTGCTCCACAGACAAAATTCTGTAAGGTTACTATTCAAATTGTCACTTATTGTTTATTTTCTGGCCAAGAGTAGTAGAATCGCGTAAACTATAACTTGGCAAAGGTAAGAAGTATGCCAGGCTAAAAGCGATCTAGGCTAGTCATTTTGGAAACAATAAATACTAGTTTATTGGTTGCTGTTTGCCTGGTCATTATAATACTAAAGATAGAATCCATTCAAAGAGAATATATTTGATGAAATTATATTTTATAAATATTACCGTTACCAAAGATATTGGATCTTCAAGTATGGTACAATGATCATGAACTAATAATACCTTGTTGAATTGGATTGAAATACGCTGCATTTTAAGAACTCTATATCAGCAATCAGCTTTTTCATCATCACAATTTACACTATAACTGTCTGTCGCTTACTGAAGTAATAAAAGATAAATGGAAATAATAAAATGTACGGAAATAGGTTTTAAAATCTGTATACGATATATTTTAAAATCATTAATGCGATAAAATGTAATGGGCAAAGTAATAACTTGGCTTTAACAATAACAGTTATATCCATATCTACTTTACCTAGAAATATGATACAACTCTTAATTTCCAGATGGTTTGGGCAGATACATATGAAGTTGGATGTGCTATGACAGTATGTCATTCAGTTAATGTACATGGACGTTCACCATTCTCTCCAGGGAATTTAGTATTCTGTAGATACCATACCGCACCGAATATAGTAGGTACGTGAAGAATGATTCATCAAATACAAACTAGTGCTCAATTTTTATAGCAATTTATAGCAAAAAATTATTTGTCAACAGTATTACATATATATATATATACCCAACAAGAGGCTGCAATTGCCTCACTTGTTTTGCCCAAATTTCAACTATTTATTTCGCAAAGTTACAGTTACAGTAAATAAAGAATTTTCAATTCTGTACTTCATCAAGTTAAAACTGTATCCGAAATGTGACCAGCAAATTGTGTACTACGACATCACAAGTGGCAAATCTTGGGATATTATCGCATATTACTAGTTACGATAAATACATATTTCAACAAACGTTCATAGTTTGCTGCTATAATAGTGAATAATCTTCTTGGCAACAGGTAGACATCCATATATAAGTGGTGATAAATGTTCTTCTTGCCCATCAACGGATCTTTGTATAAACGGAATGTGTGCGAATCCTGATAGAGACGGTATGTATAAATTTGACGAAATCAGCCACAAGAGGTTTACGAAGAGGTTTACGCGATTTAATATTGATCAATTTATCTAAAGGTACAAGTTGTAGTTTAGCGAGTGGGCTTATTCTCTTCATCTCTGTAATATATATATATATGGTCGTGAGTTTATGAAACTTTTTTGTATATTTCCATAAACAAACTTGAGGCAATGTGGCATATATATCATATATATAATTGGCGATATCATCATATATATAATATTTTATCTTGTATCGACTTAGTTTTTACAAATTGCTAAATAGTTTTATACTTCGTTTAGGCATCACTGATTATACTTCGTACGGAGGACCTGCTTCAGTAGAAAGATATGAAGGTTGGTTGCGCTGAGAGTGGGTACAAAATAGGTGCATATGATGTTTACGCTTTTCTTCAATCAGTTCCTAAGTTCAAGCTCTATATTTTATTTTCCTAGCCTCATCGTATTAGTCGTTTATATTTTTCTTATAATGTGATACCTTGTCCGTTATTGACACAAATATAGTTTTGGAGAGAGATCGGCAGCTGCTGTCAGAACTGGCCTATACATTCATTGTAAAAAAACGTACTAAAAGAAAAACTTTGTTTTGGTTACAGATAATTGTGACTATAATAACGCGATTGTTCTGACCAGTGGAGGCAACCTACATGAAAGCGGGACATTTATCAGATCGGTGGCGGCAGTATGGACAGGGCATTACCCAGAAAATCAGGTTAGTATGTATCCAATTAGTTGTTATGTAACTGAAAAACTACACCAAATTGACCCAATTCGTGAGAAAGCTATGAAAAACAGAATTAATAATTCTCACAATTGCAATTATAAATTTCTCGAAATCCAATTACAAGTTTTATTTGCCTTTTTGTGCCATTTCATGTAAAAACAAATTTCATTTCCAGTAAAATTCCAATAACGTAAATTCGAAACATCCTGCTGGTATAGTCTAATTCTCCACTTGGAGCAACTTTTTAATTCGCATAATTGGAGTCAGTGCGTGACCAGAAACACGTTTCCATCATTACGCCCTGACAATAACAAGTTAATTGCTAGTAATGGGTTTTAAGAAAACACTTTGAATAAAGTTTGATTGTAAAAAACCGAAAATTGCCCAGAAACCGGAATGACGCGTTATTTTTTCATTGTTAATGTAAAAATCTGTTTCTTGATTATATTTTAATTGCTTTGTAGAAACCTATATATTCTGCTAAATTTTTAATGTTAGCCAGATTTAATCCAATTGTGTGTGCATTGTATTCTGTGTATATTGTCGGAATTGCAATATATAAAACTCATAAGATGTTTCAATCGTCCATTCACGACTGCCGGTGTCTATCGTCAGGTTGACAAACTTGGGACAAAACTGTTTTCAGTCAAAATTTGTGTAAGATGCATTCATTCAAACCAGTCAACAAACAATTGATGTGTAGTGGTAACTAATCCCTACAAGTATAATATGTAATAGATTATTTGCCTATTGAAACATAAACTATGTGAACCGAGTTTACGTGGTATTTTATGTTCATTTTCCTCGTGTAGTTATTGACCTTAAACCTCATTTAATTTTTGTAGGATATAACTTGGGACATAACTGCTCCCAGCGACAAGTACATAAGATTGGACTTCGAATGCCACTTCAACTTGCAAGGAACAAACGAAAGTTGTATCGATTTTCTCAACGTCACGAGTGATGGTGAAAAATATGCTTTTTCTGTATATGTATTGCGAATTTTTTAAAATTACAAGCCTAACATACATTCCATATATATATCACCAGGATTCCAGCAAATTTTCTGTGGATCTACTATGCCAGAGTCAGTTGTTATAAACAGCTCAGCATTGAATGTAAAATTTCATTCCGATTCAACTATCCAAGATTTGGGTTTTGCAATACTGGTGACATTCTACGATATTCCGACAACTACGGCAGCAACTACAGAAGCAATGACAACTATATTACCTCCATTAACCACCGATGCTCCTGCTGATGAATCCACAGCGGAATGGGAAAGTACTCTCGAAACAGATACAGAGGAAATCCCCATCGATATTTACTTTGACGATGCCAAGGTGGAGCCTGAGGTGGTGCAGGACCAGGAACCGACCACGACCGTAACAACCACAACAGCGGGAGCAACTAGACCGCGATTGGTTTCAAGCACGTTTTTATTCAGTTTAGGTTGTGTTATCACATATATATGTAGCAACTAATTATATATTGTTTTATAAATATATAGAAATCAGCCAATGCGAAGTAATTCTTTAAATAGAATATCGGTCAGGGACCGAAGACTTATCGATCGAAAGTTAAGGGAAACAGGAACTGCGGTTTCGATTCATTCGCTTTGACATAGTGACACGGCGTGTCCAATCACTAATTAGTCAATACCTCGCTTATTATACGACATAATCCATCCAAATCAAAAGGCTTCTGGTCCGAGCTATGATAAATGCACATGCAAGATCGATAAGTACTAAAGTCATACAAATTCACCCATTATCGGGGCTGAATCATGGTCTTTGAAAAGACCCTGAGCACTTCAAATCTTTGCTTCTCATATATATATATATATATGAAAAAATGATAGGAATGTATCTAGTGTCCGTGTTATCTGAAATTGGATAAGTGGGTTTCAGTATTCATTACTGACTAAAGGTAAAATTATGATTAATTTACATGATATTTTTTGTAAATAATTTTCATAACTACAAACATTTATGATGTTAAGATGATAGTTGAGGAAGAAAAACTATCGAAATCGCCTGACCAATCATTCCATTAAGCACTGTGGCTCTATTGAAAACTCGGTTATGAAAATTATCGTGTTCACTATTAGCGCACTTTTTCGCGAGACTGCATTTTCTAGAATCTAGAGACTGCTCAATCGCCTTTTCTGATTTTTAAGGAAAAATTGCAAAATATTTGCATGCGAGTATAAAATTGACGAATAAGTTGCCTATGAGTAATTTGTAACCGACATTCGCTTTACACGACGGTATTTTGGAAAATTATAAGCTATGTGCAGATAAGGGAGATGAGTTATCCTAAATTTTGCAGTAGCGAGAAAATTCTTGTTTATATTATCATGTTTTATACAAGCATTCGGATTTCACTTCTCCCGCAAAAACGGCTGACGCCATCGACCAGATGTTGGAATGCGACGCTGCACATTTCTATGAACAAGAGTGGTCATGTGACCAAAGTGCACGATTTGCTAGTGCAAAAATATTTAACTGAAAATATATTAATTGGAAGCGAAAGTTTTTCGGTTCCTCGTTTCTTTTAACAGCGTTTAACAGATTTTCAAAATTGCCCAATTCACACAAAATAACAGAAATAAATGGGGTTCCGTCACATTAACAGACTTTTTATTGCAACCAGGAATGTTAAAGCCAGTAATCAACCAGGCATGACTCTTCAACCGTAATCCTGCAACCTAAAACTCCCCTTTTTTATGTTTTTGTCCGGTATCGAGTCGACTTTGATTGCTTCATATGTTTTAAATAAACTATTATCCTATGGGTGAGCATTATTTTCTACTTGAATATGAGCAAATTTAATGTAGCCTACTATTAACGTACAAAATAATAATTTACTTCAATGTGGGATATTTTAGAAAATTGTAACTGATTTGCTTAGAAACAAGGTTTTTGTGATTTTTCGTCGAATATATTTTACAGCAGGGGTGTCAAACTCGTGGGTTTACGAGGGCAGCACTGCATTTTGGGTATTGTGCAAAGGGCCGCAAACAGTTTTTGATGTATTTTGATAATGCATACTTGAAGCATAGGCTACTTTAGATAGGTGTAGTTTGTGACATATATTGTGATACAATAAACAGCTGAATGAAGATTTGTTATTTTCTTAAATTTAAAATGTCATTTACATATTAATTTTTGCATTTCAATTTGCTGTTATTATTATTTAAAATCATAAATTTGTATGTGCAACTATCCAAAACATTTCTGAACAAAGGTTTGATATGGGAAGAATAATGCATACAATAAAATGATTTAATCTAAATATATAGACCTAATAGTGACAAAAATAATACAGAATAGAAAAAATGTTTTTTTTTTACATATGTTCTGACGCTTGGCATCTCTTCTGTTCCACCAGTTTACTAATATCAGGCTGGATATGATTTTACAGCATCAACTCTAATTAACGAGGTCACATGATCATCGGTTAATCTGGATCGTTGAGAATGTTTGATTAATTTCGGTAATGCAGAAATATTACATGTAGTCTATCATTTCATATAAGGATCAATAGACAACAAATGACTGACTTTTCGGACTAGACGTTTCCCGCGACATTTCCTACCATTACGTGGCATAGAACCGCTTGAGTTATGGTTGATATTGATTTTTAGTAACCTGGTAGATGTATAATTATATAAACATACAAACACAAAAATATTTCTGTTCGAAGTTTATCTTTAAATATTTCATATTGACTGCTGAGCTTCTTCCGATAATGTCTTCTTCAGTGGTTCTCAACCTTTTTTCTTTCATGGCCCACTTTCTGTTATATTTTTGTATATCGTATAATTGGAATTTCTGGCAACCCTCTTTTAGGCTTACTTTTTCCCCTTCCGTTTTGTTTCTGCTTTTAAGGCTGCGTGTGTTTTTCGCTCTGTTCGAGTTATGTATTAAAGTTTACTGTTACTATACTTTTTGGTGCTTTGCTGTTGCTGGTTGGGGAGGTCGAAAGATTATTTTCAACAGGTTATGGGCCCAGCACGCTTCCGCTGCGCTGAAAGACTGAAAAGTAACCAGTGACTTTTGCTGCTGATTTTGAACTGAATATTGTTGTCGGTCGTTGACTGGTTCTAATCGGGTTCAATGGAGGACAAATGGTCTATTGATAGATTGGATGGGTCAAATTGGACAACATGGAAATTTCAGGTGCGTCATGTTTTGCTTGCAAAGGAGCTGTGGAGATATGTTGATGGCTCGGTTACGCTTACTGAAGACGCTGGTGAAGCAGCAGTGCTCGAATTCAACAAAAAGTCGCAAAAGGCATTGTCAACAATTGTTTTGTCTATCGATCCGTCACAGTTATATCTGGTAACTTCTTTTGATAAACCAAAGGCGGCTTGGGATGCATTGCGTAATCATTTTGAACGGGATACGTTGGCAAACAAGCTATTTTTAAAGAAGCAGTATTTTCGTGCGGAGATGGAAAAGGGAATGCGGATGGATGATCACTTGAAGCGGATGAAAGAAATTACAGATAGGCTGGCAGCTATTGGGGCGCCTATCAGTGACGAAGATCAAGTTGTAACATTGCTTGGAAGTCTTCCACAGAGCTATTCAACTCTGGTAACTGCTCTGGAATCGCGTGTAGATGGAATTAGCCTAGGATTTGTTCAACAGGCGCTTTTACACGAAGAGCAAAAGATGAATGGTCGCTCTGGAAATGGGAAGAATAGCAATCAAGACGAGTCAGCTTTAGTCGGTTTCGACAAGAAACGTACGTGCTATGGATGTGGGCAAAAGGGGCATATTCGGCGAAATTGCCCCCGTAAAATGAAGAAAAAGTATGTGCCCACTGGATACCATAAAGCGGAAACTATGACTCCCATGCCTGAACCAGAATCCAGTGAAGATGATGATTCAGCAATGATCGGTTCATCTAACAGTGCCCATGGATCGGAGTGGCTGGTGGATTCTGGGGCGTCGCGTCACATGACTAAAGAAAATGAATTTCTGGTAAACTATAGAAAATTCAGTGTTCCGGAAAAAGTGGAACTTGGAGATGGCAGAACAGTGGAAGCACTTGGTGTGGGAAATGTTCACCTTGTGATGCTGTTTCACGGAAAAAAGTCGAAGCGAAGTACTTTATATGACGTTCTGTATGTTCCGAAACTGGCGTGTAATCTGTTTTCAGTACATTCAGCAGCAAGCAAAGGAAATATCTTGAAATTTGATCGGTCGACTTGCTGGATCTACGGTGAAAATGGAATTGTACGTGGAATGGGAACATTGAATGGAAAATTGTATCAGTTAAATTGTCGACCAAACCTGAAACATAAGGGAATGCTGGTTGACGGAAAGAAATCTGATCTGGATTTATGGCATCAAAGATTGGGTCATCTTGGTGGTCAGCAATTAAAGGAAGCTGTACGGAAAGGCCATGTTTTGAATGTGAAAATTCCAGATGATGCAAAACTGTCATTTTGTGAAGCTTGTGTAGAGGGAAAAATTCAACGAAAGCCGCTTAGGGCGGTTGGTGAAATTCGGTCTACACGGAAACTTCAACTTATACACAGTGACGTTTGTGGGCCAATGGAAGTCGAGTCAATTGGCGGACGAAGGTATTTTGTCACTTTTATTGATGATTACTCACGGTTTTGTGCGGTTTATTTCATGGAGCACAAATATGAGGTATTTGACAAGTTCAAAGAATTTGAAACCCTGATGACAAATAATGCTGGTGTTAAAATTGGAACTTTGAGAACTGATAATGGTGGTGAATACGTCTCAAAGAATTTTGAAGCATATTTGCGGAAAAGGGGCATAAAACATGAACTGTCAGTTGCTCACACACCGGCTCAGAATGGTGTGGCGGAGAGGATGAATAGAACGTTGATGGAGTCGGCAAGATCAATGATATGCTATGCCGGAATGAAAAAGGGAATATGGGCTGAAGCTGTCTACGCAGCAGCATATATCAGAAATCGGGTGCCGACATCTGCCATCAAGGGAAACAGATCGCCTTACGAACTTTGGTATGGAAGAAAGCCGAATGTAAGTCATTTTCGTGTTTTTGGATGTGTGGCTTATGCTCATGTACCAGATTGTAGGCGGAAAAAGCTGGATAAAAAAGCTGAAAAATTGAGATTCGTTGGCTACGATTTGCGGTCAAAAGGTTACAGACTACTGGTGGAAGGAACTGGAAAGGTTGTTATTCGGAGAGATGTTGTATTCAATGAAAGTGATTTTGGTCAAGGAAAATTTGATACAACTGTAAAACGTTCCGATACAAAAGCTGAAAAATCTGCACCAAGGGAAATAAAAGTAGATATTGATGCAGTGGGAGTCAACGAATCAAATGAAGAAATGCCTCGGAGATCTAGTCGACAAGTGAATCCACCAATTAGGTTTGGCTATGATGAATATGTAGATGTTGCCTTGCACGATAAATCATATCATGTTGCGTATCATGCTAGTCAAATTGCAGAGCCGAAAACTCTGGAAGATGCGTTGAATTCTGAGTGTGCAAGACAATGGAAAACTGCAGCGGAAAATGAGTACAAATCCTTGATGGAAAATGAAACTTGGGATCTTGTAAAATTACCAGCCGGTAGAAAACCTATTGGGTGTCGTTGGCTATTCAAAACGAAGTATACTAGTGATGGCAAAATTGAAAGATTCAAGGCTCGGCTGGTCGCTAAGGGGTATACTCAGAGGTATGGCATTGACTATGATGAAATTTTTTCTCCAGTTGTCAAATTTTCATCTATCAGAACTGTGCTTGCTGTAGCACTAGAAAAGAATATGTTGATCCATCAAATGGATGTTGAAACTGCATTTTTAAATGGGAAACTGGAGGAAGATATTTATATGGTGCAACCTGAAGGCTATGTTGCACAGGGCAAAGAAGATTTTGTATGCAAATTGAAAAAATCATTATATGGACTTAAGCAGTCACCACGGTGCTGGAATAGTGTTCTGAGTACGTTTTTGAAGTCCATGGATTTTCTGCAAAGTTCTGCTGATCCTTGTGTTTATGTACGTATAACCGATTCAATAACAATTGTTGCAGTGTATGTGGATGATATTATCATAGCTGCGGAATCGGTGTTTGAACTGAAAAAATTGAAGGAAAGTTTTTCTACTCGATTCAAGATGAAAGACTTGGGTGAGCTTCATTATTGTTTGGGGGTCAGCATCGAACAAGATACTGAAAATAATTGCATACAATTACACCAGAAGCAGTACATACTGGGGATGCTAGAAAAGTATGGTCTGAAAAATTCAAAACCTTATAGTAATCCGTCGGATACAAATGTAAAGCTAAAAAAGGATGACGGTGGAAATGTGGATAAAGTTGATCCTAAAAAGTATCAAGCAATGGTTGGAAGTCTCTTATATGCAGCCATTGCTACTCGTCCTGATATTTCGAATGCTGTCAGTGTTGTGTCAAAATTTAATTCATGCCCAACGAAAATACACATGACAGCTGTTAAAAGAATTTTCCAGTACTTGAAAATTACATCAGACTTTGGCTTGAAATATGTGAAGTCTGGAAATGATCTAATGGGATATTCAGATGCAGATTGGGCTGGTGATCAAGATGATAGACATTCTACAAGTGGAAACCTCTTCATGCTTGCCGGTGGTGCCATTAGTTGGCTCAGCAAGAAACAACCCATTGTTGCTCTATCAACTGCAGAGGCAGAATATGTTGCATTGAGTTCTGCCACACAAGAAGTTATTTGGCTGAGGAAATTGCTTGCTGAACTTGGAATGGTACAGAATTAATTCACAATTATTAGGGAAGACAACCAGGGGGCAATTGCTATTGCAAAGAATCCTGTTTCGCATGGTAGAACTAAACATATTGATATACGTTATCATTTTATTAGGGAGGCAATTGACAATGGGGTTCATGAACTTGAATATTGTCCTACTGAAAATATGCTTGCTGATATATTCACTAAGAGTCTTCCTAGGGATCGTTTTGAGAGATTACGTAATTGTATGGGCATTAAAAATGTTTAGCCTAATTCGGAGAAATTTCAATTAAGTGGGAGTGTTATATTTTTGTATATCGTATAATTGGAATTTCTGGCAACCCTCTTTTAGGCTTACTTTTTCCCCTTCCGTTTTGTTTCTGCTTTTAAGGCTGCGTGTGTTTTTCGCTCTGTTCGAGTTATGTATTAAAGTTTACTGTTACTATACTTTTTGGTGCTTTGCTGTTGCTGGTTGGGGAGGTCGAAAGATTATTTTCAACACTTTCGTTGCAAAAAAATTCCTTGGCCCACTAACAAGGGAAAAACTACAAGAAAATCGAGAATCTTTCTGCAAAAATTTAATTTCAATTTGATAATAATTAGAATAAAAATCGGCAGCATCGTTCATTGCTACTACAATAAAAATTTGATTATAGGGACACAAATGAAACTAAACTTTTCGATAACTACAGTAGGAATTTAAATATGCTTTTAATAATCAATTTCAATTTAAAAAATTTGAAAAATGTATTACATTTGGATAAAAAACAAACTTACAAAATATTACAATTATTGTTGAGCGTTCGAGGGCCGCATTGGAAGTTCTCCGGGGCCGCGAGTTTGACACCACTGTTCTACAGCACACCATTTGCATAATACCATAACAACCAAAATCAATGCGCGATTTTCTGCCTTCTTCAATCAATCATTTATTTCGGTATTCTGACATAAAAACAACACAAAAACTGGACAAACAAATAAAATGCAGAGATACCTGGAAGGCGAGCATAACTTAAAATAAAGTTAAAAAACGTAAAAGTACGCGCCCGCCCATCAAAAAATAAATAAAAAATATTATTACAAGAATACAAAAAACACGATTCAGAATCGGGCAATGCCTTTTAAGAGATCTGTGGATAAAATATAACAAAATTTAGGTAGATAAATTAAATGTAACAGACTCCTGACGACCTCTTCCGTCCAATTATGGTAATCACCAGAATTTACCCCACATATCATATATATTATATATAAATGAAGTTGATTTTAAATATTTGATTGCAACAAACTCTGGGTATAGAATTCTAGATTGTGTATTGATAAATAAGTAAATAGCTGTAGGAAACATCTTGCTTTCAAATACATAAAAAAATCACCAATAATTTATCAAATGTAACCTACAAACCAGATAAAAAAAATGCATGCATGAAAGGCAGCATGAAGTTTTGAACATTGGAGATAAAGTGTACAAAACTTGATTAAAAATAATTTACTGTAATTTTACTTTATGTTGAATCAGAGACAATGCATAACATGTTATGTAAAATCTATGGTTGAAATAACAAGAAATTCAACTCGTGGGGTTTCATATTTTAAAATACTGCAATTCCATTCACGTAGATGCTCATTTTCTATAAAAATCATCGATATTGTTTTATACTGTTTTTCATTGTTTTTATTATAGTCTAACTCTATAAAAATTATCGATATTATTTAATATTGTTTTTTCATTGTTTGTGGAAATAAATCTCTCTCTCTCTTTATGATTTTTCTGTGGATATCAGCCTTTTTGCTTTAAATCATTTGAAGTAATTTGGATGCGTATTTTCAGTAGTACTGTAATTAAATTTAATTCATCCTGGTATAAAGTAACGGAATTCCCTTCCGTAGTGATCAATTTGAATTTTGTCCCTATGAACTCTGACATATTTCGCTATAATGAACCTTGATATTTTACTAATTTTTATAGGAACACAGCCTGAGTAATGAACAAAAGATTCTGTCGGAATATCGCTAAACAGTTATCAGGCTATAGGATTATGATGGCGTCTGAGACGACCTGCGACCATATTTTTTGTGCTTTTTTTTGTAGTTCAAGAGAAGAAGATTGAACAAGACAATATCCGGCGTAAGAACAACAATACCAGTGATACGAAATACCGGTATTAATCAATATTTGCTGAATTGCACATCTCTACGGTTCCGGTACCCGTACCCCAGATACCGTACCGGTACCGGTACGTACAGATAGCCCCGGCACCAGCATGTCAGTGACGGTGCCTCAGTCAGTCGGTACCGGTACCTAGTATAAAAGTTTTGGGTCTAGTGAAGTTAACGCCCTAACTCAGTACCGGTACGGCACACTATACAAATCCTGAAATTGGGTGACACTGTCCCGTTTCAGAGAAGCCCATTTTACAGATAATCAGACACCCCTCCTTTGACCTTTGGAAGATGTGTCAGTACCGGTACCGTAACTGCTTGATAAATAACACCTAACAAAATTGTGATGTCGAGTTGTCTGCCGTAATCGCTCAAATAACATCCAACGAAAATGTGATGCTGTGATGTGAAATTTTAATACCGGTATGAATAGATCAAAATTACACCCGTATTATCCTAGAACAGAGGCGGGCAACTTCTCTAGTCGGCGGGCCAGATGTGGAAAATGGAGTCCTCGGTGGGCCGGATTATTAAAAAAATACTCCGGTACCGGTATCCAATCTTTGTTAAATAGGCCTACTCTACATTTTCTGTCAACTTCACTGTATAAGGTTTCTGCTTTCTTCCACTGATCGTCAGATTGGGTTGTTTGTAATGCTGCTGTTTCACTTTATTTGCTATTGTGCAACTAACTGACTATGGTAATCAAAATCTGAAATATACACTTTCTTCCTGCCTTTCCCCTATTGCAATCATTGTGTTGTAACTTGTAACGGTGCCTTTCAGCCTTTATTGGCGATTTTAGAGGACTGACGGCCTTAAACGAAGGAAATTCAGTCATTTTTAATAGCTCTCTAAAAGCATGGAGTTCTAATTATGCATTGTTACAGTCAGTTAGCTTGTTCACTATATATTACCAAGATGATTAGATTAGCTACTATTTTTTTACTTCAATTGCTCTTGCTGTACAGCTGTATTGTACAACTAATCAAAATATGCGAGTTCTTCCAAAAATTATTAGGAACATTTGTTTTGAAGCATGGGAATTTTCTGCGATTCTGTTAATCACAATTTCGAGAATATAAATACCTCTTCTGTCCTTTGATTTGTCTTTTGCAGTAATTTGTTATCATGAACAATTGAGTATGAACCTGATTGCTGTTATGGATTTGTTCACATTCAGACATTGGAGATACAGAAATTTATCTTACGGTATTTTGTCCCTTCAGTAACGACAGTACTAGAAATTACTGTGCCAAGTCATACTTACTGTACTTTGCATTTTCTAAATTATTTAGATTTTGTATAATTACTTACATACTGACATATGCTATAGCTTTATTCTGGGGTAGGTAGCTACTGAGCTAGGAAATGTTTTCGAATCGCCATTCAGGGCATACTCGTAACAGAAGAAATGATAGGACAAACACATTTGGTGATAACCTTGGAAGAAGATTAGGTGGAAAGCACAAAAACATGAACATAATATCTGCAATACTAGGAACAGCAACATTAGTAATGCTTTGTGCGAGCCTCGTAGAACCTAAATGGTTTGCTTTAGAAGGAGGTGAATGTTGTCTTTCATATTTGGGAATTAGTCTGTTTTTTGGGAAATTCAGCATGGAAGATGCTCAATCTATACCGCTTGATGAATCCTGCAAGGAAGGTATATCATTTTTTTATAAAATTCTTTATATTCAGAGTTTACTCACAAAATTCAAATACTGCAACATTTAATTAACAGATTGATTTTATCACATGCCAGAATGTTGGGTTAGGTTTGTAATGTTCTAATCAGACCTGGGCAACTCGTTTGGAATTAGTTGTCAATTTTTTTTTATCTCGGAGTTGGTCCATGGTCATTGATGTTTATGGCAGTGTTCTTCAATCTTTTTTACCGTGGGATACCTTGTACAATATTTCATGAACTTTGTATACCTCACAAATACCAATGTTTATTTAAAGCTTAGAAAACATTAAATTTTAAGCACAGATTGTGAAAAACTAAAACTGACGATACTGCAATATTACCATGTAATCTAATGGGCTACTGTCGGCAAGTTGTAAACCAGGGGTGGGTAAATTACGGCCCGCTAGGCCCACGAAGTGTTTCATCCGGCCCACTTGTACCTGCTGAAATTACGACTATAGTTTTTAATGGATATAAATTACAGTTGGAAATTTCAATGATAATAACGAATCGTCGGCTGGAATAAATAATTCGGTAATTCAGATAATAATTCAGTAATTCAGCGGTTTCCAAACGCCGAAAGAAAGGAGAATTGCTGAGTGTGCCGCAAAAATTAACAGAATTGTGTTAAACAAAACTAAAAGATGATTGAATAGTTTACATAGCCCACTGTTTTTATTATAAAAGTTTTATTGTTTCTTGTTTTAAATGCTTTGTATATGAACAGATAAATTCATTTTACCTTTCTATATCTTTTACTTTCTGTTACGTATGTCTGCCTTTATTGTAATGTAACAATAGAGAAAGACACTACCTGCTGCAATTTCAAGTGCTGTAGTTTATTTATCTGCTGAGCCGAGTTCATCACGCATTATTTGCAATATAATGTGCAAAACGAACCACTTATATCCCAAATACATACACCTATCCAAATTATTGTTTCGATGTATGAATATCAACAAAACAAAAAAAACATATCTCTGACATATGCGAACCTACGAACGTTTTTTTAGGCAAGGAACAGCACAAACAGTTTCGGGCCTGATTTAAACAAGCTTTTGCACGCGTGCGTTTTTTTTTTGTGAATAAATTGTTTTTATTCCTCCGGCCCAGTAAGCAAGACTATTATCCAGAACCACCCACTCGAGAAAGTTATTGCCCACCCCTGTTGTAAACAATCTAAATTTGGCTGACGCCTGACGGCCCTAGCGCCAACAGGAATGGTGTTCAATGTAAATCAAGCGACGTGCATGGCGGCCACATGACACGTGCCTGCATTATCTAGATCAGGGGTGGGCAATTACTTTCCTTAGCGGGCCGGATGCGGAAAACAGACTTTGTTACTGGGCCAGAGGATCAAAACTCAATATGATCAAAAACACAACGATTTAATGGGGCGTTATTGCAGAGAATGGCAAATCACGGCAGCTGCACAGAGAAAGTTGCTAGAAAAAGAAGCTCAACAGCTAGGCTAACTTTTATATCAAAGACAGTGCAATGTAACCATTGAGGCCAACATGACGTTATTCGATACATTCAAAGGCACGGTACCAAGAGATAAGGAATATCTGACAATACATAGTTTACCGACATAATACCGATGTACACGGCTTAAATACCCACACCATGCTGAAGAAAACAATCGGTGTTTTCAATTTAACAATCCTTATCCACAAGAATGTGCAATTGCTCCCTGCCACCCCGTGTCTCACCCCTCCCACCTTTCCTTAACCCTTGATTATCGCTATAGTTGAGGAGTCGACACTTACAAACCGATTTACATGCTCCAAACCCCTCAATTTTATCAAAAAATACAACCACGCGCCGCTTACACGTACTAATAGCAGTAGAGTAACAGTAGAGTCTTTCAGTTTATTTACAACTAATTTTCGGAAACATAGCTAAAAACTGACAAATATCACGCAGAACTGCAAAACCGAGGCAATGTTTACAACCATTTTGAATATCTGTCTGAGCATATGAAGTGGCTGAGCGACTGCAAAAATTATAATAGTTGCGTGATCGTGAACTTTTTGCTGATTGGTCATTGATACGAAAAAAAATAAACTAGCAAATGGATCGTCGATAGAAACATGCATACGTGAGGAATTACAGTATTTACTTTAGCCGACAATCCGTTATCGATATTTTCAATGGAATGTTAATTTATATCATCGATATTTCTAACGGTGATTTAAATTCATAAAAACTATAGTCATAATTTCAGCAGTCACAAGTGGGCCTGATGAAACACTCAGGTGGGCCGGATGTGGTCCGCTGGCCGTAATTTGCCCACCCTCGATCTAGATAAATTGTGATGTTACAATGTGCTCAAGTGGGTTCTTTGCATAAATGACATTTTATTTTTCATTTGCGCCACGTTTGCATTGTCTGCAATTGATTATTTTAGAGTTTAGAATTCCTGAATTAGGCTGTACACCCTTCGTATTCTGTTTATCAGTTGTATACCTTACTTATGGTCCGGTATACACTTGGGTATACTGTATACCCGGTCGAAGAACACTGGTTTGTGATACCATGAATTATTGGCATGATTTTGTGGCTGTGGTACTCGAAACCATAACAAAAGGGTTTCAAATTTCAAAGTTAAACTCTAGAAATTAAATACAATAAAATAAAAGCTGAAATGATGGGAATTGATATTTTGTAATATGTAAAAACTATAACTCAAGCCAGGTTTTCGACAACTTCCAATAAATACAAATAGCAGAATTTTTAATCGACCAGCTATCATGTTAATTGATAAAGTGTAAATGTCATAATTATCAAAGTTTGCCAGAGCAGCAGTATGACAGTAAGCACATTACCAATAGCTATATAAGTTCATACTATGATGTGGCACCATGGCATGATATACATATATATGTGACCTTATTTCACTGCTAGACTAAGCCTATTTCATCATTGCCGATTTTCGCACATTGGTGAGAGTATTTTTGTTAAAGAAGATATTATGTGACTGATAAGGCTCAATCTCGAATTGGAATAAAAAATCCCAGAATTCCCAGTTTTTCTGTCTAGACTGACAATTGATTATTACATCATAGATAGTTATGTAGGGGTCTGAAAAACATTTGTATTGTTTTTAAACATAAATGATGTTAAGACAGTTGTCCTGTTCTAAATAAAGTGATTCAGTACTTTTCACCCATCATATCTGATCAGATAAAATAATGCTGTCACTAGCACCAGTTTGTAATTTTTTGTTTATCAATTACCTGTAATTCAAATTAGGTAGAATATATTTCTCAATTCACAAACTGCCCTCTGCAAGTATTTTCGAAATGTCTAGGTAGCTGTATTTAGTTGAGTGTTGACTGTGGCATATGATCTACCAACTATAAATTTAATTCCATACTCAAAACTCGCTCGGGCTCTTTACTATATAAAACAATATTTGCAATTATGACAGTTGACAGAGAGCTCGAATTGTTTGCCACAGACAGATTTTCGATTCGAAAAAGTAAGGCATGATTGAATATTAAAAATACAATGATGCACATAACTTATAGGTTTATCTTGCCCCTGGCTAATATAAAATCAAATTTCTGACACTCACTTTTTATATTTCAGGGTCATCGGTGGATATGGCAATGTGTGTTAATTCAAAAGCTTTAATGCTAATTCACGTTATCATTGCTTTTTGTTTCTTTGCAATTATTTCAAGTTTATTTTCTTTTGTATTGGATGTTCTCTCACCAAGGAAAAATCCATTATGGAAAGCGTTAAAAAGATATGCAATTGGATACATATTTTGCGGTAAGAAATTATGCTTAATATAATATATTGTATGATGCTTTACCCAATTCGAACATGGTCAATGGAAAGCTATTAGGAGTGCAAAACTTCTATTGATAACATGTATACTGTTATATAAATTTCTCCATATTGTTACTACCATATGTTTATATAATATTATTTTCCATTTGGCTAATATTTTTCTCTATATTGTATGTGCTTCATAACATTGTTTGAGTGTAAATATTACCTCTATATTACACTCTATAATATGGAGTTCCACTTTTTCTTTCACAAGGACAAAAACAATTTCATGTTCCCGTATTTGTCTGTTTTAGGTACCGGTAGTGGTTTTGTTTGATCTTTAGCCCACTTGTCGTTCAAAGATTCACAATAGTTTTTGTTATCTTCTGGAACTTTTGAGGTTTGTGACCTACTTTCAAATACATGTCAATTTTTCAGTATTAAACACAGCAACAACAGTAGGCTTTGCATATTGGGCTTCACAAGAAATCTACAACTTACAGTTTGATCATAAGCAATACCCTGGAAGCAAGGCTGAAGTAATGTTTGGTACTGGTGTCTACCTTGTGACTGCAGCCGGTGGACTTGCAATTCTTGCTACTGCTTCAAATTTAATGCGCCAATACCCAACTGAGGAAGAGGAACAAGCTGAACTATTACTTGATGCAATGGAAGAAATGGACGATGATGGCAATGTAACCAGTGCATCATGTAATCTAGGTTATGAGCCTAATCCACCACCACCTTATGTACCTTAGCGACTGATCAGTTGCGATTTTTTTATTTGTATTTGCTTCTGAACAAAAGCCCAAACTGCAATGTTCACTCAGCAAACTATTAATTACCGTAGTAATATTACAAATTAATAACCATGTTTATGAAGAAAAAAGCATAGATAATGGGATATGTCTATTTTACCAATAAAAATATTAGTTTTACTTTGAATTTGTGACAATCCCTTTGGTAGCAATAATTTTTAAACAGTAAGTACAGTTGGAGACTTTATTGTTAAACTAAAAATGGTTGTAGTCTTATTGGTATCTCCATTCTGTCAAATCTTGAGATCCACAGATAATATGATAGCCATATAATTTCAACTTGAGTATCAGAAGCAACATTTGTCTGAAACAGTTATCTTGAATAAATGTAAGACAAAAGTGTGGTTTATGTTAAGTTCTTTCATCACATAGTAGGTCTTTATACTTTGCCTTTATTTTCTAATATTTCACTGCTTCTAATCAAAAATACCCATTCATGTTCTTGTGTTGTCCTAATATTTTTACAGTATTGAACGTTTGTCGTGTGCAATTTTGTTGCTATCGTGTCTGTTTTTTATAGCTTGTTACATTATATATGCGCATCATTCTGTATTCAATGTTGAGGTAACTGACTGTTAAGGTGATGGATGCAAGAACCGGAAATTAGTCAGTGTGGCTCGTCCATGCTAAGCGTTATAGATATATGCTCGCCACCGAACCTCTGATTATGCTGCGTGGGTTCGAATCCCATGTCGGGATAGTTACTGTATGTGCGAGAGGATTGCTGGACACCTCGCCGTAGCAGGGTCGCTCACATCACTGGTCGGTTTCGACTTCCTCCACTCTCAAGTCTATGCTTCCGAAAACAAATAACTAATCCCATACTCGACATGGAATGGTAACCAGGCGAGAGGTGGTGGTTCGCCATAAGGTTACGCCGTGTTATCGCTTTACTCCCGAACCCCACGGGATAAATATGTAAATCCCATACTAACCATGTAGGAGCAAACTCTGATAATAATAGCGATCTGGCCACCTTTAGCAGACAAATGACAGTAGTGTAGATGAAACGATATTCACGTGAGATATGCATGTCCCAGAACTAAGTGCTCGCAAGTTGAAATACCAACGAGTATATTACTTATAGTTGTACAGGAATTTTTTGTGCCAAAGGCAGGGTTTCCTTTTATATACCTAATTAACGATTAGAAGATCGATCAATTTGGCAATGGCAACCATTACAAAAATATCAATATGGTGTGGCAGATAATTTTCTTTTCTAGTATTTATTTATTTATTTTTTTGTTTACTGTATAGTATACCCTAAATTTATCGCGTTTCATTCTTACTTAAATAACTTCTCAGTGGTTGTGTGTGTGTGTGGCTGGTGGGTGCATGTGAGCGTGTGTGAAATAACTTGATAATTTTAGGTGAGTAAACACGTACCACTTCCTCTTGGCAAAACCTTTCATCTTATATTTTGTACGTTATAAACCTTATCTAAGGTTTTGTTTGCTCCCCTGATTTCATAATCAGATTTTATTTATTTGTTTTTATCTGTCAAATGTATTGTTATGCTGATTATGGAGTCGAAATAAACTTATACTTATACTTATACTTAAGTCGCTAAGACTTCGAACGAGTCCCGCTGGACCAGATTTCGTGACCAAGTCCACCCCGGTGCACGCGCCCGACTGCGTCCTGGTATGACCCAGTTTTGGTTCAACAAATGCCGTGATATTTAATTTTCAACTCCGGTAATGATATTAAAAATCCTATTGTGCATGTATAAAAATAATTTTGAACTTCGGCGACATATGTGTGTATCGAATGTGACATTAAAGCCGATCGTAATGGGCTATTTTTTCCGCGTGGGATGTGTTATTGTAAATAAGGTATATATTGAATCTAACAGACTTGACATTAGCATGTACCGTACGGTACCTCGGGCATGATAAGATTCGGTACCGGTAGTTTATGGAAACTGAGTAAGTTTTGAAGTAATTTTATCCTGATTGGTTTGTCGTTATTGGCACTGCAATGCTTAAAGGGGTGAAATTTGCGCTATGTACCGCCTTTCAGTACACATATCGTCAAAAGAATTCACACCAAATTAGGTGAGTTTAACTTATTAATACGGTATTCATACGCACATTTTTCTATAACGTTCACATGCTGACATGCGGTACCATACCGGTAACGTACGGTAGTGGGTGAAAATAATTTTAATTTTGCATACAGCAATTGTATAAAATCAGCCTGGGAAAACATTGATGCTTCAAATACATTAAAAGTATCTAGAAGAAACATTTATATATGCACAAGAGATCAAGGCTTGGAAGAATTTTTTGAGCCTCCGAAAAATATTGGACACAAGCATATCAAATCTGCAGCACCTTGGTCAAGAGATCTTTTGCGATTGAAAAGCAGTGAAGACCTACATAAATTATGGTTAGTTCATTTGGTAATAATCGAATAATTTGCTCCCCCAGTATGCATAGTCCAGTCTGGATTTCATGGCCTTTTTGAACGAGAAATCGGGCGTGCAATCAGAAATTCCCGCGTGCAAATAAGAATTTCTGGCGTGCAATTATAGCTCACGGTGTGCAAAACAACTGCGCCCGCGTGAAACTGACTTCGACCTAAGATACCTCCAATTCGAAGAAGGTTTGCTACTAGCTTCACAGTGGTTCAATAAAATTACCGGTATTGGATAAAAAATATGTTGAATCATAGCAAAAATTGACGTTTGACCTTTGACCCCCAAACATTATTTCTACAGTTTGTTGCTAATTTTGAGAGTGGTTGTGCGACTTTGGTTACCGGTACTGTTCAGTACATCCGTGTAAAATTATTGTATGAAAAATACGCTGAATCAAAGCCATAACTGGCCAGCGTCGGTGAGGAGGCGATCTTTCTCACGGGATTCCTATCATTCAACACGATATGGTGTTTTTTGCTTTGCAATTTTCGATCAGGCCAAACTTGCAATCTAGTATTAGTCGACAATTGTGAAGTTATAATTTTTTGGCATCTTTATATTACTAGATAATTGATTTACAAACTATTTAAACCGATTTACATTAATGAGCAATTGCAAATTTTCGGCGTGCAAAAATGAATTCGCTCGTGTGCATTTTTGTGAAGCGCTAGCGCCCTCGGGCGTGCATCTGCCATGGAATCCAGTCTGGTGCATAGTTCTCAACAAAAATACCATGTAACACTTGCATTTGTAAATTTAGGTTTGTACTACTAAAAGAAAGAAATATGTTGGAAACTATGCAGTTCCACTACGAGACTGTCGATGAACCAATGCCCAGTCCAGAACGCCTCGAAAAGGTAATTGTGTATAAAGGCACAATCTGAAGTAAAACGCCACACATTACGCCTCCCTTGATGGTATTTTTTTTCAATAATAGGTTGCAGAGTCAATGAGTAATCTAAGAGATGTTTTGGAGGAACGTGAAAAATCAATAAATATGCTTTTGCTTGGAAGACCTACTAAAGCGCATGGTAATTTGTTGTTATCAAAGGGCTGTTATTGTCTAACAGCTATTTATTAGTTTAATCATTACCAATCCTACCTGCAAGAAGAATTGTTGCAAATTCTTTCATAATATTGATATTCATGTTTCTTTGCTGTATACTACAGGTGAATATAGAAAAAGTGGTTTGGGAGCTACATACTGGTATCAATATAAACCACACGTGATCCCTAAGGAACTCGCAAAAGACGTTTACGGAGATAAACCAGCAGATTTAGCATCTTTCAATATGTTTCTTCATGAATGGCACATGTAAGGATAGAATACTTTTCTATTTAAGCTTGTTTTGTTAGCCCACTTATGAAATGTAACCATGAGCCGGTGAACTCTGCATAAAATTAAATTTATTAATAGCATAGGTTACAGAAAGAAGTGGATTTACTACCTTGCAAGAAAAAATGGAAAACAAATGTTGCTTTTTAAGAACTGAACATAACTGATAGAAATGAAATTAAAAAAAGCATGTTAACCAAAAAATTTTATTATCCCAAAATTGCAATACGAATCTACCATACATTCCCGAATGGGCCAGCTTGCTAGTTCAATGTATTATTCCTATTACAGACGATTTCAGGAGCGCAGGGAGAAAGTTTGGGCTCGACGGAAATCCGCACTCAGGTTGAAATGGATAAGAATTCGAGAGAACAATCCATCCCTTCCAAAAAGTCCCCCAAAGTGGTGGTTGGACAGGTTCAAATGTAAACTTCGTTATGGGCTGCATCCAGAAGTGCAGATTTACCTGCAAATGAAAAACTCTACCAAACGTAAAATACCATATCCTAAAAGGTATCACAGTGATTATTAAACGCAATGACAAAAAAGGCTGTGATTATATGTTCAGCATGGATAGATTTTTAACCATAATCTCAGATTCATCAGAGTCGCTGGTTGGTGTGTTTTTCCGTCTTGCTGATTTTCGCTTATTCTTATCTCGTCGAGCTTGATCCTGTCTTTGCCGGTTGGTCAACTGTAATAGAATTTATCAATCATTGTTTGAAATAATATTTTTGATGGGCTCCTTTGCTTGGTTTTATTTATACACAGGGCCCACAGGGGTGTACATATTACAGTGAAAATATAGACTTATGTTGGCAACACATTTACTCTGGTTACCGGTAAATAAATGCTTAACACAGGAGAACCCAAAGCCATTAGATTTTAGAAATAGTGATTTATTGTTTCAGTAACGCATGGAGTAGTAATTTAAGTGATACCTTTTTAGGGGGAGTGTTCACATTTATATTCTTCTTTGGTTTTCCTGTGTTGGATGTTGCACAATGATGACCACCAAATATTCTTGTTCCAGAACCATCCTTATCCCATATTGAATTATTGGATGTTCTGTGATTTATATTATCATTTTTCTCCTGGTTAGGCGAGCTCATAGGTGATTCATCATCTAAGATTGAAGTGTTTATGCGTAAGTATATTGAAATACATCACAATCAAAGGTCCTTATTCCTTTTTAACAAGTGATGTTTGTTTTTCGAAAAAAGCGAGCTCTTCTGTAATGCAGAAGTTTGTGAGAAACCATCATTTTACTATTATCAACCGTACCTTCTGATAAATAGGATTGTAGAATGAGGCCGACGGTTTCATCTTCATCCTGTCCAGTTTCATTCAATATTTTCCTAATCAACTTCCGATCCTGTGAAAATTTTGAATTACAATAGCATATTGCATTCCCTGAAGCTTGCCAAATGAGATGGACAAGGCTCTCTGACATCAGATTGTTCAGGTATTTATTCCAGAATCTGGCACTGACTTCCTTGTTTGTTCCAATGACCGTTTACAGTGGTGTAGCATTTGAATTTTGTGCAACCACTCAGCCAGACACATTTCATGCAAACAACATTGTTTTTGTAGTTTCGGGATTAGTTAGTCAAATAACTCTTATGGTTAGACTGGCTTAATTCGTTCATCTTGAATGAACTGGCAACCTGACGAGAGGTTATAGTTAATTGGCTTTACTATCATTGGAAAATTAAAAAAATTTATCCTACAGTCACTGTATCCAGTTTGAAAAACTCTGACTTATTTAACGTATTTAAATTAGGAATTTCTGATACCTGACATCCTGTTACTTCAATAATTCGTTTTATTTTTTGTAGTTCATACTCAGAAACACTGTCTGATCGTTTCTTCACATTCTTTCTTTGCATAAGATTTTCAGTTTCCTTGTATTCCTGGAAAGAATTTTCATTATTTAGATATCCTTTGGCATGGTATTAATCTACCACTCTTTCTATTGAAATTTATATAAAGTCACTTCAGCGTATGGGTGTGTGCCCAAATAATTTAGTCCCATCATGTACAAATTTTCTTAAAAACACTCACACCAAGTTTCACATTAGCCGGTCCATTACTGTTGTCATTAATCTTCCTAATACTTGAATAATGATCTCCATTATGATATGCAATATGTAGTTGCCTGGAGTTCGGCTGTTCATTGCCTTTCACCTGCGAATTAAACTATTATCAGAATGGTGCTTATGCATACATTATGGGTAAATAGTATAGTACAACTAACAGTGAACCAATCAATCCACAAGTGTCGGCTCAGGAAAACTGCCTTAAAAGTTCAGAAATCAGTAAAACTGTTCAGTAAAAGTTACCCATTCAATTCCAAATTTAATGACTTCTATATTGTACTTGAAACTATTTTGGATTCACCGTCTATTTTTAAGGCTAAATTGAATTCATTATGATATGATCTTACAGTCCAAATAGGAGCATTAAGTTGATGAATCACCACATTGACATTGTATTTCCTGGCAAATGCAACAATTGCATCATTTCCTGCATATGTTCCAGGGTTTCGTAGATTTTCAACTGCAAAATTTAGAGTAAAAGTATAGGCAAAAAAAAAAAAATTTGGAACATTTTTAATGAGAATTATTCTTTCTGAAAAACACATTATAGATAGCACACCATTTAAAAACACAAAATAGAAACAAATCTATAATATGATTTTGCAGGGAGTTCCAAAACATTTTTACATCAGAGATTAACAGTGAAGCACTACTATGAGCTTTATTGCAAGAAAACAGGAAAAATGTTTGGCTTTTCTATAGCTTTCACACTTCTCTTTAAACCTCCAAATGTTGTCTGTAATTTGGGAATGGCCCATAGACACCGAGGGTAAAATATTCCCAAGAAATAGATTTGCGACTTTAATTAGTGACAACAGTTCAATGAGGCCATTTTCAGATTTGAAGAATAATTTTTGATGGAACTAAACTCTGTAAAGTAAAATAATGAACATCAAATGCATACCATGACGATTGAAAGGGATATCATCTTCCACAAATGGTTCAAAATCACTCCTATGTTCAGTCATGTATTTCACGATTTCTTCTCTATGTCGAAGGTGGTTATCTGAATGACCGTCCATTTGATCACCGAGAGCTCGAAAGAGACAGTTTCTGTAAAGAAATGATTAACAATATAGGATAATAAAAACAGCAAAAAGTATGCACACATTAAAATCATATAAATAATTTTAAAATTTCATTTTATCGTTATTCAACTAATTTCTGGTAAGTATGGCTATGTGCATCTGCCATTCTGTAAATTAACCTTTGCTGTTGAATATCATTGTTGTAGATATGCTTGGTAAATAAGCAAATGTAGACTTCCCTTTTATTACAATTTCTTTCTAAGTAGATTTGTAACTGCATTTTTATCATTTCTTTGAGAGCTGCGGTCTTAGACAATCAGTTATATTACTGTATTATAAACTAGAATTATGAACAAAAATTAAATCATATAGCATACAAATAAACTAACCCATCTCCGGGGATATCTCTCAATTTCAATCCCAAAAGTGCGAGATGATTTGAAAATCCTCCGTAATTCACATCTTCTGATAAATAGGAACTCATTGACTGAAAATTAGAAATAAGTAAACTGTTATCTGGTGGTTGTATATACCAAGTACTGATATACCAATATCTGAATATGAAAGACACAAAGCTGCGAATTTTGGACTGAACCTTTGGTCCTTCAGTCATTAGCAACTTCTAAACTTAAGACAAGAATGTGATTTTTCCGATCAATGTACATTAGTTTTTCAGATAACAAGTCAGTTTGCAGACTTTTTGGGATCATTAACAATATCGTACCAGTACCGGTACCCATTACAGCATTAACTGAATTAAGGTCTCAAAATTCCGAAATTTAATGAACCCGTACCGGTACAGTACGGCACCATACCGGTACCGATAGGGTACCTGTTTATGCTTTCGTATATTCTGTGCTGCTCTTTTAGCGGCTCTGTCCACGTCCGTCTTTGAATTTCTACCTGTTTTTTTCGACATTCTGTCACAAATGATATATAATCCAGTAATCAAGGGCGACAAGGAAACGCAGCCTTGCCAGGAACTGAAACCTGGGTCACAAGACACAACATAAACTCCCCGTTTGATTTGACTCGAGGTGGCGCCTGGGTCTATTAGTATTTTCGAATTTTATTATCGAACATTAAGGTTTATTGTATGGTGTTAAGGTGTATGTTTATTTGCCTCAAAAATGTAACAGTATCTGCATAATAAGTAAACGGTATAAAAGAGACGGGATACATGTTCAAGACATTACTGGCCTACGACACAGATGTGCGACATCACCCCAACAGGTATAACTGCAGTTTAGGACTGCTGCGTCATAGTAGGACAAGAGACATGAAATATACAAATAAAATACACAGGACAAAGAGGTACGGCACCACGGTGATATGTACAATAGGCAGTTTATGTTCACGTTCATGTTCTGATGTGAAGGGATGGGAAAAGGGTATAAATCGCATTTTAGTGTGCTTTACAATAGATTATACGAAACGAATAAAAATTTGTTCGAGACATGAACTTGTCAAAAACCAATGTTGGGTGGGACAACGACACAAAAGGATTAGGTTCTAAAAAGGTAAACAATAAACGACATATGCAGAAATTCTTTGTTTACACTCGAGTCGTTAATCATAAATTGTATGCGACAAAAGAAATGAGAACAATAGAGTCTGGCATAAAATGCGGGTCAATTTCGTAGGCGCTATTGTGTGGATAATATAGTCACCACGCCTGATAAATGATAAATTTAAATTTGTATGAGATGATCTTTTCATTAGCGACGATCCAACGAAGTAACTGTACAAAACTAATAAACCATAAAAATATGCAGGAACTAGAGACAATAGATCAGTGGGTTGCCCGAGACTTGTTTCCTGAGCAATGGGAGTTGGTTCCATCCACGATGACATAGTTTGTCAAACGGATATATTTTTTATCCGCCAGTCTTTTCTCAACTGTTTACATGGTTTACATGACTCTACATTACGACTGCGTATTCCCTCACCGTCACATCCGCACACATTGAAGGATCAACTGGTTTGCTACGCCTATCTGATTTGGCTTAAACCGTAAATATATACTACTACGCTTAAACCCAGATTCAAAGCAGAGAGAGAAAAAGATTCATTTGTTTTGTCAACTGAAAAACACGAGCACAACAAAAAACAATTAAAGGAAGGCGAATATTTTATAGTGCATTAAATAAGTCATTACGGATATTCAGAACTTTGTATCAACAATGCTTAATGTTTCAAAAAATGCATTTATCATAACAATTTTAAGGTTGGGTCATGTAGGCCTAATTACAGCCTAATATATCGACGATATTTTGAAAAGAAGTTTTGGACAGGGCGAAGCAAAAAACCTCCCAACTTCGTGACATTGGCCAATCAGCAAGATGTAAAAAGTGACGTAACAATGCCCCATTTTCGCATCCGCTCAGACACTTTTATCACTCAGACAGATTTCCAAGCGTGGTTGTAAACATTATCTCGTTTTCGCGTTTTCGAACCCTATTCGTTGGTTTTCAGTTGTGTTTCTGAAACTTAAATCAATGATCACTCTGTTTTCCTAGGAGTTTTAATTTAATAATTGCAGTAATAAAAATTAGTGTAGAAATAGCTGTGATAGACTAGCCTAAAATTCTTTACCGGTACTTTTAAAAAACAGCTTGTTGTATGCAATAAATCACAATGATGGTTTGAAACACATATCCCATTTTACAGGCGCCAACTCGCAAAAGCACTCTCAAAATAGCCCCGAAAATTTTGCTACGGTGAAGTATAAGAATTTTCTGGGGGTCAAAGGTCGGGGAAAGCTCCATTACGTACCAATTGAAACTAAGCGGTCGGTCAGGCCCAACGACTAAAATACCGGCCAGGCCCGTATGTTAGTCGCTCGTTATCAAAAGCCGTTTCCGAACTGCGGTCGATTTTTGTTGTTTTTTAAAACTTCATAAGTATTAAACAAAGTCGACTTTATGTAAATAATTTTAGTGGGTAAATTCAGTGAAAGTCTACTTATGACTGATTTACTAATGACCAATATAAGATGCTGCATGTATTTAAATTTGGGACGATTATAAGAAGATTCTTTAACGCCATCAGGAATACCGTTTCAAGCAAATGACAAACTAGAGTTTGTCCTTTCGACAAAATAGGGTCTGCTACCAACCGAACGAGTATTGTATCCAAAAACATCACTACATTTTGTAAAGTAAAAATTTGTATACCTGTAAAAAATGCCAAGCACAGTACATTGGGGAAACCGGAAGAAAATTTAAAGTCTCGTACGTCAGACCACCTTAGGGACATTCGAAAAGGGCCCCCAACACCAGTTACCAACCAATTCAACAGGGAAGGGCACAATATAGACGATTTCAGTGTCCTAGGAATTGACTCACTAACCCACGACGAACTCTACAGGAAAAACAAATTCTGGATTGACAAAATGAAGACTCGGCAACCACAGGGAATCAATAGAAAAGATTAAAATTCAAACGGGGACGTGGCCCAAATGCAAATATAAAACCAAAAGACAAACAGTACTATAAAAAAAAATACAAACAAATAAGGTTCAAAAACAAACAAAGGAAACTACACAAATAGACGAACCACAACCCAACCACATCAGTTAAACCGGCTATTCGAAGATGATACGATAGCAACCATATCCAGTTATAGGAAACTCAATGATAGACTAAATTTATATGATCTTTTATATTTACAGTTATATCTTGTATTGTTTGAAGAAGTTAGACCATGATCTAACGAAAGCTCACAAATATACTTACTATTTCGTTGAAAGAGATCATGTTCTTTTTACTTTTCACTTTAAAACTATCTCGTTCAAGCATCCTTGTGGTGAGTGCCCCATACATACGGAACCGAACTAGGAAGTAATCAAGGAGAAAGGACCTGCAGTTCAATACACAATATCCATTTTCCCCTAGTTTTGTAAAGTAGTTAACATAAACATCTGTTTAAGTTTGCGAATGTTTATTTGTTTGTAAATTGAACAAATTCGCATACAAGTACCAGTCATCAATCACAGGATACGGTTTCGTAGCACAAGTTTTACATGTAGAACACCAGCCGATATTTTTAGATTGCAGACGCGAAGTAGAACAGGGAAATTCGGTACAAAATTTTTAAATTCAGTCATGGCACGCTAGTCTACTTGCAATTTGTTCAATATGAACTTGTCAGTTAGGTTTTTGATATAAGACAGGGTAGGTATGGGCAATATAAAATACCGAATCCGGTGGATTCGAATCCAACGGGATCCGATAACAGGATTCGGTTTCCGCCTCTCCGGGTTTCTAATTTATCAATTGAAGACGAGCGTTTTTTTTCTCTCGTTTAATTAAACCTGCGTCTGCTCGCAAAGAACCCGTACAATCGGTAAACATCAAAGTCGGCAATTTACTAATCTCAATCGTCATATTCAGGACAAGAAGTCGGCGAAGTACCCCTCACCGCGAAGACTCGTTATTGCACCATTTTTGCGTTTTCCTGCTTTGCTATCTAGCTAGCGTATTATAATAATAATTATTTGTGCTGACTTACTGGCGATATTCCGATAATCTGATTGCAACAATCTTCAATTGTTTACAGACGTGCCTTGCTTCATTTTACACACATTTTGAAATTACACACATTTCAAATGGTACTCACCGTTAACAACAGTAGTTTCAAAAGTTTGACATTTTTAATATAGATAATACAACCTTGGGTGTCGCTGTTCGAAATTCAGTTTTGGTCTTTTTTCCCCAGTAAAACTGCAAATTTTTCATTTCACTGTAATGATAAATTCATTTTCTTGCATGATTAATTTTCTTTAATACTGACTGAATTGAGTGTATATATGTATTATATTTATAAATGTCGGAACAGCCCTTGCTATAAATAATTTACTGACTTGGGATATTCCCGTCCAGCAATTTGTTTTCCGGGTCTTTAATGCAATCTCAAGAAACTAACCATCCCTATTAATTAAGCGATTTTAGATTAAAACAGTAGTGTCTTAACTCTAAAATTTCATTTATTCAAATTAGATATTTGAACCTTGGGTGCCGTTGCTCGATAACCAGCTTTGGTTTCTCGCGACTTCCCTTCCCCAGTGAAACTGTGATTTTCCTTTTTCGTATTTTCGTTTTTTCGTATTTTCTGTGTTCAATTGTTTTTTATTTATTTACTGACTGGAAAAAATAAACTTGACTTCACTTCACACGGTCTTCACCTTTTCCTGCATAAATATTTAAACTTTATTATATCTATTCTAAATAGTCAAATACACATGACAATGAAATGTAAACCAATACAGTATTTAAACAGACAATAGAACAATAAACAAACGAGATAACTGGTAGAGTTGAAGATATATGTTCAGCAGATAAAAGTAATAAACAAATTAATTGTGATGTCATAATATGTAGTGATTTAACCAAATGGATGTATTATGACGTCATAAATAAAGTTTATGAGTGCCATGAAATTTTAGTTGAAGACCGAGTGCGAACGCTAATCACCCAAGTAGATTGGATGGTAAATGAAATTATGAAACTTAAGGCTGTTTTTGAATCGTCATATTACCAGGTTAAAGCGGTAAAGTTTTTCGAATTTAAAAAAATCGTCTAGTCGACCATGTTTTTTTAACCATTTGAAACAGATTAATATTTCAGGCAATAATATTTAACCTGAATAAAAATTAAACAATTTATATCTGATACAAGCCTCTTTAATTAAAGGACGACATAATAATGAATAATATCTCAAAATTGTATGAATTGAGGCCCCTAAGCTTCAATATGGATATACAGCCACTCGATATATATCCATGGATCCATTCAAGTGATGTACATTGAAAGTCAATCCGTTTCTTATGCATGTATACTTTATATATATACACACTGCGGTTCCATGTAATGAGGTGCATGTCAGTCAGTCAGTAGTTTATTTTTCACCAAAATGAACATACACTTGATGCAAACAAAAACTAGGAAAAAAACATGAAAATGGCATGTGTATAAAATGGATTGACTCTCTGTGTACGAATGGTCTTATATGTATAGCGCAATCTTTAAATGAAAGGACGTAGTTGGAGGAAGAAACTTTGTCTCTGTCTTCACCTAAAAAACATTTTCTAACTGAAACGTAATAATAATTTATGCTTCTTTTTATCTAGCATATCTTGAGGTCTTTCTTATAGAATTGCGGCGTCAACGAATAATAGGCCATATATATAGTGCAATATTTATTTTACGACACGCTGAAATTAATATATATATATATATATATATATATACAGTATTTAAAAGAACATGGAAAAATGGTGTAAAGTATCATATATATTCAAAATTGTTGAAGGATGGATATGTCATTTGGGAGCGTATAGTCAACGTCTGTACAATTATTATTCTTTATCCCTTCCAAGGATCATAAAGAATATGTAACCCCCTCGAGGCTTGAAATAATTATTCACAGATAAAACAGATAAGAAATAGTTAGTAATAGGAAGAACGGATCTATGCCCCCTTAAGAGGATTCATTAGAACAAAACTTCGTGATGCGATTTTGCAGCTCTAGTTCAATATTGTGTATATCCTATGTCCCACAGCAATAGATCTACTCAGATCGTCCGCAATGAAACTGCTGAGTGACCGCCAATGTTACGAACATCTTTTTGTGGGTGACACTGTCGGGAATGCCTCACGGGTGTTTGATTTTAATGTTTGTTAGTTGAGGAGAGGAGGACGAAAAGATTACAGTACTAGATGAAAAGTCATACAGAAAGGTACAGTACTAGATGAAAAGTCATACAGAAAGGTATACTACATCAATTAAAATGTTGTATGTGTACTAACTTACTATACTCAGGGCCAGATCATGACTTTCGAGGGCTTTAAGCACCTGAAACGTTGGTGCCATATATGTATGTTTTACATATATTATGTGTTTATTCGTCTCGTAAAAGCAAAAAACAATAATATTAAAACCAGTGATCCATGTTATCTGAGTTTGAAAAAGTGAGTTTCAGTATGGATGTTCCCACGAGAATCGATTCTATTTGTTCATTTTTCGTAACAATGAGTTAACAATGACGAAACAATTGAAATTTGTCCAACCACTCAGACAGATGTCAAAGATAAATAAAGCACAACCGGTGTATAGCAAAACGATATAATTTGCCGACGTTTCGAATTTCTATTCAGAAAAACTTCATCAGAGCATGATATGGAGAGTACACTATCGTATATATATAGAGTAGAAAAATAAAAAAGATAGTAAAAATTAAACGGCGTGAAAAACTGAAAAAAAAGGACAATATGATAATAGATCCGAGTGAATAAGCGCAAGTTCAAACAATTACGCGACTATCTAAACAATGATTTATATACATGCGGGAACAATGTAGTTTCTTTATCATTCATAGACAGATATTCAAAAATCGTTGTAAATATCTCATTGTTTTGTATGTGTGTGTTTTCAATTGTGTGTTTCAAAAACCAGTTCTTAATCAAATAACTTAATAGCCATTATGTATTCCGAGGAGCTTTAGTTTCGTTGCAATAATCAGAATTTAGTCCCACAAACGCCGCTACAGACTCGGCCAACCAGTAAGCGAAACGTGCTCAAATAGTTTTAATAAAAATGATGGTTTCAAACATTGTAAGCGCCAACTTCAGAAAACACTTTTAAAATAGGTAAAAAAAATTGCAGTATATATAGGAAGAATTTTTCTGGCGTCAAGTGTCGGGGAAACATCCATTCGCTACTGATTGAAGGCTAAGTTATGATTAATTTGCATGATGTTTTTTAGTGTGTCTGCGCCGCCTGACCAACCCGAATTACACTTCGAACAATGAGGCACCATTGAAGGAATTTTTTGGGGGGTTCCCCCTTTCCCTTGGTGCCCAAAGCACGGGCTTATATTGTCTAATGGTGAAAATTCAGCCATGTTACTATACTAACTAAATTATCTAGCTTGCCAATAGCAATCCGATCTCGTTAATTTCGACTAATACCCGTCCATATACTCCGATACTTCAAAAATGCTGAAAACATCTATTTTTTTGGAAACAGTGTGTCATTGCAAATATAGATTTCTGATTTTGTAATCGCTAGAATTAACTCTGTATAGTGCCAAATTTAAATATTTTTCTTTTTTTGTGGATTTAGATATCGTTCATATCCGTTTTAAAATTGCCAATTCATTATCGGCAAGCTTTCATCAAAATAGCCAATGCCCATCCCGATAAGCGATAACCGATACATGTGTACCTTGAAGATATATTTTAATCATGTAAGATTACGCAGGATTTCTAGTCCAAATATATTTACATAGAATGTTTAGTCAGCAATAAAAACGAATCGATACAAAAATGACATGTACCTAATTAATATGAACCAATGCTCACTGCACAACAAAACATTCACAAAAAGAGAAATGCCCTTTAACACCGAAAACTATAATGTGCAACGTCTATACATTTTCTAAAATATAAATATTTTCTGCGAAAATTATATTATTTATATAAGTAAATATTTTTATTTATGAATATTATTATAATCAATTACCAGAGTATACCCGAAATAGTATACACGTATACATATATATCTCTGTGATATCATGTTATGTCATTCGTCCAGTCTGTATGTTCAGTAAATTACAGCAAGTAGGATCATGTTGGCGTGTAGTCATTCCATACTAAAACTATGACTATTTAACGGTTAGGACTGTGATGTCAGCCATGTCACACAGCGAATCATAAATAACATGATCAAGATTTTTATCGTGGCTTTTTTGGAATACAAATGTTTCATTCCAATGTAAAAAAGATAAACAATCATATCAATAAATTTGCATAATAACGTGCACATACCTGTTTTTAACTTATGTAACTTCATATAATAATTTTATACGTTTCGAAACGTTTTTACATCATGCTATTTGGACTATTCATAAGTACTTAATTGTTTTGTTTAACGCGTATATTTTAAAAATGTTAATGTGTGTCAATCTTTACATTCGAATATTAAGAGCTACATCTGAAATAAATTACACCTATTTATATAAGTTCACGGTAAATTTAAGGGTCATTCCAGGGTTATTAATAAATTTTCATTAATCTATTACATACACTATGCAATTCATTATGGTAGCGTGTAACTGAATACCCTCTTCTCCGGGCCATTTATTTTGCGTCCGAATACTTGTATGCAAGGACATTGGACAAGTCCAATCTAGGAGATTTAAAAAGTCTCGTGTCACATTTTTACAAACTTAAATTTAGAAGGTTAACAAATATAGTTACACCCATGTTATGAACATATCTTATAACTCAAAATATTGCATGGAAGTCGATAAGAGAAAAGTATTTATTTGTGTTGCATTATATAAATAGTAACACGATAACCTCTCCTTCGAGAGAATATGAATAAAAAAATATAAAATGGCGGTAAAATATTCATGCGGAAATAAAGTTACTACCATATTTTTAGTGCATCGTTACATAATTTGATAGTTTAGAAGGGCTATATTTTGATAAAAAGAAGGTTCGGCGATTTACGCATACTATATAAACTGAGTCGTTGGATGTCCAGGTACTCTGTATCAACGTAGACAACAACGCGTTGAGACTTAAAAAATATAGAAGAATATATTTTATGACTTTTACAGTTAGTTCATATATTGCAAATAAAGTTACATTACGCTACTGCAAATATATCAGTCATAACTAATATATTCAATTTTATAAACTCATAAAGTCAACAGAAGAACAACCTCTATCCCAATGATGAATTCGAAAGACGCAATGTCAAAATCTGATTTACAGGTAAGCATACTACGGTTGATAGGAAAAATTCCAGTTATTGATTGAACAATTTAATCTGGAACGTTAAAACGTTTATTTTATCCATGTCAAATTTATTTTTTCGACTTCAATGAATACTACTTTCGAATTATTTTGTTCAAGAGTTTGTCTCTGTTCGATTCTCTTCAACTCAGTGATTGAGGTTATTTTTGACTTTTATACAAATCTACGTAACACCAATATAACCGAATATTACCAATGCAAATACATCGGAATATTAATTCTTTTAGCTCTTTGATTGCAAATTGTGTCAATTCTTGAAACTTGAGAAGAATCCTTAAAAATAAGATCTAATTTTCCAAAGACAGTGATCATTGTATTATAAATTCTAAAATCGTGTAACATCTTATTTGCAATTTTTCTCATATTTAGGCGGAAGAAGGTGCCTCTGTGGACAAACGTAAAAGTCTTTATGGAATTGAACCAAATGTTCGCAGTGCTTCGTTTTCCCTAAGCACGTTCAATATGGTGAATGCTTTACTCGGAACCGGGATATTGGGTTTACCGTATGCAATGGGACAGCTAGGAATATTTCTGTTTTTGTAAGTTTCCAATTTTGTTTAGAGTTCTCGTTATTTGAACATTCAAATTTTCCTCGATTAATTTAAGCTCATGGAGTTGAATTATTATTAATTTTTTTTAATTTTCAATTAATCATGTTGGACACGAAGTAGGCCTATGGATCGTTTTGTTATTATGTTGTTGTTGTTCTTGGAATTTTTCTTGCTATCGTTATGAAAAAATTGCTATTCACTTTAATTACTTGTCCAATTGCTTTGAAATTTTCAGTGGTTAAAAATTGTATTTTTTGCTACAAGGCTATAACTTTTGTGTCTGTATATATTTAAGCATAGCTCTCTTGTTTATTCACAGCTTATTCGCCGTTTGCATTGTTTCCGTTGCGTTATTCACTATATACCTGCTATTGAAAATGTGTGAGCAAACTGGAGTCAAAGAGTATGAGAAAATAGGATTCAGCGCATTTGGTCTTTCTGGAAGAGTAAGTAGACTGAGTTCCTTGACACTTTCATTTTGTGTTAATCATATTATGTTTTTTTAGTGCACAGGCACAGGGCATATTGCTTTTTATTTACCCTTATTCTTATCATTTGTCTTTCACCATAGGTAATCGCTGCTCTTTGCATCATTGGAAACAACATTGGATCAATTTCTTCATACCTTCTCGTAATAAAATATGAACTTCCCAACGTAATTCTTTCATTGATGGACGAAACGAAATTAGATGGGTAAGAACTATATTTACAATCAGATTTATTTGAATTTATCAAAGGTGAAGGAATATAAAAGGCAAATGATTAGCTTTCATTTGGTTATATTCATAAACTTGTTTGAATCGGAGTAATCAGGTAAAAGTCAACTAACAACATTAATAATAACATTTCCACAACAAGTGAAAATCTGTCATAATCTAATTTGTCTCGACAGATCTTGGTACTATAACGGAAGCATTCTTGTGATAATTGTAACATGCGCTGTCATCGTTCCACTTTCATCTTTAACAAACATTGGATTTCTCGGATACACGAGTGGATTTTCAATTCTATGCATGGTTTTTTTCGTAATCACTGTAAGTATTTGCAACAAATATTATATTTCTTGGTCCTCTTGGATACACGAGTGGATTTTCAATTCTATGCATGATTTTTTTGTAATCACTGTAAGTATTTGCAACAAATATTAGATTTCTTGGTCCTCTTGGATACACGAGTGGAGTGGACTTATTCTAACACTGCCACTTGTTTGGTTTGAACCGATTCTGACTATTCATCACAATCAAATTCTTCCACTGCAATAGGTTTGATTATCCATCGTTAAGATTATTCATAATCGGGGCTTTATTTCTATGAGCCCATTTACATGGAGAAAATTATCAGAAATAATCTTCTTACTACTGTTTAGTTTAATCCAATTAAATTTGTTGGACACTGGATATTTGTGAAGGAATATTCGTTAGTTTTTGTATTTTGACAAATGCGATATTTAAATTATTTTTTGACTACTTCTTTCAGTGCTGAGCACATTTCTTAGTTATTACGTGCACTTTTTACCATGTTATTTATTTCCAGGTTATTTTCAAAAAATTCACAACACCATGTCCCTTGCTGAGTGAAGGCATCATAGACAATCTTACGCTATTTGAAGCAGAAAATTTCACTGCGTATATGGAAGAAAGTTTTTCGGGATTTGGAAGTGGAGATTTGATTTCTAATGCGTCAGGAGCGGATTTTCATTATTTTAATGGTAGTGTTTCCAACTTTCATCTAGGACATGAGGAACAACAATGCGACGCAGCTGTTTTCGAGTTCACGGATAAGGTGAGATATAATCTTAATTCCGTTTGAAACAAGTCGTGAGAGATCCATACCAGCATGCTCCTGGTTCCCGGATTCTACAAAATCGCATTTTATCATATTTACCATGGTCGATTTTTTTAAATAATGTATAAATGTCGATAAATGTACGATCGAAGCAAATTTAATGGGATACTTGATTACTTTATTAGACAAAGTTTGAAATTTGAGTTCGTTAATCGGTTATTTTCGATTTACTTAATTTTTTAATCGAGCAATTTTTTAAATTTAGTTCTTTATATTTACAGTGGGTTTATGGACTTCCAACCATCATTTTTGCATTTTCCGGCCATGTCGGTGTACTTCCTATCTATGCAGAACTCAAAAGGTAAAACGCATTACGTTTCGTAGAAATTGCTCCACTGCTACCTGTAACCTCTTTATTAACATTTTTTCAAATCGGTCAGAAATCGCGCAAACAAAATATATTTTAAAATAATTTCAAAAAATTGTGAATACAATCAGTTTACAGTCAGCTGCCAAAGGCGATAACGTTACTCGGTTTATTTCAACTTTCAAAAATATTTGTTTGTTTGTGTAAACCGTTTTAGGTTCGAATTTTGGATAGTACAAATAATTTGCCCTCAAGCTGCGTTTTTTCTACGGCCCACATTAGATTGAAAAAGAAAGATTTAGAACAGCGATAGCACGTATTGATAATATTGCAATTTTTAAATATTCTACCTATTTTAGATAGAATAAAATGTTATTACGACGTAGTGTAACATGCCTAAATGGTACCAACAGTGCCCGCGTTTCGTAATCTTTCTTATAATAAATACTTCGTGATTGCGGTTATGCAATATTGATTTTGACTAATGTAAACGTCATTCTAAGGAATCTTGTTTTGTAAAGTCAAAAATGACATATCAAGTACCGTGGTTTGATATTCTGCTTATTTTTTAAAAACACTTTTTGATTTTTTTGACAGTCCATCAACATCGAGAATGCAAACTGTGGCTTTTTCGGCATTTACAACGTGTTTTACTTTGTATTCACTGTCTGCAGTATTTGGATATTTAACATTTTATAGTGAGTAATAACTTTTTAATCTTAATTTTATTTAATGATATTAAAATAGCTGCTGATCATCTTTGAAATTCAAGATTATTTTATGAAGTCAATAACTATAAGCAAGAAAATAATTTCAAACGATTTTAAAAGAAATCAATTTCGCCCCAGCAAACTACTCCGTAAACTACTTGTGGAGAGCAATGAGGTCTGAATAACGAATACCCATTTTGACAAAATAAAGGTTCAGAATAAGTCTTTATTAGCCTGTATGCAGGTATGTCCAGGACATGAATTCAACCTAACTAGCTAGTAATTTTGTTGGTTATTTTGCTATCTTTCGTGGAAAATTGCAATGTCATTCCCATTTGACTTTGAATAGCCAAAACTATCGTAAAATACCGCCCATGTCACTCCTCTCTAACAAATATTGACTATATTTGTCATTTCCAAATTTTAAAATAAATCGTAAGTTGCATGATGAAATTAATATAGGCGGAATACTTTAACATTACGACCAATCTCTACCTTTACTACCAGATGTACACTCTTCTATTTCCGGCAATGACAACTGATTAACTTTAAGAATATTGTGTCAGCAACCAGCACCTAACATATGTACATACACATTTATATATATATACATAAGTATTTACGCTCCTTTTTAATCTGTTGAGAAATTGTTGGTCACGGACGACCGCTTTTTTTATACGTCAACAATTTATAAGGTGTAGGTTCTTAGCGTGAAAATTGTGCTTTGTCAAAGGCAATAGTACCGTGTGTGCGGCCAATGTTTAATGAACAATGTTCATGATGTTTTTTTATCATTCATTTCAGATTGGTTGGAACCAGAATTACTTTTGACTTATAATCTAACTGATCAGAGCAACCTTCTTACACTTCTTGTTAGGATATGTGTGCTATTAACTGTTATCGTCACAGTACCAGTGAATCACTTTTCGGTAAGTTCAATAGGAACAATGCTCACTTTGGAAGATGTTTCAGACCACGATTTTTTAAAATGGACGTTTTTTGATTTCAACATTCTACATCAATTCTATTATGTAATAACAAGATAACAATCTTGTACAATTATATTTGTGTTTTTGCCCAAAATTAAATTAATAAATAAAACAATTCATTCATATTCAGATGAGAAAAGCTATCAATTTTATACTGTTTCCGAAGAAAAACTTTTCTTGGTTTAGACATATTGGAATAATGCTTGTCAGTTTAGCGATGATTCTATGTTTTGTGATATTTGTGACAAATATTCGGGAAGTTTACGGAATTGTTGGTAAGTAAGAAAATAATAGTAAAATTTAGTTTAAATTATTTTACTTTGCTTTGTGACGAAGGATGTTTGTTTTCTTCGATAAGTAAAACATACTATGATCAAATCAAAGAAGTGTATATCAATAAAGAGCCGAAGTTGAATTGCCACATTTTCGTCCCACTATCTTTATCTATGGAGAAAAGTCAGATATCAAATTTAAATACTTTATAACATATATATGGGATCGTACAATCAGTATTCAGTAAAACTTAAGTGTGTAATCATTTTTTATTTATTTTTAGGTGCGACAACAAGCAATATGGTGACCTTCATTCTTCCTTGTGTATTCTTCCTAAAGCTGGACAATTCAGGCTTGAAATCTCCTATCAAAATAGCTGCTATCAGCATATGTGTTGTGGGAAGTGGTATCATGGTGCAAACCTTGTGTATTATTATTTTGGGATACTTTTAAAAATAAATATATATGAAGTTACTGCAAACATGGGTTTTATAAATCAAAATGACCAAGGACACGGCAGAAACAGGGTCTTTGCACGAGGGTCGCACTAAAGCTCGGCGGTGCGCATCGTGCTAAGCGTTATGAATCCTCTCGATAGGATTGCTGAACTCCTCGCCACCGTAGGGTGTGTAACGCAACCGATGGTCGGTTACGATCGGAAAACAATGTTCTAAATTCGTATGGGCAAGATCATCTCATGCGAAAATTTAAAGGAGATCGGAAACATGTACTTTGTCGAGATAGATGTGAAAAGAGCGGGTGAAGTTGGACTTGTGACAAGATTGATGGCTCAGTATTCTTTTCGCCCGTAGATTTGTACAAAAACCACGGTGTTTAGGGTAATTGAAGACAATTTGCGTGTTGAGAAAGAGACAACATGTATCCCACAAATGATCCTATTTCACTTTCGATTTATAGTCAAATTTAATGAAGCAAGAAAGATTCTGAACGCCTATCGACTTATTTTTTCAAGTATACCAATTCAATTTCGATAAATTTTAGTGCGCTGCTTTCATTTCAAAAATACATTTATATTTAGGAAACAATGATTCATTCAATTTAAATTTTGAAGTAAATAGATAAAATTACAGGTTTTATATATGTACGTTTCAATTGCGTGGGATTTATTGATTTAAAAATCGTTCCCCCTTCTCAGTAAGATATTAAACTACTTCCATTTTCGAAAAGTATATTTTCACGTTTCAAACAAGCGATAAAAGTCTTTTAGCCAATTTGGTTTACTTTGAATATAATTTCGATGTCAATTTCGAGATTGAAGATTTATCGATTATCACTTGTTTTTTGATTTTTCTAATTTCAGACTTGACTTCATTCTTATGACAGCCGTTTGTGCAAATTTATTCATTTACTCCATAGTGTATACGCCGACTCATCGAACGCCAACTAATTTCAGATAAAAAAAAATCCCTAAATGTTAAAAATATTATCATGCTTGTGGAAATGCAAACATTTGTTTACAATCCATTCAAAGAGTAATGCAAAGATTGAGTCTACAATCTTTGAAGTGAATTGGGTTCGTATGTTTTTACTATATTCGTACAGTCATCATTAATGCGATTCAAATTGTACCCAAAATAAAATGCGATACCACATCGCAAAACAACTGACTAAATTAACCCCGCGGGTGTCTTTTAAACCTAGAAATTACGTAACCAGTACCTCCTAGCTGCGTTAATGTTCACTAGAAAAAGTAATTGGACTAACGGTGACTAACTTCGTTACCATAAACAACCATGAGGATCTTTCATGTTTAATGTAATTGTATTATTGGGATTGTGAAACGTCACTATACTCCCTTCGTCAACCATTCTCCTTGGACGTTCCATTAAGGCAGGGGTTCTCGAACTTTTGGTGTTGCGGAGACCTTGAAAAGGTTGACTACTATTCACGGAGCCCCAAAATAAATGTTAAAATTGTTACGTTCAGATTAATATTCCTGAGCAAGTTAAAAGTACTTTACTTAATTTAAATGCTGATCCTTTTTAATAGGGCTAATACAAGTCATGAATCTGAAACTACCGACGGAGCTGAATGCAATAAAATTTCAATTGTTCGTATTTTGCCCAGACATTGTGATTTTTTAAACGGCGCTATCTTAAAAACGAATCTTGAGTGCGAAAGAACAAATCAAGTACGACGAATCCTAAGATCGCAAAAATACGATTCCGATATATTTATAGTTGGCAGTTTATCACATATTTTATGTTATTTTAGAATAGTATTCTTTCATTTTAGTAATCCTAATAGTAATCTCGGACCAAACGTGAGTAACGATGAGCACAATTACATTATAACGACGAGACACGTTAAATGCTCGCATCGGTCATGGATTGAATATTTTACGCAACAGAAATCTCGTTATCCGTTTTTCTAATCGCGAAGAATGTTGCGCGGGAATTTCCGATTTCAATTTTGAACCACCTCTCTCTTAAGAATCCTGGCTGCGCTCCTGCTTATGAATAATGTCATTTTTTAATTTCGCCTCTTTGCCAAATTTCCAGGCTATATTGTTGTCAGATTTCATCAAAGTTGTTATTGCTTCTTTGAACAGTTACAAAATTAATCAGTATTTTAAAAAGTAATCGAATAGCTCGCGGAGCCCCTGGGTTTCTCTCGCGAAGCGAGAACCTTTGGGAGCCTATGCATTAAGGGACATCTGTGGAATTTTTTTTATGTAAAATCTTATGACCAACTTTCGTTGTGAAATTTTTTAAACACGAAGTGACCATTTGAATCTTTTTGCTAGATCGTTGTTGTTGAGGTGACTTTATGGTACGAAAAAAATAAATCTTCAAAATGGAGGTAGCCACCAGAAGGCTATTTCTTTTATTTTTTAATGTCCTCCGCGTTCTATTATATTCTCTATGTCCTAAATATTTATGCTGTTTATCCATCTGAACACTAATTTTATTCGGTAAACCATTACCACTACGCTACATCATGACTGTAATTGACTTGGATTTGCGAACTTGGCCTTCAGCCATTTTTCCGTGTGGGTCGTGAATTATACCAGCAGTGTGGTTATGTCATGGTTGAATGAATATAGTTAGATCACGCTTTTTTCGTCTTTGCTTATTTATGTTACACTGTTCTCTCGTTACGCTTGAGCGATGCGTTTTGGTATTCCTGGCGCGTGCGGTCCTCGGCTATCGGTGAACAAAGTGACTATCGGTGAAGAGCTTATGACAGTATAGATAGGATATTTTTATGGAGAACTATGGAACGATTCAAGTTTGGAACAAAAACTTTATATCTATGATAAAAACACTGTATAGCAAAACTAACGCTGCTATTCTCACGAATGGATACTTACTGACTTAGCAGAGAAACTTAGGATTGGAAGACTGATTACTGGATTAATAATGAAAATCACATATTTTATTTTGCGACCTTTAAAGCAAAACCAACTATTTGGAATTTGTGGGATTACAGTATCTAGAGATAAAATTAAAATTCTTGGTTCGTGAATGGGAAATACTGAAAATGCCATAGAAGAAAGTTGGGTTTGAGTACAAGAAAAAATCTGTAACATTCAGACATTTAATATTTTGAAAAACAGAAATATGATCATGACTGGCAAAATTATTATGGCCAAGACTTTTGTGTTATCAAGGGTATGGTACCTATCTGCATTTGAATGTGTCCCAATGCAGCAATGGATATTTCAAAAAATGTCACTGAACTAATTTGGAATTTTATATGGGACAGTGGGATGGAAAACGTAAGTTAGTGACTAGAAAAATATATTGCTGTAGTAAACCGTATTGTGGACTAGGTTGTATGGATATGGTAACACAAATTAAAAATATTCAAATTAAATGAATATTTTGGTTACTAAAATGTATTGGGGCCCAAGAGCACTATAGTGGTGGTAGCATAAAAGTCTTATTGGGGATGGCAGAATAGGGATGGCAAAATACGGTCGAAAGGTGGCAGATTAGGGATGGCAAAATAGGGTCGAAAAGTCAAATTGGGGATGGCGAAATGCGGACGAAGCGTGGTAGATTAGGGATGGCAAAATGCGGTCGAATCTTTCTAATCATAATTTTAAAAATAGTAAAATAACCATTGTTTATCATTTTAAAAGTTTGAACTTTTCAAGAAAAGTTGTATTTGATAAAATTATAAATGGTAAATAAAATATTGTGGTAGAATCCTCTTATCCCATTGTACATTTACCCAGAACATGTAGGGAATTGGATAAAAGGAAATGTCATTTATGTTAGAGACATTTTTCAAAAAAAATTGTGTTAATGTTCATGCTGAGTGGAACTCATTGTCTATTGATAGTAAAAATGTTTATGAGAGAAGAATTTTTCGATGTCATACTGTGTATAGTAGAGGTTTTACTGATAGAATGGAAATTGTTATTAACAACTCTATGCATATGATGTATGAGAAAAAAATACTGGCATAATGGATACTGGATAATTTAATTAATAAGAAAGTAATGCATATTTCTCAGAGGTATAACATAACCATAGACGATATATATTGGATAGATATCTGGAATTACTATATTCCCAAAAAGCTGAAAATTTTAGGATGGAAAAATGTACCGGTAATTTTTTGAACACGTTTCTTTTTTCCATGCAAATTAATTATTGATAATGGTAATATAATTATATATTGAAATGATGACACGTATCAACTATACTTGACTTTAAATGGCATTGATGAAATAAGTACGGTATATATTTTTGATTGATAATTTGGTATTGTATGACTTTATAACTTCTCTGTTTAATATGACTTTTCAACTGGGGGTAATTAAATAAATGAAACTAATATGAGAACAATATTTCATTCGGGCGCTAAAATCTACCGTAATAAAAAAAAATTATGTTAAGCAACTTGAAAATGCTTTGCCCATGGTCACAAATGAGCTCTGAAGCTTGTACAGCAGAGAGGGGGGGGGGGGTAACACCACGTATGGTGAAGCGAATGGTCGGACAACAGTGTGCAATGATCCTCTCCCGATTAAAAAAATCACGAAAAAAATTCAAGTGAGTCGTTCATTCATGTGTTTTCCTTGCATAGCGATTCTGCCTATCTATGCAAGGATAAATCCCAACACAGTGGTCGAAACCTTGTCGTGGTGTGTTGGCTTGTTACCAATATCGGCCGACAGTTTACATTAAATACAAACATGTTACCTCCATAATACCATATATTCAACCCTCATATTAGGAATAAAATAACTAACCCTTTTCGAAGGGCCAACATCTTATTCCAGTCCGCAGTGGATTCAATTAAAGTACAGTTTATATCGGCCAAAGCATTGTTTTATTAGCGAATTAAAAAGAAAGCAAAATAGATCCCAGCATATGTAAAAAAAGCTTTTTTGTAAATGTGTAAGACAATATTCGTATAATATCACTCGTTCTATATCAACTGACAATTCTCCATCACACTGCTTTTCAATGTGTATTACAAAGTTTCTGAAATATTGTCCGGCAA